AAGGCTTTTGTACGACTATAGAGTATAACAGATAGTTCGTTTAATTCTATTAGTAGTTGGTCTGTTGTATTATAATAATTAATTAAATACTACTAAGAATATATTATAACTAAAAAAGGGTTTGGATAGCTTGTTAGCGTGATTTTGGATAATGAAGAGGATCAAACTTTTGTATGTTATATTGGATCAAATTATATAACTGTAATCTGTCTATTCTTTATATTATTTTTTTTTTTTGTTTTATATTTTATATATAGCAAATAAAGTCAAATATTATTTACTTTTTCGGATGTTAATATGTTTTTTATATGCGAAAGTATTAAAGGCTATCAACTTATATTATACCAACCTTTATATATAAATACTTTCTTAATTAATTTCTATAGAAGAATATATATTACTGAATGCGATTTATATAAGATGTAATAGAAGCACTATAGTAGTCCAAATCCTTTTTTTTAATATTTTTGTAAGCGAAACCACTTTAGCAGATGCTATAGTAACTGCAAATTTCAAAATCATATAGCTAGCTGTTCCATATGAAATTATAGAAGCAAATAGAACGGAGTACGGAAAAGACTAGATGATCTAGTTCTAATAAGATCTACACAGTATCCTTTTTCAACCTTTGGTTCTTTAGCAGATCAGCTGATTGAAATTGAGGAAGAAGACGAAGAATAAGTAAGTGTATTATTTCATTCATTCTTCTTATATATATACCCATACCCCTTTTACCTATATTTAGTCGTACGGGCCCTGTGTACGGCACCTGAGCGAGATTTGTACCTTTATGTGGTGTTTAGGATAAGTAGCTATTATGGTGAAACCAAGCAAGTTGATAAATGTATGAAGGTGAGTTTATTATAGCCCTGTTATGGCTGTATTTGGTGGTTTATTATACCAGTGTTTTTTTTGAAATGATCGACAGTCAAAATTACACTTGACCAGGTGGCGGTTATCGTCTGCTGTAGCCGGGCTCCACTAATACACTTCTGGAACATTTCTTTTTGGTTTATTAAACTATTTTGAACAGGGGGCTGTTTTTTTTTTGCGAGAGGCTTCGCGAGAAGACCTGTTTGAGATAATTGATTATGGCAGCCGCAATTTCATGTTTTCTACCTTGTTATGAGATAGTGAACTGATATTCGACAAGTCTAGGAGTTGTGATCTATAGATCCAGTATTGAAAGCCAAACGGTGGACTTGATGAAGTGCTCATGGTTTCGCGTCAAACGCCTGTTGGGAGGTTGGTCAAAGATTGAGAATCAAATGCAGTTGCTGTTGTTGTTGTAGTTATTAACGTCCTAGGGGAGCAGGAACGAAGCTCTTGCCCCCGTGCGACCTCCCTAGGGGAATAAGGACGGGCTAATCTGAGATTTAAATACATGAAGGTGTCAGGAAAACCACTTCAAATATAGAAGCCGCTGTACAGTTCCATGCAGCCATTTTCCCCTCGACATATAAGGTAGTTACAGTGATGTGTCTTGCTAAGGAATGTGTACAAACAATCAAAAAGGTATGTGAAGGATTAGTTAGTTGACATAATCATTCTTTATTATATATTGAAAGGCGCTGGATCGGTAAGCAAAGGACAGGAGATAACCCAGGCCGTAAAATAGATTAAATAGAGGCGGCTCAGGCAACCGGATATCCTTAAATAAAGGGTACCCCAAGATTGCGGATGGTTGTAAAGGAGGAATTAATTGTAGTAGACCATTGGGCTGAGGGTTCACCAAGAGTCTCTTCCTCTTCGGCGCTTTTCTGAGCGAGAGAGGGGTTTGGAATTGGCTGCTGTGATGGTGGCCGGGAACGCGCAATCCAGGGGTGGCGTCTTGCATCTCGAGCGGAGAGTCGTTGTGAGGGTTGAGCAGCCATGGCCTTCTCCAAAAATTTCTTGATCTCCTTACTCGCTCCTACCCGATCCAGTTCCACATAGGGGAATGGAATTCGAGCTTCGGCATATCGGGATAAAGCCCCGTCCGTTGGGAATGTACTCTGGTGGGTGATTAAGCGAAAGGTGATCTCGCCCAAAGCCCAGATATCAACCGCGCTGGTGTAGGAGGTATCTTGGGCGCCTGACACCTTGACATAATCCATAACTTCGGGTGCTATGTAGCCACGCGTGCCCACAACACTGCGCAGTGCGGTCGACTCCAGTGCTCTTTTACTGATGCCGAAATCGGTGATTTTCACCCACCAAGTCGGAGACTGTTGCAGTACTAGAATGTTCTGCGATAATGAGCGATGTAGAACCTCATAAGCTCTGTGGGAAATACTTACTAGCGGCTTCAAGTCTCGGTGGGTGAATCCATTCTCATGCATAAATTCTAGTCCCTCCAGGATCTGATCAACAATCTCCCATGTTATCGACTCCGGAAAGGGGACAGTCATCAGTTTCTGCAGGTCACCGTCAGGAGCGTATTCCATACTGATGAAGATAGCAGTAGGGCTCTCCCACCACCCGAAAAAATGGACGAAGCAATGGACATACTAGGTCCCGTTAGCGGGTGTGCACCCGAACAGGACGGAGAGTTTCAACTCACATTTTTGTTCGAGAACTTTGCTAGAGCTTCCAGCTCTCGCTCGTACTCGATTTTAGTCGACGTTGGGCTTTTGGCTATTTCCTTGACGGCCCTCAGGCTTCCAGGATCCTTGCCTTTAGTGCACGATTCCAACCAAATAAGACCAAACGCTCCGTCGCCTAGCTTGCGTTCTCGTTTCCATAGTTCTTCCCTTCTAACACGACGCTGTCCTGCGCTTCTGTTTGACTCCCAGACAACGTGCTTGGTGAAACCGGGCACCGCTTCAGTTTCCCGATACGTGTCACGGACGAGGTCAACAGCAGAGCGAATGCGGGGAGGTATTGGAGAGTGTGGATGACCAACAGCTGGCTCCAGCTTCGGAACAGAATGTTCTTGGTGCAGACTTGCTTCTTGTTTTGAAGCTGACATCTGGGCCGGGATCCCGTGGTCGCCCGCAGTCGTTTTCCTTTGAGTTTCAACCCCTGCTTCACCGAGAGAACTAGGAGATTGACCCATTTCGCCTGGAAAACGCCATTCTTTTCTACCAGTAGGCAGTTTTCTCCTGATTTCTTGTTGGGATGCGGAGTGGTGGAGTTGATGAAGCGTGGGATTGGTTCCGGGCAGTTGTTGTTGGATCACAGTTTCAGGCGATGCAAGGTAGCTTTTCTGGTTCACTCGGGAGGGCGGGTTCCCGTGCAACTTTTCTTTTATCCACAGGGTATCCAGGGCATTTTGGATTACCTGTCCAGCTGAATTGCGATCCCTAGCAGCGGTCTGGACGCTTTTCACGTCGTACTGGATACCAGAAGTATCGAGGATGTAGGCCATGCTGGACTCTGCATCTTCACCATCACCTTCTAATATACCCCCCATGACTATGATCTGTGTCCCAATGGCCATCATGCTATGACCAAAGAGGGGGTACAGAGTGTCATTAGTATTGAACGAGTACCAGCATCGCCTTGTGATCGAAAAGGCGAACAGATCCCCAGAGCCTTCTTTTATATCAAAGACTATGCCACCGAATATAAACATCATATCATTGATGATAGTGGCAGCATGGCAAATCCTTGGAGTCGGACGTGGCCCATTACAACTAAGTTCTGTCCAGGCGTTGCCTCGGGAATCGTACACCCAGACATCATTGAATTTCCGCTGCGCATTGCGTCCTCCGAAACTAAAATATGATTAAACCAAAGCCTTGGAAGTGGTAAGTGCAAATGTACTGGGTTCTCACAGGTATAAATTGCCATCAAAACTGACAATAGTGTGGTCGGCTCTTGCCGGAGGGCCTTGGGCTCGGGGCTCCCAGTTGTGTCTGGCGTTCTGCAGCTGATTCAGATCAAATGCCACTAGGTCATTGAAGAAACGATCTTTGACCTGGCCTCCAAACACATAAAGCTTCGAACCGAGAATGTTCAATGTATGGCCATATCGGCCGCCAAGGGGGTTCGCACAGATCACACGAGACCACTGGCGGGATCCTAGTGGAATAGAAAAAAAATGCAGTTAGAATCGAACGCTCTCATGGAACATTTCCTGTTTATATAGGGTGGCCCACGTGTGTTTAAAAGATACAGAGTGGTATCAACTGGGTCATTTCCAGCTAGTACACAGCCGCCAAATACAATAAACGCATTCCCCACAAGCAAGCAGGCGTAGTTGCATCGCGGGCTTGGACCCTCTGAAATCGTCTCAAGCTCGAAGCATTCAAAGATGCCTTCCCTCCTTTGAATTCTCCACACATCTCCTTTTAGTGTGGACCCGCCCATCACGTAAATATCCCCTTCCTTGGATGCGATCGAATTGATCCGAGCCATATACCGCGGAAGAGGATTATTTTGGGGCGACGAGAAGTTCAAGGGATGCGGCCACCATGTCATCACCTGTGGTATTGGGCTGGGCGAAGAGCCATTTGGCGATTGCAAGGACAGTTTAAGCTGGAGATTGGTGTTAAGAGGTTAGAGTATAATTCTATCTGATAGAAGCGATACTAGTAACAAAGGCTCACCTGTGGTGCTCGGTCTCGAGTTGACACCTGAGAATCATTGTTACTTCTGGGTGTGGGTGTCAGAGCAGTCCCATTCCCCCCAATACCACGCGTTACAGATGTTTCAGTAGAGGGTACTCCATCTAGATCGCACTGGATAGACCTCGACACCCGAGGGAGCGCATTCCCGTTGTTGGTTTCGGTATTCCATAAATAAGCCATCGTTATCGAGAAATCGTACTTGGTGAACAACGACGAGGGAAAACAGGGCCCAAGTCTGCCTGCACAGCTGAGGAGGCTGAGTCTCTTCACCGCCATGCGAGTCATGCATTAGTTACTCCGTAAATGTACAAGTGTCTGGGGGCCACGATCCTATGACTTCAAGAACTGCCTTACCCCACCCAAACCATCCTTCCTCCTTTTATTCTCATCTGTTTGGATCTTAATCTAGTACCTAAAGGTCACTTAGCTCTCTCGATTTTTTTCATTATGGCTGAAGTCGCCGGGCTGGGCCTTGCAGTATTTAGCGCCCTGGACACATGCCTAAAGTAGGTACAAGCCTGCCTAGCGGCCCATAACAAAGCTAATTTTTCAAGGTATGGACCAGTGATTATAAAGAAGTATAAGGACTTCAAAGAAGCACAAAATGAGATCAAAGAACGAGTTACGTTTATCGAAGCTACCTGGATCAAGATTTCCCAACAGTTAGGCCTTCTCAAACGCGTGTGGGATAGCCTGGATGAGGACTATCGAGATTTGCAAGAGCGAATCATTCGGATTTTGCAGACGAAACTCGAAGCTGCCGTTTCACAGATAAGCAAACTCGACAAGCGTGCTTTTAGCATCCGCAGTGGACAAGATAGACGAAAGGCAGCTAGATATTCCTTGGACCTTAAGGCATCCCTTGATAATGCCATCCAGGATCTCCAAACTTGGGAGACAAAATTCGATCCCACCTGGTATTTGATTCTGCGTGGGACTGATCCGACTATCGACAACAACTTGGCCAAATGCTCAGCCACCAATACACTATCACTTGCTCGGCATATTCGAGATTCACTGCGAGAAAACCCACAACGCAAAGCCTCAATATTTCTCCCAGAAGACAAGCTCCTCTCTGCTCGGCGTTCGAAAATCCCATTGTCAACTTTCGAGATTTGTGAGACCACAGACTCGAGCACATTTATCCTGGATTCCGTGGAGTGCGACCCATTGAAAGATGCCTCTACATTCGCCAAAGACGTTCGAGCGCTCGCGCAAAAGCTCCAAAGCATCGATCCATTTCAATTCAACCTCCTCGATTGCAAGGGCGTGGTTCGCATCAAAGATCCGATAATCCAAAAATCTGTTTCTTTCAACTTCATTTTTCGAATGCCAAAAAACCATCAGAGACCCCGAAGCCTCCGGAGTCACCTCTATGAACGAAACTATTCTCTAAGCCAAAGAGTGAATCTTGCGAAACAACTTGCCACCTCAGTGAATTATCTCCATGTCTTCGACTTTGTCCACAAGGGCATCCGACCCGAGACCGTCCTGATATTACAGGGCGATGAATCTCACTTCCTAAGCCTGTTCCTCTTAGGATTCAAGACATTCCGCACAGCTGAAGGCAAAACCATGAGACTGGGAAATTCTGAATGGGCAGAAAATGTCTACCAACACCCCGAGCGACAAGGAACGAGCCCCATCGCAGATTACATCATGCAGCATGATATATACAGTCTTGGTGTCTGTCTCCTCGAGATTGGATTGTGGGAATCCCTCGTTACCCGTGAAGGCCACATCAACCTTCCCTCTACCAACGAAGACATTGACCCCTCAACTTTGGCCAGAGATGGGCTGCTCAAGGAGCGATTTACCGGAATGGCCAAGGAGATTCTGCCACACAAGATGGGTGAGAAATATGCTCAGGTTGTTGTGAACTGCTTGACTTGTATGGATGAGACCAATGAAGACTTTGGGGATATAAGTCAATTTGAGGATGAGGATGGGATTTTCATTGGCGTCAAGTATATTGAGAAGGTATGCAATCATTCTAAAGTTCCGAAATATTCAGGGCAGCGACTGACTCATTTTGTGGCAGATCCTTTTTCAACTTAATGACATCTCAATCTGATGGTTGGAACTACAGCATTTATTTGTCATGCTCGCTGTCACATAGTTGGCAGGCCTCAAGACAAATTATTGGATAGGGACGAGGTAGGCGTTAGGATGATAGCCCGGTGTTTCATAGAAATGGTGATGGGATCCGACATTATCTCTAAAGTAGCCCGTACTATTGGAAGTGTGAATTTTCGATAAATGTCTGAAAAGGTTACATTCTAAAGTTGAACGTAATCTACTCGAGTAACAGACTATGATACTCCTAGGAAGCTCACTCTCGCGCTTATCCCGGAATTCTACCCATGCTCAAGTGCCCAACGACTGATCCGAAATATACGAAGTACATTTAGGCAGAAAAATAGTAATGAAAATACAGGATTCGATCTCGAATGTGTATACTTAGATCGGCCCCCGGGTTCGGGTTCAGGCTATGTTATTGGCTTGCTGGTAACCTGTTAGACACCAATGCGCATGCTAATGTATATTGTGGCTCAGCCCTGTAACAACTCGATTGCCCCATGTGGTGACCTGTTTGTCGATATCTCTTCCGAGGTATAGATCTACACGGCCACATTAGTGGACCCATAGTCGGTGGAACCTTGTTTCACTGTTGGTGGAACTGGCAGCGGGCCGTGAGATTCCCGTGGCCCGTGGGAGTATATTCCGGTGACATGAGGACAGCATAGACGGAGTTGAGCCAAGCTCCCTGACTACAAATTATGGGGGAAATCATAGGGGCAATCATTCCTGACAGCTATCTTTAATCATCCCACTGCATCTTCTATACAGAATACTAAGTACCAGTTATTGAGTATTTATATTTTCATCATGTCCGCAAGGTACACACCAACACCACTTTTCTCAACTCCTTTCTCACTTACTCCCTTCTCACTTACTTCTTTCTCACTTTACTAACCGTTCGATCATACTTACTAGTGTCCCCAACGATGAATTCGTTTCCCTAGTTGCCAAAGGCGGCAAATTGAACGAATCCGAAATCGAGGCTGTTTACAACAAGCTTCCTGCTCTTCCCATCTCCTTCCTCCGCGATGAATGGAAGGGTGGAAGCTTCGACACAGGTCACCCTGGTCACAACCAACTCTTGACAATGAACTGGGCAGGAAAGACCTTCCACTCCACGGAAAGCGTCGACCCAATTGTTATTCTGGAAGATGGAAAGCGTGTGTGCAACGAGGAATGGGGCCATGCCGTCGTAAGTGGGCCCAACCTGTCTCGAATAATGAAGCAATTTCTCACATTGTGCAGCTTCGTGAAGTTCGTTTCCGTGATCTTGTGTCAACTGCTATGATCTACGACAAGCACCCTATCATTGACCATTTCCGCTATGTCAATGACAAGCTCATTGCTGGTGCTATGGACACTAGTGCCTTTGGGGAAGCTGGTACCTACTACTTTTACCTCTACAGATAGATAGAAACGAGCAATGAATTTGATTATTGGTACGGAGTATCTGGAATAGACCTATGTACGGAGGGGCAGAGCGACCGGGTCGGCAAGTCCGGGGATGGGTGGGGCGGCGAGCCTTGGTAGTAACGAGGATTGGTTGGATATGTGACAAGATCCACTTGTAATAAATGTAAAAAGCCTGGTTGGCCGAGTGGTTAAGGCACTGTGGGGGCTTACCAACCCGGGAGCGTGCACCCATAAGGGAAGGCCCCGAAGGTGTTGGCGAGTCCTCCAGAGACCCCTGGTTCGAATCCAGGATCGGGCGTCATTTTTTTTATTTTTTTCTTCCAAAGACAAATACTTCATTTGGGTGCGAGCTGGTTTCGGCCTGCCAGAAGCCTGACAAGGCGGGAAATCTGAATGGATAGTCAAAATATCCTCATTTTACTCCGTACTTTGAATGAGGCTTACTTTGTGCATTGCGTAGTTGATCGATAGGTAAGGTCTCCCTCCTGATGACAGGGTAGAACGGCATTTCTTCTGAGTAAAACTGCAATAAAAAAAAAAAGCCAGATACCACATATATTCCCAGAGACTACACTATCATTATGTTCTTTTCTATAAGCACCGTTCTTGAAAAGTGAGTATTCACCTAGTTCAAAACAAGAGTGGAAGTAAGGAAGTCAAACTTGTGCTTTTCCATATCTCCCAGCCACCTTTGCAACGCCGGTGCTAGCTCTTTGGACTTCCTGTTTGAAGATGATGCGCCTTTCGACTCTGATTGTCAGATCATCAACACTCCCTATTGTTGACTGGATAGATTCATTCAAACCATCCATAGATGAGATGTGAGCAGGTAAATCCTCCTTCTCCCTTTCTTCTACACCATCACCGCGCTGCCAAGCCTGTAGAGAATCATCTGGATCATCGGTAACGCAGTATATCCGGCCTCTGTTCGAGTATATCTATCACGAGCCACTAACTCTGTTGCTAGATTGCTCGGATCGAACTTCAATACGACCATCCTCGCGATAAAATGCCTCCGCATGATGCCAAAAAACCCCATCATTGCAACCCCTGTGGAAAGATGACAAAAAGGATGACCATAATGGGTCACTGCACGAAGGCCACTCGCAATTCTCATTACCTTTTTGAATACTTTACATATTCAAGTCCGCCTTCTCCCGCTGCGTCGATCCTCGCGATAAATTGCCTCCGCACAATGCCAAAAAACCCCATCATTGCAATCTCTGTGGAAAGATGACAAAAAAGATGGCCATAATGGGCCACTGCACGAAGCACTCATGGATCTGTTCGAGGGGTCATCCCTCGTGGTCTTATGGAATGAACCAGACCTGCATTTTTGAAAACTGTCAACGTGCATATGATGGTGAGTGCGATGTTTGCAATCCGCGTCCTGTGGAGCCAGCTCAGTCTATTGAGCCTGTTGAACCTGTCGGAGATAATTAGATCTTTTGGCATTGGAGAAGAACAATCGCGCATTTAGAGCCGTGAGATTTGAAGCATATGTCAATTCAATATTGAAAGCATTGTGTGTTTAGCAACAGTGGACAGCACGGTCTGCGCAAGTGAGATTAGAGTGAATTCTTGAATCTACATTTTCGGTATCAAATGGATTGAAATTATGTTGGAACTACATACTGCAGTCGGGGGGGCTTCCCTCTCCTCCCTTCTCTCTCTCTCTTGCTATACGCACAATACATGCCGATATTGATATCTACATCTGTATTGTATCCCGATAGATCGGATATTCATCCGTGTTATATCCATCTTCTTCAGCGCCGTTTCTATAGTATCGTGGCCAAATATGGGTTGACTATACTGCCTACGTCTATAGAGACTGTTCGCCTTGGTTTCCCTGTTCTGTCTACTATGTCAGACTGTATGGGTAATTCCCTCTCTGATATTTTCAATATTCGAAGATGCGATCTGTGAGGTTTCTCTAAAACCTAGCAAGATTGGGCGCCCCGCGTGGAAGTGATCTTGAAGATGCGTAAGCTTCAGCTTCAAACGGTTTGATATACGGGATATTTGGAGATTGCACCGGAAAGAAAGACTTTGTTCACTTGCCGGCTTGAAAATTTGCTTTAAAAGCAAGATTCAGTCCTGATCGCTCTCTAATTCTGGATCGGGTACGTAGTCCCGCCTCCCATTATATGCCGGGCCAGTTCCATCTCTCCACCCTTCAAGAAAGCAAAGTAAACAATTCCGCTTGACTTGGGGCGGGTCATTGGATTTGATCACCTCCATAATACCGGGAAAACTGTTCAGCAAGTAGTTTTTCTCACGCATTATGTCTCTTGCAGAAATGGCGTCCGCTGAATCCTTTGGGAATGACTGCCGCAAAGCTCGAACGAAATGAGGCCGTAGAATTGCATTTTGCTCGTACAATTCAGGAGAAAAGTCGACATCTTGAATGAAGATCGGGTACTCATGAAGATAGTAGAGAGGACCAGTGTAGGCATACTCAAAGTCTATCACTCCGGATAGTATGGGCGGTTTTTGGCAGTCTTGTTGTTTGACAAAGAGCAAATTTTGGGCATCCAAATCATCATGGATGAGACGGAATGGTGGGCCGTAGCACGAGGTCTCGGACTTTGAAGAAAGATATGCTGATAAGTGCTGCCTGATCTCAACGAGCTCTGCATATTCATCGAGGTCGACGGCAATATCCGGAATCAGCGCATGGAGGTATTCGAGAGTTGACTTGAATGGCTTCTCTTCTTGCGAATGGAGTGAAGGGTGTACAAGAGGACCTAGTCCGTTGTCTTGTACACTTCCAATGCCACCAAAGTGAAGTACTGCTAGCCGAGCAAGGACTGATGCAATCTGGGTGAGAACGTCCTTCTTATGGTCGAGAGAAAGATCATCCCAAAGCTTGTAGAGATGCTTCCCAGGGAGTCTCTCCATGAGGACGAACGGTGCGCCGACCGGATTATCGGGGCGAAGGTCCTGATGAAAGATTTTGGCAACTGGAATGGAGGTATGATCTCGACCATGCCGCATAGTCGCAAGTTCGCTTGTGGCTTTGGCAAGACTTTCTTCGCTGCGAGTCAGCCTGGCGATGCATGAATTCCGGGCCCGTTTTATTTCAACAAGTGTTTCAGGGCCGACACCGAATTCAAGCAGAAAGATCTCGTGGTATCCTCCACGCGTGAGCCTCCTAGCTCTGATACAAGTGGCGGATGCAATGGTTGAAGCGCACTGCTTCAGCTCCTGCAAGTCCAGCTTCAACTTCGGTGGCTCGTCAGACTCATAATCTTCATTTGCACTGGTGTTATGAGAATCAAATTCATCGCTGATATCGAGTTCATCGGTGATAGCAAGCTCATCAGTAACGCTTGAGCCCATGCCTGAAGGTTTTGCTATGGTACTGGATAAGACGTCAATATTGAAGATATTAGAATCGTAAAGAGCAGTAGTAAGGGCACCGTCAAATCATACCCCAAACAGGCAGTGAAATATTCGCCCCTCATATCTTACAGGGGTTGCTTCGGTCCACGTACCATCACCGAGATTTCGAATTTGCTGCAGGTCATAAACGATTATCGATTCGAGATGGGAAGATCTAGAAGTGAAGAGCTATTTAAAAAAGCGGGAGCTACATGAGCAAGCATGTCAAACGCAAACCTTGGAGTCTACTCTAGAATATGAGTGTCTGAATCTCTTGTTTATTCACGGATGTTGTGTGGGAAGTTCGTCCCAACCCTCGTTTGTGTTTGTGTAGATAGACCCTCTCTCCCGAGTCTCAAAAGAAAGTTGTGAAGTTGTTTGTTGTCAATGATTGATTACCCCCAACCCCCTGTCATGTTTCTTGTCTCCCCATTTTCATTAAGGAAGAAAGTAGGCAATGTCATGAAGGTTGTTCTTATGACCTTATAATCTCAACCCAGGAAGCTTGACGGTCTTCACGACCTAGCGGTCACAAGACCGGCAAGCTTTTTGCGAGGTCTACGGATCGTTCCCCCTATTTGTCATTTTTTAGTTTTTTATTTTATTTTCATAAGTGTTGTGAAAACTAGTTTCGAACAATGAAAACATCAATTGGAAAAAAAAAATAAGAGAACAAGTATCAGCAGAGAACAAGTATCAGCAGAGAACAAGTATCAGCAGAGAACAAGTATCAGCAGAGAACAAGGAGAACAAGTATCAGCAGAGAACAAGTATCAGCAGAGAACAAGTATCAGCAGAGAACAAGTATCAGCAGAGAACAAGTATCAGCAGAGAACAAGAACAATAACAAGAATATTGTGATTTCCTTTTAGAACTTTAAGAAAGTCAACACAAACCTTGGAAGGTCCTTCTTATGACCTTGGAATCTCAACCCAGGAAGTTCGCCAGTCTTGCACGACCTAGAGGTAGCAAGACCGGAAAACTTTTTGCGAGAGCTACGGATCGTTCCCCATGTTTGTCATTTTGGGTTGGGGTTCTTTTTCCCAAGGCGTGACGTGCAGTACTGACTTACTACAGACGTCGCTGCAGTACCACTTCTTTTTGTACCTCTCAACTCTCTGTTGACTCTCTCTGCCGACCCTCTCTGTGCTCTCTGTGCTCTCTGTGCTCTCTGTGCTCTCTGTGCTCTCTGTGCTCTCTGTGCTCTCTGTGCTCTCTGTTTTCAATCTCTCTTTAATCTCTTTTCCTTCCTCCCCCTTATTGATTGCTAATCTGAGTGCATGACTGCGGATGAGACCATACAATATTGATGCGTGACGGAACATGAGGTAAACCTTATGTGCGACAAGAGATGTGTAGTAAATTGCCATTCCTTGTACCATCCTTGCCGTTTATAGTATCACGTAGTGATGGAACGTTTCCAGTGCTGGATGGTGATATCAATGATGAACGCCTGACAAATACGATGGAGACGAAAGGCACTGCGTGGAGCGGCCAGATCCGCAGTCCCGCTACTCATTCCCGCGTGGCATTTCTCACCCTTGTCCACGGAGTCCTCCAGGAACCGGTCCCGAACTCCCATGCCGAGATAGTGGAGCAGCCAAGGCCCGAGCCCGACTTGCCGAGAGCCCTTTCCGCGGAGCGGAGTGGGGGTGGACCTGAATAGTTGATAGTAGTTTGATAGTTTGATAGTTTGACATCTGCATTCTTGGAAGTCTGGAAGCATGGCCGCAAAAGGATTAGGTGGTTGAGGTAGATCTAACCTCAGATAGGCGATATCCATGGGGATCGGGTCTTCTGAAACCTGGCGGCGGCGGCCGACATGAATTTATTTGCTTCAAGGTCTTCGATCACAGACTTCGGAAAGGTCCGTAGTAATCCCAATCGGATCCGGGAGGAGATCTGCCTTGTATCGCAGAGCCCAGGACTCGGTGTACACTGTAGGACTGGAACTACAGAGTTCCAACGTCGGCTTGGAACGGACCTGATGAACACGACCGGATGAGTCCGACAGTCCAGCGCTTGGATAACCCTTCGCCCGCTTAGCCGCGGCCTCAGTTCCTGTCAGCCCAAGATACGTCAATTTCCCGTGTCTAATCCAGCACGACCTGAACTCACGATCCTATTCCCCGGAGAACAGTCCTCCGCAGCCCTTTACCGAACTCCCCGATACTCAAGTCGATATTGGCAGAGGATTTATATCCGAAATCGTCAGTCTATACCCGCCAACCCAATCAAGCGGACGAGTGGGGTCTTCTGGAAGCTGATCTGACGTCGATTAATGCCGGTCTTCGGCGAAAAGAACCAGACCGGAGGAATGAGATATTCCCTAGTGGACACTAGTTGTGTTGCGCCAATCGCGAGGCGCAGATGGGCCATCCCCATCGGATTAGATCGACGTCAGTGCCCGAATGGACTGCCGTTGATATAGCCTCGGGTGGAGAACCGACGCGGGAGAAGAGTATTGAGTAGCCGAGTCAGGGCCCGAGGGTGCAGAATGGATCACGTTGGGAGATTGCGTTTTGTTGAGTTGGAATTTATAATTGTACTTTGTTTTTATTTGGAGAACAGTTGATTTAGTTAAAAGTATCAAAGATTATCTAAAGATATAGATAATGTTTAGGTGTAAAGTATACAACCTGTTCAATACAGAATACTCAATAAAAGAATTCGGACAGAGGGAGGCCAAGCTCCTACTTAGTCAGGTCTCCATGTCCCCGCATTTCAACAAGCTCTTTTAATGCGTGGCCAACATGGCCGAGAGCCAACCAATTAGAACTGCCCTAGATGTAATTGGTCTCCTCCACTTGTGGATGTCTTTTCTAGTACTAGTAGTTATGTTGTTTTGTTTCTTATGATTATTTGAATTAATTATATTCTCCACAAGTATAGACGGAGAGCGGGTAAGAGTCGGGGGAGCTCCTCGGGATGAGTTAATAGTTTACTTAAGTGGTAGTAACTCGTATATAAACACTTGGGCCCCGATACTTCTATACATCTACACCCCGCACTTCCATTGCCTTTTGGCTTGTGACATCTCTTTCCTCTTGTTACTCTTCTTTCTCCTTCTCCTCTTTCATTTCTTCTTCAACCCCTCGACTACTCAACTTGTTTCGCAGGTCGAGTCCAGCAATACGTCATCGGTAAGTATCTCCTTCCAAATCCACCAAAGAGAATCCACGGAACTACGCAGCTTTCTAACTGCCGAACTTTTAGTTCCTGACCTTCGCATCCCTCCCTCCCTACATCCAGCATGGCGTCCACCACCGTGAAAGACAGCAAACCAGCTGTCACGCAGAAGGCGACTCAAGAAGCCGCCGGAATTCTCCACCACCCATACACACGCGCCGCACTTCCCTTCATCAACGGCGGTCTAGCAGGCATGACTGCCACAGCCGTGATTCAGCCCGTGGACATGGTTAAAGTCCGACTGCAACTCGCCGGAGAAGGTGCACGCACCGGACCCAAGCCGTCTGCCCTAGGAATTACCCGCAACATCATCGCCTCGGGCAAAGTTCTGGATCTCTACACCGGTCTCTCCGCCGGTCTCCTCCGCCAAGTTTTCTATACCACCGCTCGCCTGGGCTTCTTCGAGACCTTCATGAAGAACCTGAATGCCAAGGCCAAAGCCAACGACCGCCAGGTGACATTTGCCCAACGTGCCGCCGCAGGGCTGACAGCCGGTGGTATCGCAGCAATGATTGGAAACCCGGCCGACTTGGCACTCATCCGCATGCAGTCCGACGGACTTAAGGCCCCCGAAGCCCGCGCCAACTACCGGGGGGCCTTCGATGCCCTGACTCGCATTGCCCGCGCAGAGGGTGTAGCAGGACTATGGGCAGGAGCAACACCAACCGTGGTGCGCGCCATGGCCCTGAACATGGGACAGTTGACATTCTTCTCTGAGGCCAAGACACAGCTGAAGCAGCACACTACTCTGTCGACATCGAGCCAGACCTTTGCCGCGTCGGCAATCGCCGGTTTCTTCGCTAGTTTCTTGTCCCTGCCGTTCGATTTCATCAAGACCCGTCTGCAAAAGCAGCAGAAGGATAAGTCGGGCGCTTTGCCTTACAAGGGCTTGGTGGATTGTGCGCGCAAGGTTGCCAAGGAGGAGGGTTGGTTGCGCTTCTACCGGGGCTTCGGCACTTACTATGTGCGGATCGCTCCTCATGCGTTAGTGGCCCCCACTCTTTCCCGTTTCTCCACTGACTTTGATCTGCAGCATGGTGACCCTCATTGTCGCCGATTATCTGAACCTCATCACCAAGTAATTGATGGTGATACTGGCGTGAATTTGCCCACGCACTGATTTAATCTCGAGCACGCCAAGTCTTATCCATAGACCATTTGCTATTGCTACATGACCCGCAGACGCCACGACTGCATACACCTACATCGGACATCCCATCCCAGAAATATTTGAGCACAAGCCGAAGGGAAGCAGAAAACACAACAGGAATAGCATCCCGGCCATCTTATTTTCATTGCCCGTAGGTTCAATTCTACCGAGGACGGTTGCCGGAGACGGAGGTGTTCCCCGCGGGAAGCTTCAAGCAGCACAGTGAATTTGCTGGTCTTCCCATATTTTCTGTGTCTTCCAATCGCGCTGCTTTGTTTTCTTTTCCGACAAGCGAATACCCCCTTGTCTTGTTGACAACTGAACCATTGCTTTACCCAGGACAGTCTTTGCAGGAGCTCGTCCGCTCCACTACACTTTGCTCTATGACTAGGACACCATCTTGCGATTCATCACAATCAATCAAATTATTCAGCAAGAATATCTTCGTACTTTGAGAGTAGCCTTCAAGTAAATGTGGCCTTTGTCCAATGTCCACTGTGAAACAATGTTTGATTAAAGACTAATAGGTATCCCTCCGCATAAGAAATAGTCACTAATGATAGACATCTCGTCGTAATTTGATAATTCGTCGCCGAAGACAGTGCGGTTAAGCAAAGAAACCCGCCCAGTCAAGTCCACGTCAAAGACCGAATCAGATCTTCTCATCGCCAGTGCGCTTGGACTCCACAGCACCAGGGGGAAGGACATCTGCCAGCGTCTCCCCAGTACCTTCCAACTCCTCCTCAACAGGAACGGAGTCCTTAATCTTGAAGAAGACCACCGGAACAGCAACAAGAATGGATCCGCACAGCAGACCGAAGTTGGAAGCGTACTCGTTCATGAAAGGCAGCTTCTTCTCATCAAGGGACCACATCACAGCCGCACCAGCAGACTGCAAACCCTTATAGAAGCCCGCCAGATTCGCCAACTTGCGACCGGAGTTTCCCAGAGCGCCCATGATCCTAGTTACGGTCAGTCAAACCCACAGAGCAATGCAACCTCTCAACTCACCAGTAAATAACCCCCTGCCAAATAGCATCATACATCCCATAAAAGAAATAAAGGAACATAGGGCCCACATAACCCTTAGTCGACCAATCCCACCCCTTAAACTCAGGATGAATCTCAACATTCACATCATCCCTGGTATACTTCTTCTGCCAAGCATACCCAGACCCCCAAATAACAACCGTGAGCACAAACAGCGCCACAAGCGCAATCTTCGCCCTAAGCGACCGTCTCACCCTCTCAACATCAAGCAGAGGCCCAATAATGACCGCCGCAACAATCTGAGCAAACCAATACAAGAACCCATTCAGTGCCTTCGTGCGCGTATTGAAATAAGCCCCGTTAATCGCATTCTGCTGGTACGTGTAGAACCAGTTCGAAGACCAGAACATCGGGAAGAGGAGGATGATCCATGGTTCGCTGCGGATTGTTTCCCAAAGGCCTACTATTTCTGTTTTCCATGATGGGTGTTTGCGCAGGATGACTCTGGATCCGTCTGCGCGGATGATTTTGTCCGCGTCGCATAGGAACAGGGCTAGACATGCACCTGAGAACATAAGGACGATGAAAGCGATGTATGTTCCATCACCGACTGTTTTGTTTTCTTTCACGTGGATGTTTTGGCCGAGTGGGATCTGGATGTTGTTAGTCGGAGTTTCTATTGATACGGACTTTGTTACAAGATATACGTACCAAACTACCGATGCAGGCACCAACGTTGAAAATGGCCCAGAACCATGCGAAGTACCGGCCTTTTTGGTGTTCCGAGGGGTAGGACATCATGATTGTGCCTTGGGCGGCCCACAGGAGACCAGCGCACACACCCAGGAATGCGCCGGCGAAGATGTTGAAACCGGGGACATACTTATGCTCCGAGACTAGGAGACTAATGGAGTAAATGGTGTAGCCGATTCCGCCGAACGAGAGGGCCAGACGGACGCCGAGACGATTAACGATGGTACCGGCGAAGAAACCTACTACTGCGAAGGTGCTGTAGAGGGCGATATTCTGGAATTGTTAGCTCGGAAATGAATGTGGTGACGGAAAAAAGCAGAGAAAGAAAAAAAGGAAAAAGTAAAGTGTAAAAACGAGAACTTAAAACAGTCGCAATTTCCGATAGCAAACAAAGAGAAAAAATGATCGTACCATTTTATCCGCTAGGCTGGGATCTGATTTGCCTCCTCCGCCCAGTCCACTGAGGGCATTAAACATGCCAGGACAGAGGAAGCAGACGAAGGCAACCATGCCGAGCTGGATGCGCGGCGAGGCATACCAGCTCGTGGAGAATTTCCCGATCGAGCCCGATTTGTACATCCATCCCGCAGGTCTGGAGACAGGCTCGGTGGATTCCACGGGTGCTTTGTGGTCCATCGCGAGAGCGAGGTGGTGAGATCAGTGTGTTGAAAGTATGTTGAAAGTGAGCGCAAGCGCGAAGTGAGAGTTGTAAAAGTTGAAAGTTGAGAGATAGAAAAAAAAAGAAAGAGAAGAGTTTTAAAAAAGACGGTCTCAAATCAGAGGTATCAAAGATAGCTTGCAGGGTAGCATTGAGATACCGAGATAGTGAGCTGACAGTCTAATTCTACTTGTGTCTCTTCCCGCTTTGATAGCAGTGTTACAGTGTTATGGTACTGTTTCGTGTGGAAGGGAGTATTTGGTTATTTTCTGGGGAAAAGCTGGAGAAACGTTACATCCCGGACACGAGGCTAGTTGAAGAGCTACGGAGTAATAGAAATAATGGGCACATGAACAGGAAAAGGGGCCAAAAGAAAGTCGATTTTGAGATAGCAGAAGTTGCCGATGGGAAATTTATCTGATTGGTCCGTTGAGTGCGGGGTGACACGTGGATACCTTGTGGCCTTGGTGCCTGGGTGCCTGACTGCCTTGTTGCCTGATCATCTCATATTGAAACATCTATACCAAGTACGGAGTAGAAGTGAGTGTATTCTCCTTCATTTGGGGCCCCAACTCGTCTGCAAAAAGCCATTGCCCACTCATCAGCTTTTAAGAGTCACTTAGCAGCAGAAAGTTCCCACTCAAACAATCCCCACGCCCCACGGGCCGACGGATGGTGTGGGGGTGTGGGTACATATTGAGATTTACGAGTGGCAGTTACTACCACGACTTCAGGGGGGTTTGGAAGTGAGGTTCGCAATGGATGTGGATTGGAACATTGGGATTATGAAAGACGATGCCGTTACATTTGGGGAATTTGTGACGCCGTCAAAAGAACTTTGTGAAGACTGAATATGCACGGAGTACGAGTACGTCTGCATCGACGTCTAGCTCCAGGGCTAGTGGGTCATCGTCGATCATCATGTTTGAGTATTCAAGCAACAGACGCATGGCCTAGTATGCCACTTATATTCAAGCACCCGAGCCCAGCGGACCCATTCTCTCGGAACTACCCTGAAAACATCCTCCCAATTTCGCCCATCATCCAAAAGGACCTCATCCTCTCCTTCCATCCTCACTCCAATATGTTGGAAATAAGATCGTACCTCTTGCAGAACATCCCGAGCATTTTCATACTCCCCTTTCCAGGCCTTAACCAAAATCGGACCCAAACGCTCCTCTTCCAAAAGCTGGAACTTGCCCTCCTTCACCTGTTGCTTGTGCTCTTCATATGGGTCCACATCCCCAGAGCTCTCCGTCGGATCCAAATGATCAGTAGGCAATTCCCACCCATCAACTCCACCAGTCGCATCATTCCGCATCATTCGCCAAACAAAAGTCGCCCAGTCCGCTATATCAATTTTCGGATCCATCTCCGGGTTCCCAGTCATGGGATTAATTGGGTTGTAGATATCTGCTTCATATCTTGACCCAACGGGAGAAAAAGGGCATTCGTCTGTCGGAATAGTTGCCCCCAGAAATCCAGTAAGTGCAATTGAAAGATCATCGCGTATCCATATCGTCCTCGCGCCAAAATCCATCAGGTAGACACCGTGTTCGTGTAGGAAGGTTATCACGGTGAGCGACTGCAGTGCCCAGCGGTAGTAAAGAAGCAGGGCAGGGTCCCTGTTTCCATTCTCGGATTCCTTGTCATCAGATGACGTGTGCGACGCAGGAAATGCGGTCATACAAGGTAGAGTCGTACTGGCGAGTGGGCCGGGATCTAGCTTCTCCAGCATAAATCCCACAGGGAGACGGCCGAGATATCTACTCATGCGCCAAATGTTCTAGTCCCCATTGCAACAGAGTGGGGAAGGTAACTCACTTGACGATGCGGGGGTGGAGATCAATCGGTTGATCCAAATCCACATTCCGCATATTGATGCTATGTGCCAGGTATTCGTATACCCGGGGTATTCGCTCGGCAAGGGCAAACCAGTCCTCGGGCTCGATGCGGGGATTGTCTTTCTGGCAGCTTTGAAAGGCCACGAGACAGTCTTGGCTGGCATGTTGGACATAGTACATGTCTTCATAAAGATCGTCATAACAATCTTCTGGACGGTCGCTGCAAACTTCAGGGACCACATCCCCGTAAAGGGCAAGGTATTTGGGATGACTGGGTGGATCGGTCTGTTCTGTATTGGCAGAGTTTTCTGTAGGGTGGTCGGATGACCAGCTGGCGCCCATGATGATTTGATTTGGAAACAAAATTGCGTGAAAAAAAGTGTGAAAGAAGAAAAAAAAACAATGGGATGCAAATATATAAGCAGCATGACGTTCCAAGGTTAGTGTTGGGGCTTGGCAGTCCAGTTGGCAACTTCCCCTTGGTGCTTCACTTCTGTTACCCCAGGGTATCTATCAGACTCGAGTTCATGCATAATCCTCAGTGATAAATTTGGTATATCTTTCGTGCTGCGAGTTTTCTAAAGCTGGCTCCTGGCTAGATCCACGTGCTTGGAAGCTTTATAGTAGATGCAAGAACACCTGCATAACTGTGATGGCCGTTGTATGCTAGTGCGGTGGAAGGAGCTGGATAGATGGATTGTAAGAGTTAGGGAAAGTGCTGTGAATGTTCCCATAAGTAGAAGATAAAGAGCAAAATCATTCAAGGGGTTTTCTCCTGTGGTCTAGGGGTTAGGACCCCAGAATGAGTAGCACCTCTGGGAGGATATCCTCCCGGGGATAGCCCCATTCTGGGGAACGCACCCGCCGGATCATGGGTTTCCCCTAAAGGAAGCTCTGGGGTCGAACCCCAGGCTTTCCTTTTTGCTTTTTCTTTTTTCCTTTCCATTTCCAGTAGGAGGTCGTTACTCTGCTATATCTAGAGCCCACTTGACGACAGTTCCATCACCTAGCTACTGCAAATTCACACAGGTCTGATCCAGCTTGATCGTGTCAAACTGATACAGGATGTTCCCTGGGAAATAAGTGAGCAGTCCCTTCCACTTGAGTGTCCACCACCACCCCCAGAAGCCCGGTACCGGCTTGCGAGTCTCCTGGAGTAATTGCGCCGACGCCCTCGCTTCGTGGACAATCCGCCTCAGCTCGCGCTTATTGAACTTCTCCCACTCCCCGGTGAGATCGCTCGGCCCCTGATTGGCAGTGTACCAGCTGTCAAACCGAACCAGCACATCGCGCATCGCATTGTAACTGTCACAATACGAGTTCCACACCTGAGGATGATTCCAATAGCTGAAGATCATTCCAAGCTCTTTAAGATACGCCAGTTGCTCGTCTCCAGCGTTCATGTTCTTCCAGCGATCTTGACTGATAGGGGAATTACCCTTCGCGAGTCTCCCTTTCATCCAGTTGGAGTCGGTAAGGAAGACAGCCAGACGGTCTCTCCGATCCTTACTTCCGAGTTCAAAACTCATCAATTTGGCAACATCCAATGTCGCCCCGGCCCAGGGAGCCGTCGAGAGAATCCAAGAGATGGTCCAGGGGCAGTCACGAGTGACTGCTGCGTCGTTCTGCATGTGAACGTTGAAGAATCGGGAGATTGTCTGGGCTTCAAACGGATGTTCCGCTGGGGGAAAGAGCTCGAGTCAGCTTCAGATGTGACAGGGGAAGAAGGCAAACTTACTCTGGTAGAACTGATAGTGTCTGACGTTGGCGACACTATTCCAAACGGTATCCGAGTTCGGAAACTTACGCACCCCCAGTTGGTGCAGGACTGTGACGAGTTATGCATATACTTGATGATTCCTGTGGTATGTCTGTAAGCATCGAAATCCTGAGGCCCCAAAGGGGCGTTCGGTCCCTGCTCGGGATATGAGGGGTACACGGGTCCCTTAACCTTGCTCTTGCAGATAGTCAGGGACTTTGGTGTAAGGTTTATCGAGCGGGGCCTTGTGGCTTGTCGTTGTATCAGCCCGGCTTTGCCGTCCGATCCCAAACACTGTGCGTCCTGGAGTCCACAGGTCTCGTTTCCCAGCAGATCTCTCCGGTCCAAGTTCTGGCCGTGAATCACAATGATATTGAATTCGTCGTCACGCTCACTGGGCTGGATGCCATACCGACACGGGATACAGGCGCATCCACAACAGGGCTCCTCAACAACCGCCTCGGTGGTGCAAGATCCGCAGCCATTGCACATGATCCGGGCTGCCATCTTGTTCCATCCTCCATCACCCAGGTTAATCCCAGGGACAAACAGATCTGGGTCGAAGTTTGGGTTCACGAGCTGGCGCTGCTCGATGCGGTTCTGTTTAGTCGCCGCGTCCCCTGTGAAGCATTGGCGATCTCCGGCCTTCGCCAGCTCCTGCACGAAGGTTTTCGACTCCTTGCTCTTCCAACCGACGTAAGAACCCCTGTCTAGATGACTCTTCATGCTTGTTCCAAGACTGGTGATCAGGCAGGATTCCTCCCCATCATGCTCAAAGTTCCAGCGGGAAAACACTGATTTTCGACGTGCTGACTTTGTCTTCTACACGCCTTCCTTCAGAATCCCCCTCTAACGGGGCTTCGGTTCCGCCAGCTGGGAAATCCACCCGGACACGACCCCAGTCGGACTGGATGCGGGATTCTGCGTATCCATCTACTGCGACTGCCCCTGAGTTGCCACCGCTGCTCCGGAGGTTGACCCTGCTTTCCCGGTACAAGTCAAACGAGGCCCATCCTTTGTAGATGCTCTTTCCGGCCAGGCTGGATTCCCCCAGAATCTTCGTGATGGTCGATACCTTCAAGCTCTGGGAGCTGTCCAGGACTCCCTGTCCTCCAATCTTGAAGCTCATGTCCGTTTTTCCATCCGGGTGGAAGAAGCCGGCCGCCTGATGGACTTTGAATGACTTTCCAGGTTTCCATGTGGCAATCATTGAAAACCCGAAATGCGACTTCACAGTTGTTGTGCCTTCCATAGCAATGCTCAACGACTCTCCCACCTGTTTACCCCCATGCTGACAGACCTGGGGGTTGTGATAAACCAACTGGTCGAGCTTTTCTGTGTACTCGATCGCTTCGGCTGAAGGGAACTTCAACGACTTGAACTTGGAGTACCACTCACTCGAACAACCGTAGAAACGATCTACGAGTTGTTTGAGGTCTCGCTTACCGCTTGAAGACCCCGGGGCGTCTACCACGGCGTTCCAGTACCCGGGCACGTTCGAGAAATCCATTCGGACACTGAACTCTCCGGCATCCCGGCGGACCAGGGCTGTGTTATAGTCGAACTTGAAGTCAAACACGGGGGAGGTAGTCGACCCCCGCTTGGCCAGGTGACCGGGGACTGTTTGGTTCTGCGAGAGGGTGAGGGAGATGGCGCGCGCCCAAGATGTGCCGCCACATTCTTCAGGCATCTGGACAACTGTGCCCTCGACACCGCCCTCCTGCACCCTGAAGCAGTCAGGCACGTTCTCCGAGTAGCAAACCACACGCACTGTTTGGTGCTCATCGTTTGACCGAGAGAGAATATCGGATGGGCAGTCGATGAACTCGAGCCCCGGGTTTTCACGCTTGCTCATGGAACTGACAGCGGTGTAGCTTCCTGCAACGAGGAAGAAGGCAACGCCACTGTTATTGGGGTTCTCGTCCTTGGTTGGACCCGTGTACCTTCTACCAAAGCTCGCCAGCTCGAACGTGGGCTGTGCATCTGGGGAGGGCCGATACTTAGGGGGGAATAGTTTCTCCAAATCCACCGGCAGGAACGGGGAGTTGAGGCCACCCGGTGGATCACAACAGAAGGCCTGCTGTCGACCATTGTGGCACGGATTGTTGGCAGAGGATTTACCGAGAGGGTCTAAATCAAGGGTGATCTGGTTGAGACCGCAGGTGCTGGAACAGTACTTTGCCGAATTCCACCCACAGTTGCGGAATGAGTTCTTACTCGGACAGTATAGTCTGCGATTTTTCGCACCTTGAGGATCGACGAGGGCGTTCGTGGAATCAGTGCAGCGCCCATTTGGATTGGGGCCTCCGCTATCAGTGGTGAGCTCATAGGGCCGGTCTGATGGACACTTGCCACCACATTTGGTCCAAGTACAGATCTTGAGGTATTGCTCCATATTGCCAGCCTTGCAGCAGAAGCTCTTGGCGCCACGGGAGCATCGATCTCCGTACCCCCCACCATGAAGAGTACCTTTCCAACCAAAGCTGTCATTCACGATGAGAATCTCTCCAACCTTGCATTTACCAGAACAGTCTTTCTTGTAGGCTGAGGAGTGGCTATCATCCCATCGACAATCTTCGGGCTTCGGGCCAGAGAATGAGGGACAGCAAATGAAGCGCGCCTTCGCGGTTTTGCCAGTGTCACACCGGCCGCGCCCATTGAGGTCGGTGTTCGAGCGACTTACCCCCGTATAGCCACTCTTGCAGAATTCTCCACACTTGGAGATATAGCACTTCGATGGGTCCTGCATGGTGTGTGACACCGACTTGGGAAATTCAGTAACGTTCATGGCGAGATCCTCGATCGACTCCATCTCGCCACCAGAAAGGCCCCGGATGAGCTGGCCCTGCTCGTCGTCCAGGTCAACTGCCCAGGACATGACGCCCATCAGGCCCTTTTCGCTGGCAAAGTCGACTTTTGTCTCGATTGTCGAAGCATCGTCATATCTAACAATTCGAAATCAGCAAAGCATCTCTCGGTGTCTGAGCTTGAGGATACTTACGAAATCCAGCTGGTTACAGAAGACATGTCCATCGCAACAAAATTGCTCTCGTCTCGCTTTGACAATTCAGAAGACGAAGAGGATGCCGATTGCTTCTTATTCCAGCTGTGTTGGCCGTACGTCAAATATTTGACTGCAGCCTTTTTGTCGAACTTTGCTTTGGCCTTGCTTGACCGCAGGATGTCTCTGACTTCTGTATTTTGCATCATTGTTAGCATTAACCGGAGTCTCGACCATTCGGCCAAATGGGAGCGACAAGTACTTGCCTTTGTATGAGAGGAACCCAGCAGTGTCCGTACAAGGGCCCTTAGAGCCCGGCCCGCTGAACTTACAGCCCGGCCCTGTGCATGATGGATCCTCCAGCGCGAAAGTCCGTCCATAAAACCCAGTTCCGAGGACGATCTTGTTCGGGGGTATATCATTTCTCCAGAGCAGGTTCAATGCGAGGTCTATTTCCGTAATGTTTGAATGGCCCATCACATGGCTGCCAATTGGATTGTCCTGATCCCATACTCCATGAAGGTCGTATGACATAAGGTTGACCCAGTCGGCCGCTTTCACACTCTTCTTGATGTCGAAATGGCGGAGGTACCAATAAGACGTTGGTATTGTGAATGTGAGAATATATCGTCCATCGAATGCAGCCTTGAGATCTTGAAGAAGCAAAGTGAAGTTCTCGCCATCTTCGGGGATCCCACCTCTGTCCTCGGCTCCGGGATACTCCCAGTCTATATCGACACCGTCAAATCCGTACTGAGTCATGAAGCCGAGGATATTCTGGATGAATTTCTTGCGATTGGCCGCGGTGGAGGCCATGTCTGAGAAGACCTTTTGGTAAGGGCCTGGATCATTATGGGTCCAACCCTGAAGTAAATCAGCACTGAGCCCGAAGCTAAGAAGCACAACCGGAGGAAACATACACCCAATGCAATGACAACCTTGAGATCTGGGTTTTTCATCTTCAGATCCGTCACTCTTCCAAAAAGACTGGGCTGGAAATCTTTCATGTTCTCGATTTTGAAAGTTCCAGGGGCAATGAAGCCAAACGAGAAGAAAACATGAGTTAACATCCTGATAGGAATGTCTTCCGGACTCATGGTGCCGCATGCTTTGCCCATATTCCACCCTTCATAGTACCCAATGACTACTTTTCGGGGCTTGCTGGCTTTAACAACTGGTTTAGGCTGTTTACAGTGTGTTGACAGCCTTTGCCACAGAACTCCGACGTCGTGCCGCAGAAGCCAAACTTGCTAAATCGAATGCGTCAGTGTTTCGATTTTCCCTCCCATGCACTCAAACAATGATTCACTTACGAGCAACAAACATTCAATGGACAACCCGCGCCAGGCTTAGCGGCATATTTGCCACATTCTGCTTTGGCTTGACAGTTGGACTGGCAGCCGTCGCCGCAGTATGCCTTCTCAAAGCCACACCATCCATCTTTACCACTTGACCACCGTTAGAATCTTGTTACTTTGTGTTTGGGTACGACGTACCAACATGCTCCGTTCTTACACGGTCTACCGGGACCACAGGTGTAGTCACCGTTCGAAGAGGAGGCGGATGTGGTGCCTCCAGTCTGGCCACTTTGTCGGGACAACAGCTCATGAGGTTCCCACGGGGACTTTAGAGCGGCCGCCTCTCGACGGTCGTGTCCCCCGTAACGGATATGGTTGCTGAATACCGAGTCCGCAAAGACAAGGGCAACAGCCAGCAAAAAGGTAAAGGAAAGCACCATCATTGCAAGATAAACTCATCTACATTCATTGGAAAGCCTTGGAATAATGAGTGTATACAAAATTCAACAAAAATGGGATATACGAGGCTCAATATAAGCGACTAATCACGCTCATACATCAACAGCTCAGGCTGAATCGCTATCCTACCAAACTCCCCCAGTCGCTATGTACTTTGTAGGCCAGTCTTTACAGCATTGGACCTTCTGACCAGAAAATCATCAACGGTCTGCAGGACTATACAGCCGTAACTGAACAATTCCGGCCCCCTCCGCGACCAGGACGGATGCCAAGCCAGCCAAGACAGGAACGGTGGACAAAGAGCCGCATAGCCAAGAACAACTCAGCCCTGAACGGGGGTCTGAAACAATGGTATGTGACAAGCCCACAGGTGATAGCTGACAGGTAGTAGAGGGGCAAATCGAGATGCAGTCTGTTCTCAGATCTCACAATTAGGTAACCAGATTTTTGTCCTCACGATAGTATCTATTGGTCTTCCTTGTGAACTGACTCAGATTCTGACCCCTTGAGAGCAAACATCTCATCCTCGAGGCCCCGGTCTTGTAGCATTGCATAAACGCGGGGGCCGGAAACCCTTGTTCTGAGGGGCTTTGTCCCCGGCTCATTTTCCTGTTATGCTCTAGAGATATTCGGAGCGGAACTGAGGAGAAAATAGATCGACATATGCTGATAACCCAGGTGCAATAGTTGTGGGACTCGAGGTAGTCTACTACCTGGCACGGAGTAGCCATTATCTAGAATCGCTACAAGATCATTGCACTATTCGCGTCTCAGTAGGGTCTGGACGGTCTTTTCTGAGTATCTACTGTACTCACCAGCCATGTTTTCGTCACTCGCACTCGCTACCCTTCTGCTTGGGGGGTGGGGAGTTGGATTTGCTGCGGACAGCTATTCCCTATACAACACAAATTCAGAGGTTCTCCTCGATGCCTCAGAAAACTGGCTTGCGGCCTTTAATGCGAATGTCACTTGTCCCGCGCTAGTGGGGGAGTTGTTCAGCAACCCTTTCTTCGAATTCAATCAAAGTACAACCTCTTTGGATCTTGTCTGCGCAGCTTCATGTCGCGATTCCCTGCAGGAACACCGCAAGAACGTCCAAGCGGCCTGTACAGGTGCAAAGTACTACGACGAATTCGAAGAGACAACTTGGCAGCCCTGGTATCCTGATGATTTTATGATCTATTCCCACGATATCGCGTGTATGGGTAAAAGGTGAGTCTCCAGGGGCCTTAAGAAGGGATCTCAAACAAATATATGACCTTCCCATAGTGACGGACAGCTATGCAACGCGTACTTCTGGGAAACAGGTCCCCCAAAGTCAGACTGTGATGAATGCATGCTCAAGATTGTTCATCGCCAGGTGAACTCGCCATTCGCAGGTGACGAGTCGGAAAGGGCGCATTTCTCTTCAGTGACGAAGGCCTGCGAGGCCACCGGGTATCCTGTCACTGCTGCAACCTCGCTGTTGATTGGCACGTAAGTGGCAGAGACAACTCCATACCCAAACTGATCTGACATGTGATAGACCGACGCCAACAGCGACTAGTTGCACCGGAACCACATATACTATTCAGCCCACCGATGACTTCTACTCCATCCCCAAAGCTCAGTCCATGGGGACTGACCAACTTCTACGCTCGAATGGACTGTCCTATCTGAAGGACGATTTCCCGACTACAGGCAACCTGTGTATCGAAAATAAATGCCAGACACACGTGTTGGCAGTGAACGAGACTTGCGCCTCGATTGCGGCCGCTGCTGATATCTGGCAGGTGCAGCTTCTAACGTGGAATCCCAACATCAACCCTTTTTGCAGGTTCGTCTGAAGAATTGGGATTGTTGTGCTAGACTGACCATGGTGTTTAGTAATTTGGAAGCTTTTGTGGGAAATACGTTCTGCATCAGTAACCCTCTGGGTGACTATAGCCTCCCTGATTCCCCAGTCGTTACTTCTGTTCCAACGCCAGAGTCAGCTTATCTTCTCATTTTCTGCTTCTCATCACTGACTCTCGCCAGGCCCGTCCCGAATAATATTGGTCCCAATGTGAACACCCGATGTGGTCGATACCACACCATTGCGGAGGATGAGGATTGCGCCACGATTGGCCTCAAGTTCAACATTGGCCTTGAAGACTTGTAAATTATCTACCCCTCTGGATTTCCATGATTCTAACCCAGCCACAGCATCTTCCTCAATACAGACGTGAACGCCAACTGCTCTAACTTGTGGCTCAACTCCAGCTACTGTGTCCAGCCTGTTGGTGAGATCTCCACCTGTCCTGGATACTTGCCTGGACCTACGGCAACACGACCACCTTTCGCAGCTGGCCCCAGTACTTCTATCCCCTGGTATGATCCGGACCCAACACAAGATGCAGACTTGCTGGTCATTCCACTGGCCAACCTCACCCGCACCGACTGTTGGGACTACATCTGGATCAATAATACAGACTCAGATTGGCTGGGCTGTTGGGACTATGCATGGGCTTCCGGCATTGAGCCCGATCAATTCGCCCTGTGGAATCCATCCATTGACCAAAACACGGAAGACAGTTTGGAACCGAAGTATGACTACCCTTGTACTCTGAAACCTTCTGTTTCATATTGCATTGGGCTAACAAGCCCGACTCCTGGTAAGCCTTCTGTCAATCCTAATCCTCTTGCTCTGTCTGTTTTTCATTAACAAATTATGTACAGCCGCCGCATCAACCGCCAGCGCACCTGCTCCACGCGCCTCGGGCGAAATCAGCGATTGCGTCTGGTGGACATATGCAGTTGAAGGATTAAGCTGTGAGAGCTTGCCTTCCAACCTCGGCTTGACGATCGATGTCTTTTACCGGATGAACCCATCTGTCAAAGAAGATTGTACCGGCCTGGCTGTGGGTACTTATTACTGCGGATCTACCCTGAACATGGGTATTCTCGCAGATGATGGCGATGAGGATATCCCTTCAACAATATCTGCACCATCGATCTCCAGTTCCCACTCCTCCTCTACTGCTACTGCTACTGCTACTCTCAAGCCAACATCTACTGCCAAGCCGACGTCTACTGACAAGCCCACTTCTACAAAACCGGGTCCTCCGGGCCCCACGCAAACCGGCATCCCGGGAAACTGCAATAAGTGGATCAAACAGCAAGATGGAATATTTTGCTATGACATGGCGGCAAGTGCAGGAATCAAGGTGGAGGAGCTATACAAGTTGAACCTGGCCCTGAATGGAGATTGTTCGGGGTTGTGGGCTGGGTATGTCTATTGTGTTGGGACGGCATAGTCACGTAGAGATTAATCAGTTTATACTCCTTAGAGATACTATTTTCTCATATTTGTCTCGAAAACCATACATGCTCCGCCAGTGTATACTTAAGTAGCATCCTAAGAGTACATACCTGAGTATGTCAGAGATAGGCTCGCTTTAGTCTGCTGTTAAATCATCACCTTTCTACCTATAAAGTCTGGACCCGCAGAATGCATGAGATTGAAATATTACTCGTACTGCTCGTGCTAAGTACGAGACATATCGCTGTAACACCAGGTAGGGTGGGGCGGATGGCCTTGGCAGTAACGAGGATTGGTTGGATAAGTGACAAGATCCACCTGTAATAAATGTAAAAAGCCTGGTTGGCCGAGTGGTTTAAGGCACTGTGGGGATGTACCAACCCGGGAGTGTGTCACCGCAGGAGCGTGTGCTCCGAAGGTGTCGGCGCGTCCTCCAGAGACCCCTGGTTCGAATCTAGGATCGGGCGTTCTTTTTTTCTCTTCCCCCTCAAAGAAAAATACTTCGTTCATTTGACATCCTCATTGTGCCAACATTTTGCTCCGTGCAACACAAAATATATGTTGAGAGAGCACGGCGAGAGAAAGGAAGAGGAACCGATTGAAATTGACTGACTCAGGGAGAGAGAGAGGGAGAGGAGAGAAAGTCTATGGAAGGAGGGTTTATCTACAGCAAACGAGGGTTGGGACGAATTTCTATCTCAACAATATAGGTGGTGTATCGGTGTATCTAGTGTTGTGAAATCAGGCAAGATTCAGGCAGCACCGGATCTGGACGCTCCCCCTCGTACCGTGTAGGTCATTGGTCGATCTATCACCATCTGAGACACCCGTCTCCTTGGCACCTGCATATAGCCTCGATACGCGCGCGAATGAACGAGTCCTGCTTGGATGAAATGCGGAAAAAAGCTGTCAGTGTCAGCATATTCATATCAGTCGTCAATTCGTTTGTGCTAAGCTGCATTGAATTTTTGCTCCATTGTATGATTGAAGTCATGACCCTTGACATCCAAAGCCCCACTGGCGTCTAAGTGAAGAGAAAGATGCCCGGCTACGTGGTTCTCTCCAATTAGCCCGACAGCATGCAGCCTGCATTACAGCCCCAAAGACACGCCAATCAGCCGCTCATGGGTTTGTAAATTTGAACGGCTGCACTGCCTCGGGCGGCGAAAAGAGGGCTGAGTTCATCATAATACAACGGCGACTCTTCCTTTTCGAGTTTTCCCCTCCTTCTCCCAGCCCTTTGTCAATATTTCGCGATTCTTCATTTTATTGAAAAGCTGTCACTGGTGCTAGCAACATGGGCGACCCGCTTTCCGTTCCCGGAACTGCGGTCGGCATCGTCTCGCTGGGCTTGTCCGTTTGTCAGGGCATTTATTCATATTACAGTGCCTTTCAAGACGGTCCAAAAGAAACACAGAATATACTGCAGAGGATTGATGGTCTACAGAATTCTCTTGGTGTTCTTGGAAGTGTCTTTCAAAAGCATGAGAATCTGCGAACAGAGCCCCTCGATGTGAAGAGTGCCAAGCGGCAAGTTCTAGCATGTCAAAATGGCCTGGTACAATTGAAAGATATCCTGGACAAGTTCAAAGCAACACCAGTTGATTTGAAGCGAAGCTTCATCAACAGAGCGTCATATCCTTTCAAGCGTGATACGATCAAAGCGATTCTGGAGCATGTTCAGGCAGTGCAACTCAATCTGGACACTTCGCTCGCTGTTTTACAATTGCAAGTTTGAGCTTTTTCTTTATTCGCAATGTTTTTATTTTAACAAGTGCCCAGATCTGTCAACTCGCATAATTCGGAGCAGACAGCTCTGATATATGGTACCACAAAGCACATCGTCACCCAATCGACGAGGATCCATAGCCACATCGAAAGCGTTGATCAGATTCAGCAGGAGATGAATTCGAGAATTTCAGGGATTGAGAACAACTTTGCACTCATGGTAAGTGTCTCCAACCTTTTGATCTTGTACTCGAACTGAATTAAAGAATCTAGTCCCTTCATCTCAGCCAGCAAACCAGACTACTTTCTGATTCTACGGGCCTGAGCGCATCACACGATAACAATCGTATTCCCATCCACCCTACAGGATCCTTGATGGCAACCCAAGGAATTTCTAATGCTCGATCCCAGGGGCGCAAATGCACTTGCGCCTTATTGCCTGCACCTTCTAGAGCAAGGAAAGGCTTTTTCGCATCAATCTGGCACTCAACCCATAAGTTCGGATGTCCTTTTTACTTCCACGAGGAGAACTCAATTTTCGAAAGAAGATTGAAGTTTAGCACCCCTTTGTTCGGCACCTCTGTTCACTTTTGTCTTAAGAGTATCAGAAAGGCTGGGGGATACACAATTTTTCCTTGCTTGGCTTTCTGTCCGATAGTCGATGACCGAAAATTACCAGCTTTTCAGCTCGTTGATAAAGTGAGAGGTGATCTTTGGGAACACAGAGATACTTCAAACGTCTTCCAGCACCTCTTTAGAAAGTTGATCAATCAACTAAGGTCTGTATACGAGGAAGGCTCAGCTTCACCCAGAGATATCACTGCTTGGGGGGGCAATATTCTCCATGTGAGTGAAGAAATTGAAACAGCGCAATACAGTTCCATAGCTCTGACAAATGCAATAGGAAGTTCTGTCAATCCTAGAATATCTTCCCCAGGGGATGATGCCGGATTTCCATGACCTTGTCAAGCACATTGTCGAATTCGGTGTCCCACTAAATGAAACATCCCCGTTGGGGGGTGCATTGAACGTGCTTCTTATTCGAGGCAGCGAGTTCTTCAACCGTGCATCGGAGGTCAATCAAGATCCGATGGTGTTTCTAGTCTCTGATCTCGTGGCCTGTGGCGCAGATTTAACACATAGAATTAGCGAGACCACCATCGTTCCGTCGCACCCTAGTTGGGAGCCCGCTGAGGGCGGATTCGCGCGAGTGCATTGCTCAGGCAGCTATCTTTACGCGGTCACGAGGAAAAATATACATGACGGTATGTCCATATTCTCATGCAAAATTTCATTTTTGTGTTCCACAAGGGGTGAACCAGCTGGAAGGGAAGACTAATTGCGACCGAACATTCAGAATTTCATTCCTCTGATCTAGAGAAATTCATTCTCTCGAGATCAAAAGTAGACTTGCAAGAAGCTGTCTCATTGCCAACATTCATAGAATACCCTGCAGATAAGCAATATCTTGCAGAAATCTGCGTTGGGTGGCCATCAGGTCTTCGCATATTTTTGGGAGCTGGCTGTCATCTGAACAATAACAAGCTTCTACACCAAGCTATCAGATCACGCTGCTGTGAATCAGTTCAAGTGCTATTGGATCACAAGGATACAGTCTTAGACGAGGCAACTGTTGATCATGCACTTGCAATTGCAAACTTCGAGATTGTCAAATCATTGATGCTTTCTTTGGCCGGAAGAAGAAGAAAGCTCCAAGAATTGGCCAAAAGACATTTACCGGTTCACATACAAGCACAGCTCGCTTTATCAGAGGAAAGTCTACTTGACACTAATGCTATACAGGTTTACTCCGAACTCAAAGCATTTGGTATATACCTTGATCCATGCTTGAGGGTTTCTGCACATTTTCTGTCTGTGTATGAGTGGATTGATTATGATATCGATGCTGCAAAAATGCTTTTTGAGGCAGGGTTCCAGAATTTGGAAGTTGAAGAAGAGAGGGACAAAATCCGTAAAGGGTCAACTACGCTGATGCGACTTGCCAAGCGCCCTGGATACCGAAGACACGTCCAGAAAGTATTTGAGACTGTCCTTTTCCTTATCTCTAAGGGGGCTGATCCCTATAGAAGACGCTGTGGATATGGCCCTACGGCAATGCACTTCCTTGGGCGCAGTGTTTTTTTCATTTTACAGGACTATGTGACCGTCAAATTGGGAGTGTGGGCGGGGGCATACTCTCCTGCATGGGGCATGATTATTCCATCAAAGAAGCTGAAAGCGATAACCGAAATTTTACATCAAGAATGGTCTCCATTAGACCACAGAAGCTGGAGCCTTCTGGAGACTATCTTCGTGGATTGTCACGATGATGCATGTTCTTGTGCGTGCTCAACACAGGGATGTCTTCCAAGGACATGTTTCTTTGGGGAACTGGCTACATGGCTCGGCTCTTCGCTCTGCATTCAAGCTATGTCTGAGGTAATTCGTTTCCTCGGCGAGCGGTGGAGGGCTGGATCAGTGAAGGACTTGAATGATACACTGGCTCCAACCGTCTTCCGTATCTGCATGTTTGATCACTTGGAACTCACCCACACATGCTGCCGGAGGACCGACAAATTCGATGGTCTCAAGGAGGAGGAGCGCGCAGAATTTCGAGATGAAACTGAGCGCATTCTTGACGAACAGAGGCTCTTGATTGAACAAGTTGAGGATCAGACTGCCTTCTTCTTGTCAAAGTATCATGAGATGGACCTGGGGCTACCGGAATTTCTACTTGAATACATGTCCGTCGAGATCACGAAGAACCCCAAGGCAGCAGCTAGAGATGAGGAGAAGATGCGGGAGTATGAGCAGGAGGCAGAGAAAGTCAGGCGTCTTGGTGTTCTCTTGGATGAATGATGTATATGGCATTCGTTCTGAAGCATCGAAATACATTATCCTATTAAAACGTCTTTTCCACTCCGCTGGGAACCTATTCTCATTCTGGGCCTTTGCTTCAAGTGAAGTGCGGTTGAAAAATTGGAGACTTTCTTTAATATGTATTCTGATATCTATTTTGATGCTTAAGTGATAGAAATAGGAAATACAAGGCTCGCACTTGTGTGCGAACGGCGGGGTGCGTGCATAACAAAGCGGTGGCGAAGAAAGAACACGGGTATAAAAACTTAGGCTCACAGAATCATCGTAGGCCTGAATTGGGGTTCATCTGCGATATGAGGCTGGTGCAGATCAGGAACCAAGCCCCAGCATTGCTACTGTAGAATTTGGGAACATTCTTTGGAGAAAAGAAGAGCGTCGCGACTGATACATATCAATTAGTTCCTGACTTCAACTTAGATAACATGATCACGAACGTTCTTCCAAGTCTCTCAATAACTGCACCATTTCCGTTTCATTCCATTTCTTCGCCCACTCCAAAGCGGTATCGCCATTCGCGTCCTTCACGCCAGTGTCTGCTCCAAGACGGATCAAAAGACGGATGGCATCTGTCTTTCCCTGCTTTGTTGCAACATGCAATGCAGTCCCTAAGCTCATAGGAAAAAATCGCTGTAAAGTCGAGCTATCCTGATACATTGTCGCATTCAAAGGCGCACCTTTCTCGGTGAGTAACGATATGACATCTTCAAGTTCTTCGTCTCGAGATACAGCATACTGAAGAAGCTGCCCTTTCTGCACATCCCCTCCATGGCTCAGCAACAGTTTGATAACACTGAGATGTGCATTTCGAACAGCGTAGGGCAATGGAGTGCAGTCTACCTCGCATCGCGCGTTCGGGTTCGCTCCATGTTCCAAAAGCCAACTGGTCATCTCGGTGTCCGTTACTGCGTAGCTATGACGATTCTGTTATTGAAATGTTTTTCTTGAAAGCGGATCCAACATACGAAAGTACAGGAGGCTTCAAAACATCAACCGGTTCATTTATATTCCATCCTGCTTCAAGGAAACGTTCAAGGACGGCCTTCGCCTTGCATCTTGTTGCCTTCTGAGCATAAAAGGGCTTTATTGGGAAGCCATGGAAGAGAAGGTTTGAAACGATCTCGACTCTGTCATGTTGAATTGCTTCCCACATCACATCGTGAAGATTTCCAATATTGAAAACTTCAGGTTGAGACCTCGACAGTAGTGAGTCCATCGCGTCCTGGAAACCTTCCAAGTCCCCAATGACACACATAGAACGCATATTTTCAATTGTAGCTGATGCCGTATGACAAGGACTTTGGAGCCTACCATAGCTAGTGCGTTCCTCTTCTGAAAGAAGCCGGATATCCATAGGGGTTAAGATTGTTGTTCTGATGGTTTTCAACGGGGTAAAAGAAAGATTATCTGAAAGAGCAAGACCGTCATTTAAATACAAAATGAATGTTTCACAGCGGTGGATATGATAGATCACGAGCAGGATCACAAAGCCGAGGTAGAATCCGCACAGATTATTCGCGTCTTTTTCGTCACTCCCAGAGCCGCTCACTGCCCTATCAAGCCCCTTGAAGTCTCCAAGCCTATATACAATTTTCTCGAACCGCAGACATGACAGTTTGTGTAAGTGAGACAAGTAGCCAGATTAAAGCAACGAGGGTGGCTGCAAAAATTGTGCAAACAGTTGGGATAGCAAGCGAGGTCAGTGCCCCTCTTCGCAGCATCCATTGCACTGGAAGTTGGAGCCGGGGTTTCAGCAGCCTCTTCCTGGGCATATTTGGCTTCAGCGCTAGCAAAGGCAGCGTCCAGCTCAGTGCAAAGCTCATCGCTGGCGATAGCAACAACTCCGTCATCCTTATCCTTCAAGTAGTAACCCCCATTTTCGGGGAATAGAGAGCCGTAAGGGTGATCTTTGGCCATGTCGTTGAGGGACTGTCTATCGATAAGGACGATAGCGTCACTTGGAGGCGTGGCCTCGTAGCGGGTGAGGGCTTCGACCATGGCGATAAAAAGGCAGAGGAAGTGCACGGTAGAGGCAAAGGTGAGTTCCATATCGATTGAGGGGCACTTGAAGGTTCCTGTAACAAGTATGTGTCTTAGTCATCTCTAGTATTGTTCCACAGGTGTACCTCACAAATACCTTGTGATTGATTGAAAGGAAGTATGAGACTATGATAGAGATGGGAACATATGCCTTGTTTATAGCACTTGGATGTGACTAGGTCGGTCAACTGCCCTCCCTGGAATTAAATTTACAGTCAATGATAAGCAATCATATTACGTTAAATGCTCTTTGTATGTGTGCCCGCTTCGCAGTCTAATCAAGGACTCGTACAACCATCGTCCGAGGACGGAGGGGCGAGATCTATCTATGAAAGGCTTCGCCCGGTATTACGAGGCCAGAGGATGGGAAGGATCTGAGACATACCAGGGTCTCTCTGGGACAAGGTGCTCAATACTACATCCTTGCTACCATTGTGGCTTTTATGGTGGGTCCTGTGAGAATGTCCGAGACAAGCATACAATAAATGTACTCGTATATTCGTTAGTCAAATATCTAATAAAAACAAGCTTTGACCGGTGGGAGATGCCGCCGTTCTGGATGTATACGACCATGGGGAGGACATATTCAGTCAAGTCGTCTAAAGTGGTTGGTTTAGGATTGCTAGAGTTACTCTGGGAAACAGTTCTTATCCCGGAGAGTCATACGATGGTACAATCATTGAGTAAAACAGTTTTTAGTAAAACCTTTTGTGATGACGAGCAACAATCGAATTCAAATAAGGAGCCTAATAAAAAAGGTACATACGGAGAGAACCCCCGTTAAAGGTGCTCTGTTGCCAATGATCTCCCGACTCAATACTAGTATGTATGGATTTACCAAGAGATTGATAAATTGATTAGTGGGTCCAGGTGGGTCGGGGCCAAGCAGGGGGCCGGCCCGAACGTGACTACATACTGGTATATGCATATCCTGCCGAGAGATTCTCAATTACTTTTTGGTGAGCAAAATGCGGTAAAGAGTGCGAAATAAAACGAAAAGTATTGAATGCTGGAAATTTCGGTCCATCAGGTGATCTCTCGGAGATCATTTAAACTCCGCATTTCAATACATGATTTCTGACCCTTCTGGTATGGGTTGGTAATCACGTGGCTAGACTGGTATAATGCATGATGCAAACTATGCAAACCATGGAACCGTTGGTAATCCTTGGTTTTGATACACGAACCTATTATCTACGCGCCGAGGAGCAGGAGCAACTGAGACAGACTTGTGTCCCAACCTTGTAATGATTGTTTTAACATGAGTCAATTCCGGCTTCAGAGCTAGCTGTACCATGAGGAATTTGATCTCATTCCCATTTCGGCCTTTCCAGACATGTTTATTGCTTTCTCGTCTTCATTCCACTTCCAGCAAAGCCAGACAAGCTCAGCATCACCAAAATCATATTCGCGGCTTTTCCTGCACGACTGCCCTAATGTCTGAGTCTCCCAAGAGTGATAACTCCTCGCATCATCTTTATGAGCCCATCGAAGGAGTGGAAAAACTGGAAAGCTATCGCGTGGGAGGTTATCACTCCATGACAATCGGTGATTATATTCACAATCGCTATCAAGTGGTTCAAAAACTTGGTCACGGCACATACTCGACGATTTGGCTGGCCCGAGATCAAAAAGATGGCAAATATGTCGCCATCAAAGTGTGTACCGCGGATTCGAACCCGCTTGAATTCAGCGTCCTTTCAGAACTTTCCAACTCGCAACAAAGCTCTAGCACTAGCTTAGGAAAGAGACTGATACCATCGGTACTAGACAGATTCGAGGTTCAAGGATCGAATGGTACGCACCCTTGTTACGTGACAATCCCGGCAAGGATGAGTCTCTCCGAGGCGAAAGATGCCTCATATAACCGCCTTTTCCAACTGGAGGTTGCTCGGGCCTTGGCGGCACAGCTAGTCCTTGCAGTTGAATACGTCCACTCCCAGGGATTCGTTCACGGAGATCTTCATGCTGGAAATGTTCTCCTCCAGTTGCCATTTGACTTAAGCCAACTTTCTGTGGAAGGATTGTACAAAAAGTACGGAGAACCAGAATTCGAAGCAATAAGACGTTTTGATGGGCAACCGCTCCCACCGAATATCCCATCACGGGTTGTTTTACCAATCTGGCTTGGTGAGGCAAGTGACAAACTCAAACTCCCAGAAGCCAAAATCCTACTCAGCGATTTCGGTGAGGCCTTCTCCCCTGCCAAGCAACAGAGATTTGAGTCCCACACTCCTCTTGTCTCCCGACCACCGGAGATTCGGTTCGACCCACATAAGCCTATGTCATTCCCATCAGACATCTGGTCCCTCGGATGCTCTTTATGGAGCATCATAGGCCAGAACCCACTTTTTGACGGCATGTTCGCGACCGAAGATAGCATTACCTGCGAGCAAGTCGATGCACTTGGTATGCTGCCCCCGGAATGGTGGCACAAATGGGAGGGGCGACATGGTAGATTCACAGAAGATGGGAAGCCGATCAACCGGGATCCATACCGGTCGTGGGAGGACAGATTCGAACAAGATATGCAGGAGCCTCGAAAGAGGAAAGGCATGCCGTGTATTGAACCGGCTGAGAGGGATGCTATTTTTAAGACGCTCAAGTCAATGCTCAAATTCAGGTGTGAAACCCGTTCTTCTGCGAAGCAGATCCTCGAATGTGAATGGATGGTCAAGTGGGCTTTGCCCGAGTACGAGAAGATTCAAAGGATATGATTACAGCAAAGCTCTTCCGTGGCCTAAATCGTCTTGGTACTGTTTATGTGAATAATCTAGGCATTTCCTCGTTTTACTACTATCTATCGAAGAAACGCATTTCTCTACTATTCCGGGACATATTGCCTGATTCTAGCATAACCATATCTCCTTAAAATTTCATGCTCGTATGAATAAACATTATCATGAGAAGGTAAAAAATACAGCCGCTCTCAAAATCTGCTTGACCACAACACATCGAGAAGCACTTTCTCGGCCCCGCTGCCGAGGCAATTTTAAGAATGGCTGTAGAAGAGCAAGTGTGAGATGCGTTTTAAAGTTGTTTTGTCAATCAAATAGAGCACAAAGAAAAGCCTGGAAAGTTGCCATCTTTAGGCTTCGTCTGAGCTTGCCCTGTCTAAGTATCAAAATTGCGCCACTCGGTTTCCCATTCCAGCAAAGTCTCAGAAATAGACAATATTTGAGGATTTGGCCCAAGCAATTGCTTCTCCATAGCTAAGCAATCTTGCAGTAACTTGAGAGCATCGGTATTTCGACCTGTTGATTTCCGGGTGAAGGCCAAATTGGCCATACTCGTCAATGTTGTAGGATGGGCTTCACCAAAGAAAGATTTTTTTGTTTCCATCAGCTGCACCTCGAGCTTCTCGGCCTTCTCCCACTGGCCCAAGGATTTGTATGCTACTGCTAGGTTCTCCATGCTAGAGAGCGTTTTAGGATGGGCGTCACCGAGCTTCGCTCTATGTATTTCCATCACCCGAGTGAGGACCTTCTCACACTCGTCCCATCGACCTTGGTCTGAATATATCAACGCGAGGTTGACCATGCTTCTCAGCATGAAAGGATGGTCGTCGGCGAACCTCGCCTGGCTCAAGTTCAGTAGCCGCAACTGGAGTTTTTCGGCATCCAGGAACCTTTGATGACTCCTATACGCTACTCCAAGATTATTCATGCTGGAAAGCGTAGTGGGATGGGTTTCGCCGATCTTCAAGATGAGATCTTGCACCACCTTCTCTAATAACTTCTCGGCTTCGCCACAAAGATTCTGCTGTAGATGCACCAACGCTAAATTGCCGATAATCGCAAGTGTGTTAGGATGATCTTCACCAAGAATTTTCTTGCGAGCTTCCATAACCTGCAATAATAGCCTCTTGGCCTCCTCCAGCCGACCCTGTCTCAAATACGACAAAGCAAGGTTACCGATACTCGTTAGAGTGTCAAGATGATCTTCTCCAAGGTTTGCCTTGCGAACTTTTAGCACCTGCAATTCGAGCCTCTCGGCCTCCTTCAACATGCCCTGGTCTGAATATGTCGATGCCAGGTTTCCCATAGCCTTCAGCGTGTCTGGATGATCGTCGCCTAGTTTTCTTTTGCGAGTATTCATTACCTGCACCAAGATCCTCTCGCATTCCTCAAACTGGCCTTCGGTCGAATATGCGGTTGCGAGTAATGAAGTGCTTTCAAGCGTGTCATTGTCCTCTTCACCTAATAGATTCGCTCTCTGATTCTTTGCCTTCAACGCCATTTCTTTCAGGTCTGCGAGATTTCCACTTTGCCACGCATAACGCGCGCCTCTGTGTAATAGCGTGGCCCATTGGAGTAGACTCTGCTGGGATTCTGGACGCTGAGACATCGCTGATCGAACATGAGGGAAGAGTGATTGGCATATTTCCCAATTTTCGTATTGCTCTTTACGAGGAAAACTGTGGTTCAGAATGCTGATGAAAACATCCCTCCATTGGTCTAGTTTCCCATGCGATTGCAACCACACGCGTGTAGTCAGTTGCACTAGTCGATGCATCGTAAAGGAATTGCTATCACCCATGATAGATATCAATGAATAGTCTCTCAGAATTGCGACGTCATCTTCAAAATCTAAATCAGATTCGAATGTATCCCCATCACTGGAGTTACTGTAAAAATCTGGACTTGGGATGTAGTTGGCTGTAGGTTGATGCCGAATAAGGTTTTCTGGTATCCCTTGCCGATCAAAAAAGCTCATTAGAGAAAGCAAGTCCGCAGCGGATGGCTTTTTGTGGCGTACATGATCAAACGAAATTTGCCACGTCACTAAAATTGAATTCTTTGCTTCCCAATCCCGGTAAAGGTGACCCGCCTCTTTTGCAAGAAGCTTTGTCACATGGCGGTCACTCTGTTGGAAATGTCTCAAATATTGGGATACTGAACTGAGAGGTGCCCGATTGCGAATATAGCTGGCGGCCTGGACTATCGCAAGTGGTATAAAGTCGAGTTTCTCAACTAAACGCCGACTCTCTTGGCTTTCGTCAGGCTGATCAAGCGTCTTCTGAAGAAGTTCTAGTGCCTCGGACTTTTCCATTGGTTTGACTTCAATAAGATCCTTGTGCTGGACCATCTTTAGCGCAACCTCTCGAGATCGACTCGTGATAATGATTGAACTGTTTCCGCTTTTAGGAATATATTCCAGCAATGGTTTTCTCGGGGTGTCTGCGATGCTTGCGGTTGGACCTTCGTTACCTGCCATCGAAAACGAGCTCAGAAGCTGATCGTCATCCATGTTATCAAGGATTAAGAGCCACTTCCCTCTCTTCTTATCCCGGAGCCAATTCTCGATCAGTCTGAATATGTTAACTTGAGGATCGTGACGATCCTTGATTTTAGCCTGGTCTGCAATATCCCGGAAACTCTGCTCAAACCGAGCTTTGTTACTCGCGTGGACCCAGAAAACCCATGTTGTTGGAGATGCGGACTGGACCTGGTACGAGTATTCGATGGCAAGTTGCGATTTCCTTTAAGTCATGAGTAAAGACCCACGTGCTTGTCAGGCTACACTCACCCGACACCACCGAGGCCGACTAACGCTATCCGCGACCCTGGCACTGAGCTTTCCTGAATCCGGCTGAGCAGCGTATTACGGTGAACAAAGACTGGATCGCGTGGGAATGGGACAGTTGATAGAGGACTAGGCGGGGTTTCCGGTCGCTCTAGGGTTGCAAGCGGTCGTTAGTATATCGATCATTCAATCGTTCCCAGTTCCAGACTTACCTGGCGGAAGATGGAAATCCGCGTTGATTAAGCCACGGTTGTCTCCGATCTGAAGCCCTTGGTTGTTGCCGTGGAAAGATATTGATGCCATGATCATGTAAAACTGCGTCGTATAGAGTTCATTCGAAGTGCCATGGTCTTCTCCCCACCTCAAGGAGGGGCATGATGCGACCTCCACGATCAGGTGACCCTGAGGCTCTAAGACAGCAGATCAAACTAAGGCTGTCAGAGCAACCAGATCAAGCACAGCACGGGATAGCCAGCGCTAGCTAAAGCCCGCTTGAACATCCGTAATCTGACACCCGTTGTTCCACACTCCAAAGACACATCCCAAGCAATCACAGGTCAAATTGGTGCTATGATAAGCTACCACATGACGGTTCAGTCCTCGCGCCGCCATTTTTCGAGGTCCGCAGCATTCAGATGGGGCCACCAAGCTCCCAGTAACTGCGAATCACCAAGTCATGTGTATTTGGTGAAGCTACAGGGCAAATGAAGAAACGGACAGAACCGATAAATTGACTGCGGGGGGAGAAGAGAGAGAGAGAGAGAGAGAGAAGGGAGAAGCTGAGAGCCGATCTATCTACACATGGGGGCTGGGACGAACTCCCTACACAACAGTTTTGCCGCTTCTTTGGCGGACTATTGAATATACTCTGAATAGTCTTCTAATTCCACGAGTAAACAGTCCATGGCCAACTGGAGTCGTGTCTTCAAACCGCATGTCCCTATCGGAAAGGTCATCGGCACGTTCCACCTGGATATTGGAACTATAATCTCTCTACGAGTGTGAATAATATAACCAACGTAAACTTGGCTTATGTATAGGCACTGGCAAAAGTTTTGGTGATCCTTTATTTCAATAATGCTCAGCCGAGAAAGAGCCCGCAGTTAGATAACTTGCTGTTTTTTCCGCCATTACAAAAATGCAAGTCATGTCTTGAGCCTTCTGCCTTTGCCAATTGTTTCACCTCCCAACTAGAGATAGCCTCAAGCCGTGAATTGCGCTAGAAAATCCAGTTTCCCGATGTTCACCCCTTTTGCTCTCAATATATCGTATGCGGTCACAAGGTGGAAATAGAAGTTCGGTATCGAGAATCGCACCGAGTACTCTTCAAGGGTGTACTGGTACGTTTGAGTGCCAATTGGCGCCTCGAAAGCCTTCCCCTCTCTTCCAGCACACATGTCTGCGTCAACAGCCCTTAGTTCGACGACGTATTTCTCGATGCGGCTGTACAGTTCCTGGTAGGTTTCGTCTGGTGGGTATTGAGGTGGGATGTCCACAGAGGCAAGTCGGGCGAGGGCTTTCCCGATATTGTTTGTGGCTGTGACAACCTGGAAGGCCAGAGGCTGCATATCTTCCGTGATTCGAGCATGAAGAAGTTCACTGAGAGGGATGTTGTGTTCCTCTGCATGTTGCTCGCCTTTTCTCAGGATGTAATCAAGAGTCTCGAGGCCCCGGGTGAAAGTAGCGATTGTGTAGGAGTAGAATGGTGATGCCATTTTGGTATTTTGATCATATGCTTGGATCTCTTCTTCAACTTGACCGGAAAACAGAGTATTAATAGTTATTATCCTCCCGCCGTGGAAATAGGTTTTCTACTCGCCATCGCCGTGGAATACACCCGGAGCTCGGGGTTCCGGTTGAGGCAAGCCGAATATCGCTGAGCAGGGTCTGATTTGTGAATTCAAATGGCTCATCAGAATTCATGATGATTTGTCAGAAAAAAGCTGTGAGGTTTCGCTGGAACTAAATGCAACCCTCAGAGCCTGGTCGCAGGTACATAAACATCGCGAAACCTGGCCCTTAGAGTGAGACTCTTGGAACTTTAGAACAATAGAACACTCGTCAAGATCCAAACTTACTTACACTGAACAATGGACAACCCGATTCCTTCATCCCGGTCGATTATCACAACTTTAGAAAACAATGACAGTTCCTGAAGTCCTACGTCTGAACATGAGTCCATTCGGAATACCCTCGTCAAAGTCACTATCACATTCGATATGAAACGATTTGAGGGCCTACGCAATATCTTTACCAACGTTGCGTTGTCGGTTGAATAACCCGTTGGTGGGATAGTGTAGCTCGTCGTCTGCAAGCAACATAGTAAATGTAGTGCATCGATTTGCGTCTTGGCGGATGAAACCCATCAATCAGTTAATCAATCTATGCAAGCTACAGCGGCTTCAATGTTCATTTGATTTCGTTTAGTGAAAAGTGCAATACTTGTAATGGGACTCAATCAACGCTGGTATTGGAAATAGTGTAAATCTCAAATCAATCCTCCTCGTTCTCGCTCTCGCTGTAATCGTCTTCAACCCTCGACCTTCAATTGAACCGAATCCGAGTCAGAGTCATCGGAAGCAGATGAGCCATCTGGACCATCAGCTTCAGACTGATCGCTCTCACTGTCCACACTTGCTTCCGTCTGCGCAAGCCCGGCGTCTGCTGTTTCGTCCTCGGCACCAGTCTGATCATCCTCATTGTCCACGCTTGCTTCAGTCTGAGCCGGATTGGTGTCTGCTTTTTCGCCATTCCCAGCTCCAGACTGGTTTTTCTCATGGGCCACGTTTGCTTGGGTCTGGGGGAGCCCAGCATCTGCTGTTTCGTGGTCCACGGTCTCAGGTTGGCTTGCTCCAGTCTGGGCTAGCCCGGTATGTTGTTCATCGGGCTGTCCTCCGCTGTCCTTGTCGCTTTGCTCCTGGACAGGGGGTGGAATTGGCTGTTGGATCTTGCCATCACTCCCAATCCTTTGTCCTTGTAGAGCCCCTGTTTTTTGTGCAGGTTCAGGGTGGCCTTGTTCAGCCCGTTCCTCATCTGTGTTAGCCGTCTCATGGACAATGTTCTCTGGAGGCTCTTCTTCATGTGCGGGGATATCGCGTTCCTCCTCTTCTTCATCCCTGGCGTCATTGTCTGTTTCATCCGAATCCTGGTAAGCTTCATCCTTTTCATCTTCGCCTTCTTCACCCTGAACTTGCCCTTCTGAGTCCTCTTCCTCCTCTTCATCCGCCTCTTCATCATCCTCGTCTTCTTCATCTTGATTGTCGCCCTCAATACCTGTTTTGTCCGTAACTTGGTAAGCTCCTTCTTGTCCCTTTTTTACTTGCCCACTTTGAACTTGCCCTTCTGTGTCCCCTTCCTCCTCTTCATCCTGTTCTTCGTCCTCTTGTTCCTCGCTTTCATCGTCGAGATCCGCAGTCACATCAGCGGCTCCCTCTTCCTCCTCTTCCTCTTCATCTCCACTGTCAACCTGGACAGGAGCAGGCTGACTGAGCGGCTCCGGTTTGATCCGCTGGGTCGAAGGCTTAGCATCGACATCCATGGCATCACCCTCACTCTCGTCACCGCTATCAAGCTCAATCCCCTCATTCCGATCCTTGGTCTTCCGGCCATCCTCAAGGTGATCATCCTCTGCCTCACGTTCTTCAAGCTCTTGAGCACGACGAACCTTCCGCAGCAGAACAGGATCGGGTCGCAGGTCATGTCCACAGAGCGGAGTGGCACAAACAGGACATTTGATGTATTTCACCCGCCCTTGACCGCGACGTGAGTCCGGAGGCGCAACTGTCGTCTTACTGCTGTTGATCATATTTTCAATAGCCTCGCGCTCGAAACTGTGCGGGCATTTGGTGCTAGTCACGGGATCCTCAAAGGGTAAGAGCGTAAGTGGGCATTTGAGAGAGACTCTCTCGCGCTGAATGGCAATGTCGTCATCGTCCTCTGCTGGTGCTTGATTCCGACGAGTCCTTGTTGATACTCCCCTCGACTGAGCGGGGTCTTCCATATGCGAGAACCATGTTGAAGAATGAGGAAGAGGTGGCACATCGTCACTTGGGAATTTGGAGTCATGAACCATCTTGTAGAAGCCGATATAGTTGTTATCACCGGCGTATCTATTCGTAGTTAGTTGCTGGTCGGTTGAATCGAAGACAAATTCCCTTACCTCTCCGTCAAAGACATGCCATTCCACTTCTCAGTTTCGGCTGCAATTTTCGCCACAATTCGGCTACTAGGCGGATTCTGCGCATTGCGCTCCCTCGCCTCCTTCTCCTGTGGATCTTCATAGCTATCATCCTGAGGATCCTCAACTTCCTCCTCCTCGTCATCCTCATTGACATTGCGCCGTGAGCGCCGAGACCGAGTCTGTCTCACTCCAATAGCAGCCTGAATGGCATCTGCCTCCTCCTTCTCAACCTCGCCAATCGCATCCGTCAGTCCCTGCAACCGGGCACTGCAATCAACAATCGACCGAGTCTTCTCTTCCAACCGCGCAGTGATAGCTTCGACTTTAGTCTCTTCCTCCGCAAGGCGTTGATATTCCTCGCTCTCTTCATCAGGTTCCACTTCCTCGCCCCGACGCCGTTGATTCTCTTTCTCCCTCTCGTAGCGACCACGCGCATCAGCCAGTCTCTCATTCACCTCGCCTCCTGATGCCGTAAGCTTGTCAATAGCCCACGAGAGATGAGTGCGCAAGTCACGCAGGTGTTGTGATGAGAGTAGTGATGCAAATTGACGCTGGTCTTCCACAGTTAGTGGTGCCTCGGGGGCTTGATATGTGTATGGTCGTGGTGGGCGAGACTCGGGTGCCGCACGGCGGCGACCTGGAGTTGCGGACATGTTTGAGTTGTGGGTTTGCGAGGGATTAGCCTTTTATGTTTCGGATTCGAGTTGGGTTCTTTGAGCGTTTGCAAGACAAAGCAATGGCAATCCCGACGCGAGACGCGATGGAACTAGGCCTGTTTGGGTTATAGCGGGCGATAAGGCTTATCGGGTTATCGCTACCTACCTATCACTCCCACTTCTAGGTACTTTTGTTAGGGACAAGTCTCACTTTTACTACATACAAGATCATATACTGACATTGTCAGCATGCATATCCCATATGCAATGCTAAGCCCGAACACGAGACATCGAAGATGGGAGGCCTGATTTCCCGTTGCCGATCATCAACTCTTTTCACAACCCAAAATAATCAAATCCAATTGACCGGACGGAGTATAGCTTGGTATGATAGTGGCCCTATGATTCCACAGTTCAGATACAAGTGCCTTGGAACCCTGATGTTCAGAATCATGGAGACTCAATCTACGTTACCAGAAGCTCAGAACTGCTCCACCGCATCAGCGGCTCAAGCACCGCCAAGGAAATGGCTCTTTTCCACAGACAACCGCTGATTGTGCACAATAATGAAGGACATAGTGCCCTGGGGTATCTGCCCAAGGATAATATCGACTTGGCATATCGTCAGGTCTCTCCAGAGAAAGCTAGCTTTGCGAGCAGCCCCCACTAAGCCGGCAGATCACTATCTGATTTGCAAGCTATACGAGGAACGGGTAGTACAACCTTTCTACAAGCTGAGATGCACCTTGAGACACAGCATGTGGTTCAATGAGAAGTAGGACGAACAAACAAAACAGCCTCGATGAAAGATATAAAAAGCTCCAATTTCCTCGTGTAATAAAACGAATAGAACCAACATCCAAACAACCTAACAATCTAAATACATCCAACACAATGCACCTCCAAATTCCACTATACCTTCTAACAATCCTCAACGCCGCAACCGCCTGCAACCCCACCCAGCGCGACATCTCAGGCTCAGAAACCTTCATCATAGGCACCGACGGCCCCGCCCCAACCGCAACACTAGGCTTCGCCCTGAACCACATCGGTCTGGTTACAACAAACCTAGCCGAAATGAAAACCTTCTACGGCGAAATCCTAGGAATGCGCCTCCTCTTCGACGCACACATCACACCCGAATACACAGTGACATACATGGGGTATGCGCAAGGCGGACGAAATGGAACAGGCTTCCAAAGTGGTGCAGAGCTAGCAGCTTCCAAGAATAATCTATGGGGATTATTAGAGTTGCAGCAATTTAATGTCTCGGATGATAGATTGGTTGCGTCGACTGAGAGGACCAATACGTTTGGACATGTGGGTTTGGTTGTTCCTGATGTTCTTAAGGCGGAGGAATGGTTTCGAGGGAGGGGAGTGAGGATTTTGAAGAGTGTTACTGAGCCTCTTGGGGAGGTTACGGGTCCGGTGCCTAATGCTTTTGGACTTGGGGAGGCTGCAGGGTTGCATTTGAAGGCTAAGAAGGCGCTTATTGATGCTCAGGGGGTTATTGGGTTGGATCGGTTTTTGATGATTGCGGATCCGGATGGGAATTTGGTGGAGATTCAGCAGCAGGATGTTTAGATGGCTTGGAGGGTTAATTGCTTAGAGTGAATATGGATGAGGATTGGGTTGGCATGAGATATTATATTTAGCCTCATGGGATCTTGGTATGTTGAAGTCACGATTTTTCGTACATGGGTGTTGAGGATAAAGAATCGGTCATCAGAACCGAATGTTAGAGCATAATGGATATATTTGGACAGATGATCTTTGGGTCGGTGATGCCACGGGTGGGCGTATCATCTGCAGATGGCACGATAATTCCACGAGCTGCTCGTTTTTTGAAATGCATCTCACGTGGCCGAGACGCTGCGGCATGTTTCTAAAGTTCTTAGGGGTGATTTCGATTTCATCGATGTCCATCTGGTCGGGGATGCATCAGATTCTGGCTCTGAATCTCTCAATTCATTTTCGAGCTGATTCCCAGCCATTTCCTTCTCTTCCTCTAACTGGCTCTTCGGCTTCTTCCTCGGAGACTGCAACAATTTCATCATCTGAATGTGAATCCTCATCCTGGTCTCGCCTTGCCCTCTTTCCGGGGGCCTTTCTTCTCGCGTTTGGATATGAATACATGGTGAATATGGTATAAGAGATCCAGGTAATTGTGGCGGCCAAGTTCGAGACACAGGTGTGGTAAATCGTGCATTCTAAACCTTGTAGAAGCAGAATGCGTGGTAGAAGCCTAATTTGTTAGTTCTGAGCGTCAAAGCAATGAAGCTGGATGAAAAACTCACTGACGGCATCCTTCTCTTCCTCGGTCATATTCAAAGCACCAGTCACGCGGTCCCGCACACCCATGCGTTCACTGAGGGGGCCAAGCTCTGGGTGGTTTTTCTCATCTTCCCAGATGTCCAAGAAAGGCTTACGGTATTGTAGTTCCAGGTTGTAGTCCTCGGTCAAGCTGCAGAATCGTCAGTTTTCGGTCCCACAGAAAAGGTGGTTTGCACTCACGCTCGGAAGGCTTCCCAAGGAACAACGTATTCAGGGACCTCCTCGACAGCCTCCCTCATAAAGTAACTGTATTTCCAGCCAAAGGGAGGGCGGAAGACTCCATCTTCAGGGGTTGCGCCAGGGAATCGAACGCGGTAGATGTCGTTGCCCCATTCGGCCCGTGCAACCTCCTCAACTTCTCCATCTTCTGGGGCTTCTGGCTCAGCAGGTTTAGTAGCCTCGCCTTCTTTGCGCTGCTTGTGATACGCAGCCACACGGGTGCTGATGACGTCCGAATTGGGACACACACCAATGAAACGACCGCCTTTCTTCAAGGAGCCAGCAACATTGCGGAGCATCTGGCGTGTCTTCTCCTCGGTCTCAAAGGCATAGTGGATAGCAAACATAGAAGTGACGACGTCGAAGCCACCGCCGCCAAAGCGGGATGCCATGATAGAACCCCCAGGCCCAACATTGGGATCGATGCCGACCTGCTGAACGATCCCGATATCACCCAGGTATTCACCAAAGCAATCCTTGGGATAAAATTCCGCATGGAAGATAGGCGGAGGACGACGACCTCGTGGATTGCGACGACCCGAACGCATTTCATCATACCGCCCCCGTGCCTGATCAATTGAGACGTTGGCAGGGTCAAGACCAACGTAGAGATCGACCGTCTGCGGCGCCAGCTGCCACTTCCCGAGATCACCACCCTTGCCACAACCCAGATCCAGCACCAGAAGCCTGCTGTCATCAGCAGGCGGTGGGCCCTGACTATCATCCGCCCATTCCTTGGCGTCATCGAATCGCGCAGCAAATGATTCGTCCGGAGAGAATTTTTGAATCAAAGTACTCTTAACCCAATTGTTGAATGTGCGCAGACCCTTAATCTTGCTCTCTGTCTTGCGCCACTCGCGACCTCTCTCTGGAACAGCGTTGTAATGTTGTCGAACAACATCCGTCACACCGCGCTGTTGAGAATTGCGCATAGCATCCTCCTGCTCTGCACGCTCTCGCTCCTCTTGTCTGCGTCGTAGCGTTTCCCTGTCTGCGATTCCCTGTCGTGCACCGCCGCCGGGGCGCTTGCGTTGGCGTGGTGCATCGGGCGAGGGTGAACGGGGCTGAATGGGTGATCGAGATCGTCGGTCGTCTCGGGGCGCGGCACCATTGGGACTGCGGGAGCGATTGCGTCGAGGGAAGACGGATGGAGGTGTGCGTCCGCGCTTGCGGGCTTGGTGTCGTTCTTGCAGTCTCTTGCGCTTGGATGCAGCATGGGATAATGTCTCTGTTGGAGCATCTCCTTCAGTGGTCTGTCGTCCACCTTCTGTGGGGGTGTTTGTATTGCTTGTGCGGCCAGGGGAACGGGGTGTAGATCGCCCACCGGCTCCTTCGTGGTGCTCCATGTTGGCGATAAAGGGAGTGGTCGGCGAAGTGAGAGAGATGGAGCTCAACGCGGATGGTGGAAAGGGAGGAATTTAGGAATGGGAAAAGAAAATGTATTATCAAGTGAGAATGAAGAAGATATCTCTCTTCTCACTGGAGTGTTCAAGTGTTGAAGTTGAAAGGAATCGACCGGTGATCCGCAGGACAATTGAGCCCAGCCCCGTGACCAATCAAAGCGTCCAGCCCTAACTCTCAACTCCATCAACATCGGAGCTTGGATTTACTCTACGCTGAGACGGATGGAGAAAAAAGAAATTGCAAATGAAGGCTCGACAACTCAATTCCAAAGCTAAAGAGAATCGGATCGCAAATACAGAGCACAAAGTGGACTGGTTCTACCTTTGTTTATCCACAAGCTTCGATCCTGCCTTCGACCTCTCATCTTACCACTTCTGCACTATGAAAACGGTGTCTTCATGATTGGTGAATCGTCTAGGATCGATATAACCTCGGAATGGAATAGAAGAAAGTGATGTATTAAATTCGCTAAGAGATGCACGTTAAGCCCTGTTCATAAACCACACTCCACATAATGATGCAACATAAGCAAAGAAAAACAAAAAGAAATGATCAACTTTGGAAGAAGAAATGTTGACGATATATTAGTGAGGCACGTCTGGCAGAGCCGACTTTCGCTTGGGAGACTTGGTCGTGAGGACCTGCCGCACCCGCCGAATCTTTGCCCACCACTCACGGTCTGCCTTCTTTTTCGCGTCAGGGTTCTCTTCTTCCTGCTCCGGTTCCTGTAGTCTACTAGCATCGGCATTCAGTGTGTCGGTAGAGGCCATAGCTCGAAGTCTGCGACGATTTTTGACCTTAACTGCCTCTGCCACCAACTGCCATCCAGCACGTAGCTCAGCAGCCTTCTCGCTGGCTCGGCCGGTTCCACTCTGTGCAGACCTGTCGATCCAGGGGCAATAATCCATGTGTTCATCGGCCACATTCAAGGAGGTGTAGACGGTTACATCGCCGTTGTCTTTTGGTTTGTACATCCACAACCCCAAGCGACGGAAGCATGCACTACACCCGACTAGCCCAGCAGCTCCATCAGAAGCAGCATCCCAGCCAAAGAGTGCAAGTGCCAGCGCAGCTCGGTTGACAGGCTGTGATTTGGGCTGCACTGGCTGTGCAGATGGGGTGGAGGGTTGGGTGTCCCCGCTCGTGGTTTCAGACTCTCCATTCTCGATCGCGGGAGATTCAGTCGTGAACCATTCCTGGGGAAGACCACTGATGACTAAATCGAGATCAACTCCCTCTGGGGTCTCAATGATGTCATTTGTAGGCAGTTTGTCGCCCATCTTGGACACATTGGTATAGCGAGTATGAAGCCCCGATAAAGCAGTCTCACAATTAGTCAATGGGAGATGCTGGATAGTAGCTGGTTTAGTGTTAGCATGATACCAAGCAGGTTGAATTCCGAGGCGCAGACTCACCATCACAGGTTTTGTTTTTCCACGGGCAGCCATCACTATGAGAGGCGCTTAGCATTTTGGAATATTCCTCCACGAGTCTCGCACCTGTCGAAAGAAGCCAATGTCAGTTTTGATTCCCCCATCGGAAAGACTATCCTCGGCCACTCACGGACTTGATTTCTCTCCTCGACCTTCTCAATATCAAATCCATCCAGCTCATCAATCTCATCTGGAAGCTTCACCACTACCGCACCACCGCATTCACTGACACATGTCACCCGCATGGCATCCGTACATATCCAGCCATGCTTTGCCCATTTCACTTCATTTATCGGTGCCGGCTTTGACGTCCATCGGTCGACGCGACGGAATGTTTCTAATCGCTCCAGAAAGCGCTCGCGGTCCCAAGGGACAAATGTGGGGCGTTTATTCGAGTTTGCCGAGGTTATTCGATGTCCCGGTCGAGAAATCTTGTTTAATGAGCTCTGCACTGCCGGATTTGCCCGCTCAGCGCTGGTCAAGCGGACTTTCTTGATGGAGAGGTTGGCGGAGATGCGGTCTTGCGCCGTCGCGGGCGCTACTGGAGTTTGTTTTGGCGCATTTTCGGGAGTGGTAGGTTTGGATAGTGATTCCAGAACGCGATGGAACTTTCGTTTCTTTGATTCGACGGCGTAAGACATGCTGTGTTGCGATGCGCCCAGTTGAGGTGGAGATTAGTTCAATGAGTTCGAGCTGCGGCGATCACTACCCATTTTTGCCTCAGGCACCAAACATGTCATCCCAGTTCATTGGGGGCCAATTGGCATGAATTGGTAGATCACTCCAAGACTAACACCTTGCTATGCTCAAATCAGCTAGACTCTGCCCTGTGTGAAGTGTTGGCCGCGATATATGGAGGGTCAAATGCGCCGCCGCTGATTGGCCGATCAGCATTCCCCGATAATCGTACGATCTCCGAATCACGACATGTTTTCTCTCTTGACTCCTGTCAACTCCCCAACAATGGCTTCTCTGGGAGGTTCTCTGCCTCTATGGCGGAGTATTGCGCCCCGCATGGCCAAGGATCTCTTCACATGTCGCCAGTGCGTCCGTAATCAAGGCTACGCAGCCAAATCTATTCGCCAATTCAGTTCACCCCCGTCTCGCCAGCCCAGCAAGATTCAATCCAGCCTCTTGACTGATAAGAACCGCAACTTCTTCACCTCCAGTATCAAACGATCGACTGCCGCACCAACCGTCGCCGAGGCAATCGAAGAGGGTGCCGCAAAGAGCAAGTCCAGCTTCCCCAAGATCAGCGATAAGGCAGTCGCCTACTGGCTGCTCGGTAGCGCGGCAAGTGTGTTTGGAATTGTGGTCTTCGGTGGATTGACACGATTGACAGAATCTGGGTATGTGTTTGGCTTCTTGGTCTCCTAGAATTGAGCTCCGGATGCTGACGGGACAAATTCTGGCATAGATTGAGTATCACCGAATGGCGACCTGTCACCGGCTCTCTGCCTCCAATGAATGCGGAACATTGGGAGTCTGAGTTTGCTAAATACCGTGCCTCTCCCGAATTCCAATTGCTTAACCCGAACATGACCCTGTCTGAATTCAAGTCGATCTACTACATGGAATGGATCCACCGTCTCTGGGGTCGTTTCGTCGGAATGTCCTTTGTCCTGCCTGCTGTTTACTTCGTCGCTCGAAAGAAGGTCTCCACGCCCATGGCGTGGCGTCTCTTTGGTATCGCCGGTCTCATTGGTTTCCAGGGTTTCCTGGGATGGTGGATGGTCAAGTCTGGGTTGAAGGATGATCTCTTCGCCCCTGGCAGTCACCCCCGCGTGAGCCAGTATCGTCTGACTGCCCATCTAGGTGCTGCGTTCACTTGCTACGTTGCTATGTTGTGGAACGGTCTGGCCATCCTGCGCTCTCACCGGTTGATGGCTGATGCTGCTGCTGGTATGGAGCAGCTGAACGCTCTCCGCGATCCCAAGCTGGCTCTGTTCCGCCGCTCGGTTGCTGGAATCGCTCTGCTGGTTTTCACCACCGTCATCTCTGGCGGTCTCGTTGCAGGCCTTGATGCTGGTCTTATCTACAACGAGTTCCCATTCATGGGTAACGGCCTTGCGCCCCCCAGCTCGGAACTGTTCGACGCCCGCTATTCTCGTCACGAAGACCGCTCCGACCTCTGGTGGCGCAACATGCTGGAGAACCCTTCGATGGTTCAGCTTGACCACCGTATCCTGGCTACCACCACTTTCACCGTCATTTGCGCCTTGATGGCTTACACTCGTGGCTCCCCCGCCATGAAGCGTTTCCTGCCAGCACCCGCTCGAAAGGGTGTGCACGGCGTGTTCGCCTTTGCTTGCTGCCAGGTTGCTCTTGGAATTTCCACTCTCCTCTACCTTGTCCCCACCCCTCTTGCTTCCGCCCACCAGGCCGGTAGCTTGTTCCTCCTGACCTGGGTCATGATCTTGGGTAGCCGGGTATGGCACCCAACCCGCACTGCCAAGCTCCTGCAGATGGCTCTAAAGGCTCGGTCTCAGTACCCTGCCAGCGCGGCTACTTCTGCCGTGAAGCGGGTATAAAATTGACACCGGTTTAGTGTACGACTATGTTGATCAGGGTAGAATCGCCCTGGATTTGTGATACCATCTCCATTCACCTGTGATTCGAGCATGTCTCGAGTCGCGCTGTACAAATACATTTACTACGTTTGTAAAATAACAAGAAAAGCAACAACATTTTTCTATCCAAAGCAAATATCCTCCAATCCAATTGACCTCCAATGGCAGAATACCAATCGCCAACCCCATCAAAACTCCTCGCATCCAACGCGTTGAACCACAAACCAGCTCTCACTAACTAACCAAAACATCTCACTCAGTCAACTTCGAAGAAGGCCTCGCAGCCCGACTCGGGTTCCGCCTCGCAATGAAATACCCAAGCAAACGACCATGATCATCAACCGCAACCTCAGGATCATCACCAGTCCACTCATCCCCAGCAACAGAAAGCGTCATATCCGAATCCGTCTCGATTTCCTGTCTCTGAGAAAACCGCTCCAACCCCTCATCAAACCGACGAGCATCACTAGCCAACTGAACCAGCGCCTTAGCAGCCTCAAGCTCAGGACTCGAATAAACACGACGGTCATGAGCACCGTCCAGAACATCCCCACCAATCTCAGGGACATGTATTGCCCCGAATGAGGCGTGGGATTGGTCTCCGCCTCTGTCATTCTTGCATTGGTTGCAGATTTGCCAGCCGCAGTGCTTGCAGCGGGACATGCCGCTTTGGTTGCGCTTGTTGCACTCGTCGCATTTTGCAGTGTGGGCTGCTACTTCGGTGAATTGGACGCTTATTTTGCGGAGGCGGTGGCGGTTGCTTTCTGGTGCTTCGGCTTTGTGTTTGCGGGTTCGGGGCTGGGGTGCTTGGGGTTGGGGGTCTGGTCGTTGTTTCTCGGTTGTTGTTGAGCAGGGGGATGGGGATGGTGCCTCTTTGATTCTTGGGGAGTAGCTTTGCCATACTTGGAGTCGGGGGGGAGGGAGGGCTCTTTTGTTGGGGCTTGGAGGTTGCTGGTTGGTTGGGATGTTGTCGTATTCCTTTGCTCGCAGGGGGAGACGGACTGGGTACTCTGGGGTTTGTCAGTTTGGTTGCTTCATGGGGGAGTTTACTCTTACCTTCGTGAGAAGATGTGACAGGGTGGTCTCGCAATAGATCGACAAATTTCTATCGATTATCGATATCAGCTGGTCTTGTCTGGCAAATGGACTTTTTCTTCAGATACATACCCTGTTGGATCGGAATCCAGCCTCGCCATACGCCTATTGATGGTCAGAGATGATTCTCGCAAATGGATCGAGGATACAAACATTGTGACTGGGGTCAGGAGGGATCCTGGATCCTTGAAGAGGATACGGTGGGAAAGGATTATCGACATAGACGATATCTCCCTTTCCTTCTCCACGCCTCAGCCGCTCCCCTTTATCCTCAAGCATGTTGGCTTCGACTTTGGCTTCGAGCTCGCGGAAGGACGGTATGACTTGGTTTGAGTCTCGAGGCATGGGCATCGTTCTGGAATCCATGTTGGGGGAGATCATTGTGGGATGCCAAGAGAGCAAAAGTGTTGAAGAGGGAGATGAAAATGCAGTCCAAATGAAATGGGGTTGATGAAGGTGCTCAGATGTAAGTTGGGCTGGGCCATTTGTTTTATACACTTGACGAGATCGGATGGCCCCTGGAGGTTTCCGTTGAAGACAAACATCTTGAAGCCTTTGGGATCTACTTGACATTTGATTCTGACTGGGTTTTGGATGATCTACTTGAAGCTGACTTCGTGTTGTGTGGTCTGTGGTAGTGCCGTCTAGATCTATATTCGCTATTTTCGACATGGAGGTAGATCACTTCGCTTGAACGCTTCATATTCGAACAACCTCCAGGGCTGTACGCAGCTTTCAGCTGGACTCACTTCGTTTATTCCATGACATTACCGAACGCTTCTAAGGTTATGCTCGGGTTCAAGGTTGTCCGGCAAGTTGTAGATGAAGCTTGGAGCTTCCAAGGTACTAATTAAGACGTTGAATTAAGCTTGGATTGACTTTTTATGTTCATCACACAACTAGAAAAAATACGTGGCACTATCTCCCCAGATACATTATATCAAGAGCAAGTCACTAACATGATACAATGAAAAGAAGCTGAATTGGCTAACATTTTTGAAACATATTTATTCCATGCATTTATCATTGACAGAACATGTCAAACCGTAGACACATACCAAGCTCGAACAAGCCAAGTCGAAATCATGTTATTCATTTGTGGGCTGTAAATTCATAGTCAGTGATATCGGCTCATGAAAATTACAGGATACTAATAACATACGGATTCCTTCCTCGGGCTGGGGCTCGATGCCAGCAACCTCGGCAGCGGGCTTAGCATCGGCGGCAGTCTTGTCATCCTTCATCATGGGGAAAGCCAGAACCTCCTTGATGGAGTAGTTGTCGGTAAGCATCATGACCAGACGGTCGATACCCATTCCCCAACCACCAGTGGGGGGAAGACCATATTCGAGAGATTGACAGAAGGTCTCGTCGATCATCTGGGCCTCGTCGTCACCCTGGTCCTTCTGGTTGGCTTGCTCCTCGAAGCGGAGGCGCTGGTCGAAGGGATCGTTCAACTCTGTGTAACTGTTGGCGATTTCGAAGCTGTAATAAGGGTTAGTAGATAGATAAAAGCCAATCAGGGATGGTGTCATACCGGGCAGTGAAGACCTCGAAACGTTCGCACAGACCGGGGTGTTCACGGTGGTACTTGGCCAGAGGGGACATCATCTGGGGGTGACCGCTGATGAAAGTGGGGTTGATGCAGGTCTCCTCAAGGAACTCTCCAACCAGCTTGTCGAGCATGCGAGCATTGGTCTGAGGGGGAGAGCACTCGACCTTCATCTTCTGCAGCATGCGCTTCAGGAACTCGTTGGTCTCAGCAGTGTGGAGCTGGTCACCGGGAGGGAACTTCTCGCCGCAGGCTTCCTCGAGCGCGGGAATCATCTCAATACGGCGCCATGGGGCCTTCCAGTTAATGTTGTGGGTTTCACCAGTCTGGGTGGTGAAAGTGGTCTCGTATCCACCGGTGACGTGCTTGACCAGGCTGGAGACAAGGTCCTCAGTAAGGTCCATCAGATCGTAAACATCGGCGTAAGCCTGGTAGAACTCGCAAGTGGTGAACTCGGGGTTGTGAGTCAGATCAATACCCTCGTTACGGAGCTGCTTGCCGATTTCGTACACTAAGGTATATTAGCTCCACTGATCTCTGTAGAACAGAGGGATTGCCAAATTCGGCAATTATCACAACATACCTCGCTCCATACCACCGACAATCAGCTGCTTAAGGTACAGCTCGGGGGCGATACGCATGAACATGTCCATGTTCAGGTCGTTGTGGTGGGTGACGAAAGGCTTAGCGGTGGCACCACCGGCAATGGCGTTCATCAGAGGGGTCTCAACCTCAGTGAAGTCACGGCTGTCAAAGTATTGACGAATGAAGCTGATAATCTTGGCGCGAGCACGGAGAGTCTCACGAGACTTGTCGTTCATGATAAGATCAAGGTAACGCTGGCGGAAACGCTGCTCCTTGTCCTGGAAACCGTAGTGCTCGGAGGGAATGGCGTGCAGACAAGGGGTCAAGAGGACGACCTCGGAAGCGAAGATGGAGAGCTCACCATCATCGCGGTTCTTGGGGTTGGTCTTTCCGATGAAACCAGTCACACCGACGATGTCACCTCGGCGGAGGAGCTCGTGCTGCTCCTCGAAGGACTTTCCGGTGGCGTTTTGGGCAGCGCACATAACCTGGATCTTCACACCCTCGGCGCGGATGTCGTAGAAGACCAGCTTGCTACCGGCGGCACGCTTGGTGTAGATACGGCCACCAACGCTGACCACGGCGTCGGTCTTCTGTTCGCCCTTCTGGAGACCCTCATAGTCCTTCAGGACGTTGCGCAGATCGGTGTCGACCTTGAACTTGTGGGGGTAGGGGTTTGGCTGCTTAGTCTCGCGCAGCTTGTTGATTCTCTTGCTCCGAATCTCGAAGTATTGCTAAAAACAGAATGACTCATTAGTCCAGGTTCATTACCCCGCGATGCATTATAGCTGTGTCGCGCACTCCAGGTTCCCCGATTTCCATGATTCACTTACGTTAGGGGTCAGGTTGGCCTCGTCATCCTCAGCAGAGGTCTGCTTCTCGGCCTTGGGCTTGGGGGGCGCGGCAGCAGCCTTCTCCTTCTTTCCGGCTTCCTTCTCGCGCTTCTTCTGGCGACGCTTCAATTCGGTCTTGGAGACCTTCTCGCCAGTGACTTCGTCGAGCAGCAGGTTGGCCATTGAGGCCTCAGCCTCTTGAACGTTGGGATCCGCCATAATGTTAGCTGAAAAGCGGAAGTGGGATGGTGGGATGAGGGGACTTTTAAATTTCCTAGAGCGGGATATCGGCATGCCACCTGATTGGGCCCTGATCTATAGCATTTTACGCCCTGTACTTTGGAGCCATGACTCACGATCTTGTATTTATATCGACAGTTTGAGTCATTGGTTTTGTATTTAACTATTTTTCAACTTTCATGTCGGCCCTTTTCTTTGTTAAATTTCATGTTCAAGTGAATCCCCAATTAGGAAGGTAGGGCTTAGGGCAACGTTGTCCCCGCTCGGGGTTGTATACTTCTCTTCTACTTCTCTTCTACTTCTTCTGTTTTTACTCTACTGTATTCACGACTGGACTCTGCTGGCAAACTAATCTGCACAATCTGTTTCTGTTCTTGATTTGCTATCCATGACATCAATTGACCCTCATCTGCCCATATCGCCATACCACGCTGGCAGGTGCTACGGCAAGGCGACATGACGAGTAATCAAACACATTCAACACTAAAACACTAATTTCCCAATTCTCAACGCCGATATGCACCCCTGTGGAATCAGGCACACTCAGCGCTCTTGATTCCAAGGATCCACGTCGTCAACCATTGCCACATCCGGGCGGTGGAGCGACTCCAGCTCCTGTTGTGCCGTAACCATCTTCTCGCGTTCTTTCTGAAGGCAAGTACGGCGTTGCTGACGTGCCGGGTCCTCAGCCATCAACTCGAGGCAGCGGGTACGGCCTACGTGGGTCAATAAAGCCCTGGAGCAGAGATCCTGCTGAACAATACTCACCATCATCCCCAAAGATGCGCAAATTATCCCGAATAACACCAACCAGGTCATCCTTGCATGTATCGAACAGCTTCACATAAGTCGACTGACACAGAACATCTAGGAAACGAGACGACGCAATGTCGTAGTATGCGCGCGAGCTCTGGTCAATCATTAGTTCATGTAACGCCCATAGCTTGGGAAACATACCGCCATCATCTTGATCTCTTCCGAATATCTATCTGGTCCAAGTTGGTCCTCATCGATAATCCTCTTGATCTTCATTGGGGCTTTGGCATCGCTCATATCATCGCCACGGCTGTGTAGATAAGTACTGGCACGCGCATTTGCCCGACGGGCCTGCAGTTCCTTCAATGCCTTCGCCATGAAGGTTTGGTGGAGCTCTTTGGCCATTGTAAAGGGAACCTTCATTTCGGACTTGCACCATTCCTTGGATGTCTCGAGATGGGCAAGGCGGATCCTTTGCAGGTAAGTCTCCAAGATCTTGTGGAGCTTCTGATACAGGCCAGTTTGGTGATATTCCATAAACTCATCCTCAAGCACTTCCAGAAGCAATCTTCGCACAAGACCATGGGAAGCCTCGAGGAAGGTTACAAGCAGATCTTGCCAGTGTTCGACAGTTCTCTTGTTTAACTTCACAATGGCACGCGGGTCTAGCTGATTCGGGACACCGAGCATCTGCGAACCATTCCGCAAATCGGACAGGTACCGCAGGGTAAAAAGGGCAGGACGGCGCCCTGCAAAGTACGGTGTTTCATACGGGCTTGAGTGCTGTTGAAGCGGAACCTTCACATCAACATCATCGTCCACAGACTGCGAGGGCAATTTTCGCTTCTTCCCAGGCGAGGACTTAGCTTCAATGATTAAAACCTCACCGTCCGAGTCGGTAGGCTCAGAAAGATCTTCCTTGTCTTTTGGGGCACAAATCTCTAGGACTGGGCGGGTCTGACGCAGGGCGATTTGCAGATCTAAGACAATCATGTTCCACTGTTCGTGCAGTGGTTTATTTTCGTGCTTTGGCTGCCGCCATTTCATTGGGGATGATTCATCGAAGAAGTCCTGAATCCTTTTCTTCAAATCCGTTATTTTCTCGAAAAGAGTGATTTGAGCCTCCTCGGTGGGCGGGTTGGGCAGTCTGGCCAGACTCTCGTCGATGCTTTTCAACTTTTGGTCAATCTTTGCGAGAATAGAAGGTAGGCAGCCGATGATCTGATTCTTGAGCAGATCTGAGAGGGCCGCCACCAGATTCTTGACTCCGAAACGTCCTTCCAGATGACTTAGGCGAGTAGACCACGGATCGTTGGCAAAGAACTCTGCTTCCTCCATTCGCGCCATGTCGTGGCTAGTGCTTGGATTCGCACTGTTGTGGACCACATAGTATCCATGGCCGAGTTTGAAGCTGACATCTTGTAGAATCTCCTCCCATGGACCGAAAGCCCGCGTCGCCCGAAGATCTGGTTTCGTCAAGACACCCAGTGTACGCCCTGGGGCGTTTGGAATATCACGGACAAGACGGGCAGCACTGGAGTTGGTCGCATCGTCGGTCATGGGCAATGTCAGCAGCACGATGGAATTATCCTGTTCCACATATTTCTTGACCAGATTCTCAACAAGGTTCACCAGGTACCTCTCACTGTCTTGTTCGGCTTGGTTGATGACTCCGGGCAAGTCATAAAAAGAGAGGTTAGGATATCCAGGGCCAGAGATATCCAAGCGAACTGCGTTTGGCGAAAACTTGACCTGAACACCATGGGAAGACTGTGGATCCTGATCCGGGCTGAAGATATTGGGATTTACCTGGGGATTCAGAATCGCCAGCTGGGCACAGAAAATGGCCTTTGTAATTTCATTTCTGTCCGTCAGCTCAGCAAAGTGATGATGCTCCTGATCCTTCATCTTCTCCCAGGGCCCGAGTGATTTCTTCTTCTGGACTTTGGTGGTCCCCTTCGGAGGAACATGCATGTATCGATAGCACAAGTAGACCGCACACTTCCATGGGTCGTCGCTCTGAGTCAAATTGATCTCCAATGGACACCGGGTACAGGTACCCTCGGCCCTGGGGACTCGGATCTCCGAAATAGCCTCAATCAGAGAGCTCTTGCCGGTACTCTGGTCACCAACCACACATATCTTTGGTAGAGCGATCTGCTGGTCTTCGATGCCGAGGTGACTGAGGTCTTGGATCTTCTTCATCAGACTCTTCATGTCCGTGCTCAAATTGGCCAACGAACGCTCCATTTGGGGTGAACCCGACTGGCGAGGAGAGGGGAGCTCAAGTGCAATGCGTGCGACGGCCGGAAGAGTTTCGACATCTGGTACAAGTTAGCGTCATGAATAAATTCAACAGTAAGAGCTACTTACCCGAAGATGAAGATGACTCCACTTTTGGCTTGGGTGAGTTCTCATTCTGAGGCCACATTTTTCCCATGTTTGTTGGAAGCATTGATTCTCACGACTTGAGACGGCAATATGGTCTGAGTCGGCACAGTAGAGGGTGATAAGTGGAGTAATGTTGGTTCGCGTGACGAGTGACAGACAAAGGAGCAAAGAGGAAGATGGTTTGGCTTCAGAGATGCAGGTGAGGAGATACAGATAGCAAACAAGAGGACCAAGGATGTCAGGTCAACCCTAGAGGTAGTGGAATGAAAGAGAGGTGCAGGAGGAAAAGAGGAAGATACTCAAAGAGAAAAGAAGAGGACTTCAGGAGGAACATTAGAAGAAGAGGAAGAGCCAAAGGGAGAGGGTGATGGAGATGTTATTTTCACATCTGATGTAGAGATCTATATACTTAAGTAGATACTATATTCTACATTTTTCTAGGGATTGAATTCTCTCACCATCAATACATGCAATATACCTAAGTACAGCCTCATTAATGAGAATCCACTGTTTTATATTTTGGCCTATAGAATTAAATACCCAAGTACTTATTTTTCAGAGATCATCAGGTGGCCATCAGGTGTTTGGCAGGGTTTCTCAGTGCTCAAGTGCTGTTCACACTGTTCAGAGCCCTGAAAGATGTATATATTGCTACCACCTTACTACGGGCATGTCTACTTCAGTGGACAAACCTCACTCTGCATTTCAACAAGCTTAGGAATATCACAACCTGGTACTGAAGTAAAAGCTCATCCTCTCAGTGTTACAATCATCATAACTGTCACATCTATGGATTATCCTGAAGTCCTAGTCACAGAAGCGCAATAGCTAGGGCTCCGCGGCATTGTATTAGTAGAAGTATGTTAACAACCTTGGAAGTCAGCAATCTGCATTTTCCTGTAATTTCAAATCCAAATTCAACTAATTACCCCTTATTTATGACTTAGATTCAACCAAAAGAAAGAGAATGTCCAAAACAAAAGGAAATCCCTAAATAGGAATAAACGTCAGGTGCCCGAAAGCGTCGTCTTGGCAGAGAGCTCCAGTTCTCCTTGTCAAGATATTCCCCTCCACATCCCCTTGCATATTACCAGTCATGCTCCAAGTACCAGTGCGGGATCAGTCCCAAGCCTCGACCAAGGCTGTTATCCTGGTAAGTTGACTGCTTGATGTCTGTGCCCAAAGCTGACCCCTTGTTCACAGGTCGGAGGCCCCTCCAGAGGCACCCGGTTCCGCCCATTGTCGCTCGATGTGCCCAAGGTATGCTCTGAGATCGATTGCAATGGCATCCAGCGCGAATTGACACCCCTTTAGCCCCTATTCGAAGTCGCCGGCCACCCCATCATCCATCACTGCCTAAAGGCGGTGACCAAGGTCCCCGACGTGCGTGAGGTGATTCTGGTCGGATACTACGACGAGAGTGTCTTCCGGGACTTCATCAAGGATGCCTCGAAGGAATACCCCCAGCTTCGCATCGTCTACCTGCGCGAGTATACAGCCCTGGGTACCGCCGGAGGATTGTACCACTTCCGCGATGCGATCCTCAAGGGCAAGCCAGAGCGTCTGCTGGTGCTCAACGCCGATGTCTGCTGCTCGTTCCCGCTGGGCGAGATGATGAAGCTGTTCGAGGAGAAGGATGCAGAGGCAGTGATTCTGGGTACCCGGGTCTCCAACGAGACTGCGACCAACTTCGGTTGCATTGTCTCCGACTCCCACACCAAGCGTGTCCTGCACTACGTCGAGAAGCCCGAGTCGCACATCTCGAACCTGATCAACTGCGGTGTCTACCTCTTCGCCACCGAATGTATCTTCCCTGCCATCCGCAGCGCGATCAAGCGCCGCACCACCCGCCCCCGCCTCCTTTCGTACCCCTCCTCCGATAACCTGGAATCCTCCTTCATCGCCACTGGCGACGATGAGGATGCTGAGAAGAGCGAGGTGCTCCGTCTGGAGCAGGACATTCTGTCCGATCTCGCTGACAGCAATCGCTTCTTCGTCCACGAAACCAAGGATTTCTGGCGCCAGATCAAGACCGCTGGCTCTGCGGTCCCCGCCAACGCCCTCTACCTCCAAAAGGCGTTCCAAGCCGAGTCCTCTGAGCTCATTGCTCCTTCTGCCACCATCGTGCCCCCCGTCTACATCCACCCCACGGCCTCTGTCGACCCTACCGCCAAGCTGGGTCCTAATGTCTCGATCGGCCCTCGCGTGGTGATTGGCGCCGGCGCTCGTGTCAAGGACTCTATTGTCCTTGAGGATGCCGAGATTCGTCACGACGCTTGTGTCATGCACTCCATCATTGGCTGGAGCAGCCGTGTCGGTGCCTGGGCTCGTGTTGAGGGTACCCCTATTCCCGTTGGCAGCCACTCCACTAGCATTGTCAAGCAGGGTATCAAGGTGCAGAGCATCACGATTCTGGGCAAGGAGTGTGGCGTTGGTGATGAGGTTCGCGTACAGAACTGTGTGTGCCTGCCTTACAAGGAGCTCAAGCGCGTATGTTTCCCCCTTTTCATCTGATCTTATTGTATGACCCTTTACTGACCCTTCTATAGGATGTTGCCAACGAAGTCATTATGTAAATGGGTTGATTTCCGTGAATCTCTGATCAACCTTGGAAACCCGTGATCTTGTTACGAGTCCATTGTCGATTTCATTGTCGAATTCGTCTCATATCTATCTGGTTGGATGGTTATTTGCTTCGTGAGCGCAGCCGATCTACAAGATCTTTTTTGTTTTAAAATCTCCCAAATCAGAGTCGTTAGAAGTCTTCATTGCTATTTCGATAAAATTCCCCACGGAGTACGGAGTATACAAATTTGAGCCCTGAACCCCCCAAACGCCATCAAGGCCCATAAAAGCTATATACAGACCAATCCGAAATCCGCTCATGAAATCCAAAAAATCATACATCATTCACCGATACATCGCAGGATCATACCCAGTCTGCTCAGCAGGTCTTTGATACACTTGATCCTGCGACCCAAACCGCACCCTCTGCCTCCCCCCATTCTCATGATCATGATACTGCGCATCATAATCCCTCTCATGCGCACCATGCTGATAATCATAGCCCTGATTTCCATACGCATTCCCATAATTGCCATGAGTATTGGGCAAATCATGAAAATCCTGCAAGGGCGTATCATCCCTTCTATCATCCATTTTAGCATCAAAGGCCCCCGAATCATCCAATCCAGGCTGAGAGCCCATAGCACCGTAATTGCCGAATCGAGTCTCTCGTCTTCTGACAACAACATCAAGCCAGATTGCGGCAATGTGGGAAATAAGGCCTGTCACTGTGAATGTGAACATGGCTTTGTAGGATCTGCAGACTGTTATGCCTGCTGTGTTGCCCCAGACTGCTGTTGTGCAGGATGTTGTTATTGAGCCGGCCATGCTCCAGGACATGAGGGCTAGGCTTAGGGCCCAGAGGATTGTGAGGATTATGTTGAGGGCGATGGCGAGTTTGGTGGAGAGGCTGCATGTGCAGTTGATTATGGAGGTTAGGATTAGGTTTGCGAGGGAGAGGGCGGCGGAGACGAGGAGCTGGTTTGTTAGTTCTTTTGTTTTTTGTGTTTTTTTTTTGTTTTTTTTTTTGAGAGAGAGAGAGGGAATGGGAGGGGACGTACCACGATGAAGGAGTAGGGGAGTTTGAAGCCATCGGCGTGGAGGTGGTAGATGAATACGGCGAGGATGACGCCGACGACGAGGGAGGAGAGGAAGATGAAGAATCGGATTAAGTGGAAGGGGAGAGGCGGATACGCCGATGGCTTCACTGAGGAGCGCATTCCGTGTGGTGAAGTTGAAGAAGAAGAAGAAGAGGAAGAAGAGAAGTTAGAAGTTGCGGAGAAAAGGTAAACACTTGCGTACGTCACTGGCTATTTTTATCTGCAGGCTGTGCTTTTTTTCTTTTTCCTTCTCATTTATTATTTCACTATTATGTTATAATGTATTCCTATATAATGTCTTATTTTTTATTATCGAGGAATCACATATTAAACAGCAATATCCAGTCCATTAAATAGAATATTAACTAGAGAGCAGTAAAGTGCTAAGACTAAAGACTAAGGACTAAGTATCCAGATCGACATCGCCCCACACGGGATGCCCTAGCAACCCTTTAACTTAACTGACACTCGATTGACTGACACTCAAAGACATGATACTTGTGCTAATAGTTGAAATCCTCATAAACCACCTCCTTCCCCGAAAGCCAATTCAACACCATCCCCTTCAAAGCCACCCCAGCACACAAATACCACCTCTCCGCCACAACATCCAAATCCCCAGCCCGCATCCTCCGACAGACAACAGTCGCAGACATCCCGTCCCGCCGATCAGGCCCCACCCCAGTAAGAAACAAAGTCGTCGACGACGCCAACGCCGGCCAAGTACGGAAAGTATCCTGCACCAGCCCAATATCATCAATCCCAATAGACCAGTACAGACGCAGCAAGGAGATATCCAAATCATGAAGCTGGGCAAGCAGCGGCGTAATGCCAATTCCACCCGCGATGAAAGGCGTGAGTCCCGAGGTGGTGATGCGGAAACTGCCACCGAAGCCTTTGAGGGGCACTGACAGGGCTGCTCGCTCGGCCACGCGGAATAGGTAGTTTGTTACTGGGCCGTTGCGGCGGATCATCATTTCGAATTCGTGGTCGGCTGGATAGGAGGATATGGTGAATGTGCGGACGAAGTCGTCGTTTAGACTGGTTGGGTCGTCGTCTCGCATGTGGCTGTAGCCCATGTTTAGTTCTTCTTCGAAGGAGAGGGTCGCGTATTGTCCTGCTGTCCATGATTGTGGGGTTGGGCTGGATATGCGGAAGCGGAAGCGCTGGATGGATGGTGTGATGATTTCTTTCTTGATGAGTGTGGCTGTTGCGTCTGTGTTGTTGGCTTGAACATTGGGAATCTGTTTCTCGCAAACGTGGTACCGCACACTGGGGTTATATGGAGATAGCTCGCCAGTGTGGCCGCGGAAGGCTAGTCCATTTTGAACGAATACTGCTGCGTCAACAGTGACCCGGACAGCGAGGTTGGATCGAGGAAGTACGTCCGAAGCTTCTTTCCCAACTAACAGTTCCGTGCGACCTGTCAGGTAGAGGACATTGCCGTTCTCAAAGTCCGGCACGACATAACCTGCCAGCGGGGTGATCTGCAAATTCCCCAGTGTCTGATACAGTCTGTTTCCCGAATACTCCGGGTAAACGAGAACTGCACCACTTGACTCATTAGATTGCAAACGCACAAACCCAGCAGGACCACCACGGATATTGGTATCCATGGTACTTGTTCCACGGGAGGAAACAAACACAGTATCTGCGCGAGACAATAGCTCCACTGCTGCAGGAGTCAGTTGCGGTTGATCTGACAGTAGCTTTGGGTCAGGCTGTGCAGGCACGATCCGTCTTTTGTTCAGATACTTGGGACAATTGCCCATGCTTTCTTCGATGTGAACGACCAGCTGGGCCTGGTCTGTGTAAATCGAGCCTGATTTCATTCGCCCGTACAGCTTGACTCGTCTGCGATGCTCTAGGTCAATGGCAAGTCCCGAGACCATCTTTCCTTGATCGGTATCAGCGTAACCCTCCCCGTTGGCGAGGAGGGCTCGGGCTACTGGGTCATATTCAGTGTCCACCTGCGTCTGCAGCGCAATGGAGGAGTCTGCGACTGGCCCTGCGAAGCCTTCTGTGCCTCCCCAGATTGTTGACCACGGTCGGCCCTTAGTGTCGAGGGCTCCCAGGGCTAGCAGGGGGGCTTGTTGGACGAGGAAACCTGCCCCGGGGCTGAGATACGGGGTGGTGGGGTTGTCGCGGCGGGGGACGTGGAGTAGCCGCTGGACATGCTCCTCGCCTTCGTGCCAGGGGAGAGAGATATAAGCCATTGTGTTGAGATTGGGATTCTTTTGAAATCGATTCCCACTGATTCTGGAGGGGTTTTAAAATCGCGTCATCCATGACAAATACGAGTATCTCGCTCTAAATGTCAGCAATGTTCTGCATGTTTCTCTGTTCAGGGTCTAGACGTCTACTTGTCTACCACAATTAAGTGCTCGTATTCATCTATGCTTGGGTAGCGAATCTTCCCTTGGGCTTATATTTTTCTTCCATTCTGCTCCAATGAGGGTATTTGAATCATGCTCTTAGAGTAAAAAATAACATAAGTCTACAACAGAAATGTTTATTAATCATTTTCAGTGTCCTCGCGCCGGTGTTTGCGCCGGTGTTTGAAAATAGCTAATGAGAATACACTAGCCCGGCCAAAGAATCACCGAATTGAAATCGATTCTAGGATCTCAGACTTCACAATCTTTCATCCAAATGGAAGACATGCTCCGGGTTCACTCCAAGATCCGAAATCGGCAACTGAGAGCCAGACGCAACACCAACCGTCTCTGGAGCAAGACTCCACGATACCTCCGAGCTGAACAAGCCCGGATTAACACATTGCCACGCCCACGCGCTGGATGGGGATAGTGAGAATGATGCTGGTTCTAATGCTTGATGCGTCAGTTGTATGTGGTAAGAGATGCATGGGGCATGGTTACCATCAAAATCAAATCCAGAGATTAGCCGGGTCAAAGTATCTCGACAGCGCGCTATGGTTTCACTACCCTTGTTTAACCCATTGAGGACTTGCATGGCTGTCTCAAGTAGACCCCGCAAGTCGGATATGGAAATGCTGGATAGTTGTTCGGAGTGTATGGGGATTCTTTTGATGAGAAGAATTCCTAAGATCGCGAGAGAGGAGTTGAAAGCTGCATAACTTCATCAGTATTGGTAACATGCTGGGAGAAGGGATATATACTATAATAGCAAGAGAACCACCAAGCCCCGAGCAGATTTTGCTCATTTCTCGAACTGGCCATGATATTCTTGCTAGTTTGGAGGATATCGGCACATGTGCGGACTAAATCTGCCAGTAGAACAGCTCCTGAATTCCGTAGCCATTCGGTTTGGTGTTGGTTTGAGGCTGTACTACCTGGCAGATCGAGGTATTGGCTGAGGATTGGGCGTAAGATGAGTATTCTTGCACCGAGGAAGCGGAGGGAGAGTAGGACGCGGAGTCTTGCGGTTCCAACCGTTAAAGGCACATCATCCAGCGTGTCCTGGGAGGTGACGATTTTTAAACAAGAGGGCAGATTATCCTGCCACTGAGCTAGCTCACAGCGCAGCTTAGAGATCTGGTTGAGGCTTTCATTCATTGGGAGACGGGTGCGAAGCCCGAGATTTTGGTCATAAAGACACTTAACGGTGTCGCCCATGATGTGAGTAAGCGACCTATAAAGTCAGTCGGATTGCAAAGGTCATTCAAGTTAAAAAAAAACATACATCATAGCATCAAAGAAAGCCAGGCTGGACTCAGTCACACCCTTGGACACATTGCTGAATGGTAAACAGGGACTGGCCTCAAATCTGACATGCGACAAGGGAATCAAAGGGGGCCGGCCATAAACCACGCTCAGAAACCTGATCATTATCAGTATAACTCTCCACATACGGACTTTGAAAATATAGACACATACCGGTCATTGATCACACACCAATACCATGACCTCCTGCGCACTTCCCGGTCGATTTGCGACGTGCCTTTCGAGCCCACGACATGTAGACCGAGTTGATATGCCCCTTTCACAGCTAGGCCATGCAATGACCAGGTCAGCGACGAAGAAGTTGTTCCTTCTAGGTACGTTTCCATCAAAAGGAATAATTGCACTACAAGCATCAGTGTGAGGTCAAGCGTAGCTTTAGAAGACGGTGTGCCATACCCATTTCCAATGAAAGACGCCCCAGTATATCTGGTTTCACCAATTCCATCGCCTTCTCAAAATACACACTGGCCCTCGTAGCCCGTTCGATATTCGGCGAAGTCGCCGTCATGACATTTGTCGCAAGGGCAAGCACGACATTCAGAGTCCCCAGCCAGGATCTCCGAACACTCTGGATCCCATCAATCTGCAGCTTCTTGTACATTTCCCGGAAAGAGCGTTCATGGATGCAGGGAATCATGAGATTGACGGTGGTGAAAAACAAATGCAACAAAGCGTCTGCTTCAGCTTGAGGGGGAAGCGCGAAGGGATCTACGCGAGTTCTTTTTGGAGATTCGGGTAGATTGCTTATACTCGAGGGTCTCATTAGGAATGCATCGAATGAGTCGTAATTTGACTGAGGGACATCAGGGACATCCATGTTTGAGAGAGGTAAATTGTTCGGGTTGGCCGGATAGACAACGGCATGAATGAAGCTCAAAAAAGCCACATTGGAAGAAGCACCTTTTACATCGTTAGCAAGGGATTCATGAAATGTTCACTTGAGTAACTGGTGAAGAGAACTGTACCGAAATATTCTTCTTCATCAGCGCCATCTTTAAGTGCCACGGCACCCATACCATCCACCTCATCGTCTTCATCCAACGGACCTTTCATTCTGGGGCTGGGTGGAGATTCACGCTCCTTCTGAATGGTACTAGACGTGGCAGTATTCATGTCACGGCCATCGCGCTTCTCTGTCACAGATAATTGCAACTTTTCTTCTATTGCCTTTAATCGCTGCTCAAGCAAACTCTCCTCTTGCCTAGAAATATTTAGATTATGTTGACATCCTAAAGGGCTCGACTCACTGCTCACTGCTGTCGGGTATTGCTACCTGGCTGTGCGGCTGCTCATATCGGCACTCTGTGTCGATATCTTGGCATGTCGAACACGGCCGTGCGCCATCGCACTGCAGAATGATTCAGCGGAGTCCAAGATATAATTGTTAAATGGAGTACATCATACACGGGACTTCCGGACCCGACAGGACCGACATGCCACAGATACTCTTTTGCGTTTCCGACTCTGTTTTTGTGTTCGGATGTGATCGGAACCACCCGAAGATCGATGCTGTGACATGAGATATAAGAGAAGAGCTCGAAGTAATCACAATCCAAGGGAGTTGTAGTAAAAGGCCCGTCTTCTGAGGGTTATTTCTAAAGGTTGTTAAGTTCAATGGGATTTGAAGTGGGGAATGTGGCCCCTTTTTTCTTTTTCTCTGTTGCTGTTCGCAGTGCCCATGGCTATGTGTGTGCCCTGTTGAGGTTTTGCTATGCAAAGGGAGAAACCTTCTAAAGTTGGAATTATGTTCTCAAGTTGACAAACTGGCCTACTTAAGTACGCTAAGCCAAGGGATTTTGTACGGTTATACTGAAACAGCTTGATCTGCCGGTTCAATGCCGTGTAAACCTAATCCTCAGTCAGTCCGTCGCCAAGCTAAGTAGCACGTCAACATCATCTAGTACTACAATGATCCCTTCATGGATGTTGAGAGTCTTCCTCATGACTTCTTGGGGGCTGAACTGGCGAACAAACATCGCTAGAACGATTTTCTGCTCAATCAGTGAGAGACTAGACAGGATCAGCGCCATTTGAGCAGTATTTCGTCAAGTGGTGGAAGAAAGCCGACATCTCTTGCTTTCGATGCTCATTCACTAACCATCGCGTTGGGGTGTACGTGGTCGGAGCAGGGAATATGGCCTCATTATGGAGGGCATATAAAGGTGTCGCACTCACTTCTGTCTGCAAGGGTCAGCCTGAGATAGGAGAAAGAGGGATCTAGGGGCGTTCAAGGTTCAGTTGATGGTAGACAGAGATAGAGAGCCCTGGGGGGATCCGTGGATCGAACAAATTCATAGCATTTACCAAACTCTTGATGGTCTCACGAATCAGATGTTGCAATAGCATCACGATGTTGGATGTCATGTTATACACAAAATTGTAAGAAAAGAATACCCCGTGATGCGTGCGCCAAAGCAACCCTATCGCCGTGAGCGATGATAATAGGATTTCCGTGGCGAAACTCAGGGGGAAGCCAGAGCACGCATCTCCCGTTCAAGGCTATCCATCCATCAAATTTAAGGTAGATACGTTCTTCCCTCTGGCGTTGTTCCCTCTGGCGTTGACGTTGTTCCCTCTGGCGTTGACGTTCTTCCCTCTGGGGTTGTGGCAAAACTACTAACCCTAGTGCCTCATAGTATTCCAGATCTGGGGTTTCACCTCTCTGTCCCACTTCCCAATCATCTTCCGAATCACCTCTCTGTTCCACTTCCCATTTTGGATCCACAATGCTGAGTTCTCTTTCATGTATTCGAGCCTTCCGTCGCGATAAAAATCTCACATGGAATGGGTTTTGCTGTCGGATATCCTCACCAGGACCCAAGACACCCTTGTCAGTTCCCAGATATGGACCACCATCAATAAACCCCAATTTCGTAATATCACCAACATCTTCCCAGTATCGTAGCTCAGCACCGGTGGTAACATCCCACATAATGACTGTGCTGTCCCAATGACACGCTAAAAGACCGTTGTTGGAGAATGTCAGCATGAGTGAGTTTGGTAGCCAAGGCAGATCGCGCCAGCGAACAGAAAAGAGAAGGGACGTGATAGTCTGCTTCAAGGCTCCTGTTCTCATGCTCCAAACCAATATTCCTTGGTTATGGGAGATGATTGTTGCCACCCACTTGTTGTCATCTGAGAAGGCAACCGGAAATTCAACCCAATCAACCCAGGCATCTTCACGAGGGATATCAAACTTGTACCTCACCTTCCTGGTGCCCGTCATGAAGTCCCAAACGGAAAAAATATAGCCATCATTGGATGCCAAAATCTGCCCATTAGGCGAGAGGAACATCTTATTCGTTTCAACACGATTCTCCAGGAGGGCCCGATCAGAAAGATCCCATTGGCGTACTAGACCATCCCGGGATCCAAAAGCCAGTATAAGACAGGTAGGGTCAGGTACGAAGGCTGCGGAGTAAACTTCTCTCGAGCTGGAGCCAATATCATGGTCCCTTTTCCATGCGCCTTTCTCATGGCTCCATATATAGATCTTTGATTCTGACCCAACAGCGAGCAACAGAGAGCTATTGGGTGAGAAGACAATCTCACTTAGTCGAGCTTCAGAGTTCGTGATCTCGCAAGCCTTGTCTCTTTTGATATCCCACAGGTATGATGGCGATTCATTGTTCATCATGATGGCTATTGTTCTGCTATCAGGGGAAAATATTGTTTGATGAATGCCATGAACCATTAGCTCAGAGCGCAATACTGCCTGAACAGGGTCCCAGAGTCGGACAGTACCGATGGAGACAGATGCCAGTAGCCTACTATCGGGGGAAAACCTCACTTCGAGGATTTCGGTCGAATGGCCCGTCAAAGTAGCCGTTAGCCGACCCGTCAAAAGCTCGAAAAGATGCACTGTGCCATTTTGAATACCACAGGCCAGAAACTGTCTGTCACAGGAGATCGCGAACGAGCAAACAGCCCCTGGATTGCTCTTCAAGTTGCGACTCGGCTGGTCTCCATCGAGGTCATGAAGAATCAGTCGGCCATTTGTAGCCAAAGATACCAATAATTGGCCTTTATGAGAGACTTCTGCATCTTCGCATGTAGGTGGAGCAATATCGATGAATGAAAAACATTTGAGTTCCGATTTCGAGCTCTCAAGATCATATTTGAACCGCAAGGCACCTGTCACAGGGTCCCAGACTCGAATTGCAAACCGAGACATGAATGCCAGAAGTTTGCTATCTGGTGAAAACTCCATTTTTCTTAACCTCCAGTGTTGTATTGTGTCAAGGATACATTGCAAGGTGCCAGTCGGGAAGCTCCGCACATGTATTGAACAAGATAAAGATGCCAAGAATCGCCCGTCAGGGGAGAAAACGGTTTTTCGAATTTCGTTCGAATCATTCTCAAAGCTTTGTAATTCTGGTCCCCAGCTAGGCTCTATCTGAGGTAATTTGCTTATCCAAGAAGGCAGGTCGCCCGCTAACCTCTCGTGGATTCTGTTCTGAGGTGCGAATACTAATGCCGCACAATAAATCTGAAGGGGTGCTGCATCGATTATGTGTGAACTGTTCAGAACCAGGCGTTTTGTATAGCGCAGGTATTCGAGAGTTATTGAGTCTTGGTTCTTTTCAAGGAATAAGTTGAATATCCCCCGTTCGGTCCAGAGGGGGTGACTTACTGGGATGAGATTTAAGAGAATGTCGATCATCCCTACCACTTCCGATATGACACCAAGAATGCTCATAGCTTCTACCCAGTGTAAAGAATGCGATTGTAGAAATGAAGAAACGTCACTCATCAATTCAGCCCCTCCGGTTCTGCAATCTGAAGAAGTCATTTCCATGAAGTGCGCTAGATGGTGAGTCCAGTAGCGGCATGCATACTGTGCTTCTGGAGGGATATGACGATTTATTGCCGAAGAACCAATCTTCACACGCGGTGTGCCTTCGTCCGACAATTGGCATATGTTCTTGCGCAGATGCTGTTGATTGAGGCGCACACAGTTCACAGCTATGTTCAGATGGGTCTGGGGGATATCGATAGAAAATGGCATTGTATCGCGACTGCCATGATCGAGAAGAAAGTCGCGAAATGACAAATGAAAGAGACGAACCGGTAAGTTTCGATCATGCGCTGGTACATTGAGAACTGAATGTAATGGATCTAGCCTGGTACGTATAGTACTTTCGGGAAGATTAATGAATTTTGAAAGCGACACGATCGATAAAGGATTCTCAAGCATCACAATGACTCCTACCACTTGTCGAAATCCTGTTGCCAGCTTTTCAATCTGCTGTTTACCATCTGCATACGAATCATGGAAAATCCGGTTTAAAACAGAGTAGTATGTTTTGTCGAGCTGCGAGATATCGTGGGGGAACCGAAGTATTTGGGTTAGACTCTCCACTGGATCGAAATAATGGTCTTCCAGCATACGGCAAATAGTGGCAGCGAAGATGAATAGTGGAGAGGATAGTGAGACAAGATCTTGAAAGGTGGAATCGTCCACCCAATCTGCAGGAAGCGAGCGTTCGTTTGTAATCTCGGAAATTTTATGGCGCAAGAACAATGAAAGATCGTAATCGATCAATTCTTTAGGGATTTGATGGAGAATGAAGTCTTTGTAATCTGAAATCCCGGAAAACCCCATGCGGATATCCAATTCAGGTCTGCTGGTCAAAAACACTCGAAGACGTAATCGTGTTGATTTTTGGAGTTGTGGTAGAAGTTGCAGTATCAATCGAATGTTGTTTGCTCCTTCACATTCATCCAGTGCGTCGATGATTATGATTATTATCCGTATAGGCTGGGGCGACGAAAAGGTGTTGGGTTTCCAGTTTAGGAGTGGACACATGATCAGTTTTTCAAATTGTTCTTTCATGGTTTTCGACGCAATTTCTGGATTGTCACGAATTACTTGCTTGATGGAGGGCAGCAATTCCGGAAGGCTGCCGGCAAGTTGGTGTGCAATCGTTGTGAACAGGCTTTTAGCAGTCCCTCGGTCTCCCTCGCCCCTTTTGAAAAAGAAAGTTGCGCCTAAAGTCTTCGTGTCGCTGGCTCGTCTTGCCACAGTGCGAGAGATCGTCGATTTCCCCGTCCCGGCCATTCCGTTCAACCAAAATATACATTTTGAATCAGAAGAATCTCGAGACTGCACCCAATCATCAATCCGAGAGAGGAGATCGATTCGTGTGCCTGTGTAGCACTCGGGTTCATGCTGATTGTCGAAGGAATCGAATGTGGCCTCGTGGACTAGAGGCAACTTTTCGGCGAAATCTATGGGATTAGTGGGATTCGCGAATGAAGAGGTCAGTCACTCCACCTACCAGAAATGAACTGATTGTTGACGGTGCCATTATTGATCGCAATCTGCGACCCGGAACTCGAATCTCCAAATGAAATATGATTCATGGATGTCTTGACGGTAAAATAGGGAAGACAGAGGCAGGTGGTACAAACACGTGAAGCAGCATGAATTGAGTATGCACCTGGACAGTATCATGCGATGACAGAGACTGAGGACAGGGCTGAGGATAGAGAGAGAGAGAGAGAGAGAGAGAGAGAGAGAGAGAGAAGAGAGGGGTTGAGAATCGACAGCGCGCCTCATCACACCGTCAGGTGACGGAAACACGAGTACGAAGATGTATGGCGGCCTGGGTAGCAAAGACTAATGAGATCCTTATTCAACATTTCAATTGATGTCTGAAATTGCATTAGAATTGATGATAGACGAAAAGAGGGTTGGAAAAAAAGTTGGAAAAATCTCGTCGCTCAGCAGAACCGTAGAAGGAATTGAGTCTTGACAGGATCATGTCGCGCTGTTTCCTCCAGGGTTCGGATGGCGGTGACGAGGGGGAACTGCATGAGATCGTCCGCTAGAAGATGAACACAGAGAGAAGAGAGAAAGTGAGCCGACAGGTAAGGATGAGCCGGCAATAACCTAAGAAATATGACGAATCTATGCTGATTCCTCAAAACTCCCCAAAATCCAGGTTCACTTCCATCTCGCAGCCCTGGAGGTAGGCTTCGCCATGATGTGTAAGCGGAAGACTACCCCCGGGGCCCGGCGAAAAGCCGAAGTTGCCGCCACACCTCCCCGGGGATATCGGGGGTATACAGGCTGCACCCCCATTCCGTCGGCCTCGAGACAAATTGTAAAGATAAACACGAAATTAGAGCTCCACTCACCATATCAAAGCACGTTGGTTAAATAAAAGTGGTTTCTTGCATCACAAACTATTTCCTTAAGAAAACTCAATACGAGGATATCTGTTTACTTCACGTCGTCTTCTTTTCTTACTTCTGAAACCACTCTCATCATGCGTGATCTTTCTCACAAGCCCCGGAAAGACTTCCCAAGCTACCCGCAATTCTCCGGATTTATGAAGCCATGCCGAGTGGAAGGAGAAGTTCTGAATCTTGAAATTCACGGCAGGATCCCGGAAGACATTGATGGAACATTCTACCGGGTGATGCCTGATCCCCAATTCTCGCCCTTTATCGAAAATGACCCAGTAAGCAGACCGATTCGAATCTTGGACTCCAAGAAAACAGCAAAGCTGATGTGACTAGTGGTTCAACGGTGATGGCAGCATCAGCGCCTTCAAAATCAAAGACGGCTCAGTCTCCTTCAAGCAGCGCTTTGTCCGAACAGAGAAGTTCGTCCGGGAGCGAGAAGCTCAACAAGCACTACTTGGTAGGAGCCCTTTGCTCACAACCTCAGATAGACCTCACTCATTTTAGGTAAATACCGGAACAAATTCACGGATGCCGTTGAATTCAAGATCCGCACCACAGCCAACACCAACGTTGTCCACTTCAACGGCAAGTTGCTAGCTCTGAAGGAAGATGCTCCTCCGTATGCATTGGATCCGCATACCCTCGAGACAAGCGGTTTGTATGACTTTGATGGACAGTTACCCAGTCTGACATTCACTGCACACCCGAAATTTGACCCGCGGACGGGGGAGATGATCTGCTTCGGATATGAAGCCAAGGGCGATGGAACACCTGATATCTGCTATTACCGCATTGCAGCTGATGGGAAGTTCTTGGAAACTGTGTGGTTGACTGCGCCTGTTGTGGCTATGATTCACGATTTTGCCATTACGGAGAACTGGGTGAGTGGTGATCTTGTTTTCTTCATTCTTTCTCAAAGCGCCTTCTGATCAGATGTTGATGGTATTTTAGGTGCTTTTCCCCATAATCCCCCAGCTCTGCGATATCGAGAGAATGAAGCAGGGAGGTGAGCATTGGGAGTGGAGCCCTGACACTCCAATGTATATCGGAGTACTTCCACGACAAGGAGCAAAGCCATCCGATCTCAAGGTATATTTCCGACACCTTATTGGCCCTCCCAATAATCCAATCATTTATTAACCCTCCCAGTGGTTCCGCTATCAAAACTCATTCCCAGGCCACGTAGCCAACGCCTACGAAGAAGAATCCGGCAACATCATACTCGACCTCGGACTGAGCGAGAAAAACGTCTTCTTCTGGTGGCCAGATGCGCAAGGAAACTCCCCCGAGCCAAGTTCCATTCACTCCCAGCTGACCCGATTCACCATTGACCCCAAATCCAAGGACCTGGACTTGGTGAACCCAACAGTCCTCCAGAACGACAACTCCGAGTTCTACCGTTTCGACGACCGATTTGCTGCCAAACCGTATAAGCACTGCTTCTTCGATCTCATGAATCCTGCCCTCGGAACCGATTTCCCGACTATCATGCCTCAAATGGGTGGTGGTCACCCGCTGTATAACGCACTGGCACACTTGAATATTGAAACTGGAGTTACAGAGACCTATTTCCCGGGGAAGACACATATGGTGCAAGAACCGGTCTTCATTCCACGAAGCAGATCTACTGTTGAGGGTGATGGGTATGTTATGGCTTTGGTGAATAATTATGTTTCTATGTGCAGCGAGTTGCACTTGTTGGATACCAGTGATTTTACTAAAGCGAAGGCTGTCATTCTACTGCCGCTTCGGCTGAGGCAGGGGTTGCATGGTAATTGGGTTGAGGGTGAGGATCTGTAGACGGCAGAGCTTAGGGCAAACAATAGCGAAGGTGATCCATGTTCACGCAGTTTGACTGTTTATAAGATCGAACAAGGCTTGTTCATTATTCGATTTATATTAGAGTGGAAATATGTGTATTCCCGGGGTGCTCTGCTCAATTTCGTAAAATTTCGTCTCGTGTGATTCAGACCTTGTCGTCTACCTAGGTAAAAATCAACATTCGGATGGCAAAATGTGGCCTCACAATCATTCTCTAATTCAAACTAGCTTGTGCCGGCGAGCCTTGGGGATTCAATCGGTTGTAAAAGGCAATGGTGTTCGTATTGCAAATGGCTGACAATATTGGATCTAAGAACACTGCAGTCTTGGTTATGATAGTGCCTATTCCAGTCACTCACTCCCCCGACATCCCCGGAGTACTAATTCTAACCCGCTTACCCCGGTCTGTATTGTTATTCCATGATATCAGAATCTCCGGGTGAGGCGAACGTCCCTGTCAGCTGATAGTTGGATTGGTCAGGGTGAGCTTCCCCCGGTACCCCCGGTATCCCCGGGTACTGGTAACCTGTTCATGCAAACAGAAGGATCTGTTGTAGATGAAATTTGCTTATAATAAGTAGTGTGTAGCTTCTAAAGCTGCTGTAGACAGTAATCCCCAACTTTGAATAGCGACACAATGGCACCCCATAGGTCCCCAACTGTTAACCGCCAGCCATTGGGCAACTTTTTGACGACGTTGTCCGTTTACTTGGAGAAGACAATATTTCCCGCACTCCTGGTCATGGCGCACTCGAGGGTATGCAAGGCCAGACATCCTACGGCGATCCATTCTCAACCTCAGGAGCCCACGCACCCAGCGGTGCCGTTCGACCTAGTACTGTGGCAGAGGTCCAGGATGTCGTGAAGATTGCCAATAAGCACAAGGTGTGTTTATGGACAGTGTCACGAGGAAAGAACCTGGGGTATTTCCATGTCTCTCTTGCTATCTGCATATCACTTACAGTCATAGATATGGTGGATCAAGTTCTGTCGCCCAAGGATGCGTGGTCTTAGATCTGCACCGAATGAACAAGATCGTCGAAGTGAATGAAGAGTATGGATACGCCATCGTCGAGCCGGGCGTATCACTTTTCGACCTTTACGAGGAGATCCAACGACGGGGCCTTCACCTGTGGCCATCGGTCCCGGCCATTGGATGGGGTTCTGTCTTGGGAAATACCATGGACCGAGGCTTTGGATATACCCCCAATGGAGAGCATTCGCAGTCGCAGTGCGGTATGGAAGTCGTGCTGCCAAAGGGTGAATTGCTTCGAACGGGTATGGGAGCGATGAAGGATAATAAAACATTTGCGCTATACAAGGGGTATTGTTCACCAGTCCCTATGGTCTCCCAGTATTAGCTTACCATTTAACAGAGGCTTTGGCCCAACCCTCGACGGACTGTTTTACCAATCCAACCTCGGTCAGTGTCACAATCCACCTCATTATCCTCGCTAACACGAACAGGTGTTGTGACCAAGATTGGCATCCATATCACGCCCGCCCCCGAGGCCTACGCCACCCTCGAAGTCAGCGTTCCCAAAGAAGCAGACCTCGTCCCTCTAATTGGGACTCTATCAGACCTGATGCGCCGGTCCATCATTCTCAACTCACCATCCATCGCCAACATCTTCCGCATCGCGCTGACCTCCCAAATCCCCGAGGTCCACACCAAACTGGCCCAGTACATGAAGCCCAACTCACACGTCCCGTACAACGTACTAGAAGAAATCCGCGCAGAACACAACTGGGGCTTCTGGAAAGCCTATTTCTCTCTATACGGCTCCATCGAAATGCTCCCAGCACTGATTCAAACCGTGCACCGCGCATTCTCCAGCATCCCAGGCGTGAACATCGAATCACGCCAATTCCCCGGTTCCCCAGGCCAAGCCATCACAGCAGCAGAAATCCACGAGGAAGAGATTCCACACAGTGGAATCCCCACACTTGCTCCGTTTAACAATCTCAATACCCGATCTGGGAAAGGTGCACACGTCGATTTCTCCCCCATCATCCCTCCCTCCGGACGCGAGTTGTACCAATGGTACCTGACCGCGAAGCAACGCACCATGGATGCGAATTTCGACTTCTTCGCGGATTTCCACGTTTACCCCCGCTACGTCGTCGGTATCGAGTTGGTTATTTTCACGCTGCAGGAGGAGGCGCGCGTCCTTGACTTGTGCAGGAATTTGATGCATGATGGTGCGGAGCTGGGGTATATGGAGTATCGTTCCCATGTGCGCTTCATGGACCAGATTGCGGATAAGTTGGATTTCAATGATTCTGCGTTTCAGAAGTTTACGGGACGCTTGAAGGATATGCTGGATCCTAATGGGGTGCTTTCTCCGGGGAAGTCGGGTATTTGGAATATTCATTGAAGCCGCGACGATTTGATTAGGTCTATTGAACAAAGGTATACAAAGTTATAAAAAGCTGCAAGAGAGATAGCTTAGTACTATATGCGAAGTACTTCATGCAAACAGTGCAAACACGACTCAGACATTCAATATTATTGTCGAATAATAGTGAATACTTAAGTATAGTATAGCAATAATTTAAAAAAGCAGAGCAAGTAAATGTAAGTCTGTGTAGTGCAAGTAGTACTTCAGTGAATAGTGACCGCCCCACCAACTGCCGGGCCGCGTCGACTTGGGTGCCTTCGCAATACACTACAAGTACTCCCACTTGCGCACTGGAGACCTTCTGTCCGAACAATTGAACGTGTCACATCCCCGAGAATCAGTGCGCCTTAAATCCACCAAACTCAGAGTCCCAGACTCTCCATCCACCATGTCAACCTACGAGAGTGAGCTAGCCTACACCAAAGCTTCCGAGAAACCTTGAAACTAACCACACCAGTCGAGCACAACACAACCGACCCCTCAACAGCCCAAATCCCCCGTCGCCGCCGCCCCGACCTCTCCACCTTCTTCTCAGCCCTCTCCGAAATCACCCCAGCCCCCGACCACAGACCCCATGCCGTGCCCGTGCCCGGCGATATCAGCGCTGCATTCTACTCCCTCGCCGAGGCATTGGAGATGATGCGTCGCGACAGTGACGCGCCACAAGATGGCGCAGACACAGACGGGACAGACAACGGACGCGATCTGCTGAGCACAATGATCCAGTCACTTCTTGCGCAGGCAGATACACCACCAAGGGAAGTGGAGGGTGTGTCAGAGGAATATTGCGATAGTAAGTGCCCCCCTCGTACCTATTTCCACATAGTGCTAACTGATTTTCAATTAGTGCTGGACCGCGTTCCCAAATCATCACTTAAACCCGCTGACATATGTCCCATCTGCAATAATGCGTTCTTGGAAGACCAGTACCCGCTTGTCGTGCAGTTGTCGTGTCATCCCACCCACAGATTTGATATGGAGTGTATTCGGCCTTGGTTGAGGCTGCGTGGCACATGTCCGCTGGACAGGGTGGACTTTGCGAAGCAGCAGAGGGAGAAGGCGGAGGCCAAGAAGAAGCTGGTTGAGGAGGATGAAGAAGAGGAGTGGGATGGCATGTATGGTTAGAGATATTTGCATCTGCTTCTGGGGCGCTGTGAGAGGATCAATTGATTGGAATATGATTTATGCTAGCTGTTGGTGGTGTCCAGGCTTGATTGGATGATTTGTTATCCTTGCATTTACTTCTTGTGTTGAGAGCGCATATTACTAGGTAATGCATCAGCCCTGCCCAGGTGGTCTACTAGGTACAACTTTAGAAGTGCCGGGTGGACTATAAGCTGGATTCTCTAGGGTAATATACTATTGACGAGATACTGGTATAAACTTTGGGAAGCATTATGATCATATAGTGGACTTCTATTCTGATATTCTGATATTTTCTATCTTTAAACGTTATTATCCCAGACTCCATGACCAGGTCATATTTCAGATAATGAGATTGAATCGTCAAGGCCATCCCGACGTTAGTCATTCATTCGTATTGGAGCCCTGGAGTGAATATAGACAAGACAAATAAACCATAGCATTAGATCAACCCCGAAAAAGATGAGCCACGGCACAAAAAACAATCCACATTGAAATCATCCAAGCCTCCACCCCTAAAAGGGACCCAACGATCAAGGTGAGCCGCCTCGAAAGATATGAGAAATGAAGGACAAGGCATAACTCCAACCAGATGCATGAGCCCGCAAAGACATAAGCAATCATGGTCGTGTTTTGTATCTTGTGCCTGGGCATCTGAAACCAGGTATACTCAATTAGTACTTAGATAGTTAATACTTATAATAAGTCAATAGGTCTAATCACGATACTGAGCGACATTCTCCCTCACGACCGCGGCCTCTAGTTTGGTAACACGGGCCAAGAGTTCGCTGACATCTGATTCGAGGGCAAAGTTCGCTTCGACGTCTAGGGGGTGGAATCCGCTGAAGCTAGACTGGTCCGGCCAGATCTGTCTTGCTTTATGCTGGGTCCACTCTTTGACGAAGATGATTAGGGCCAGGAGGGCTAGGGCTAGTGCTAGTCCTGTGAATGTGAGGGCGAATACCTCGATGGTTGATTCCATGGTGGAAGAATTGCAATGTTGTCGTACTTGGTAGATGTTGTGTAGGTGTGGTGTGGTACGTCAACTTTGCGATGTGCTGGTGTTGATCTCCAAGTATATGGGGGCAATGTAGAATCCTTGATGGGAAATCAAAGGTGGAATCTATATAGATGATGAGAGAGTATTCCATCTGGACCTGGACAGGGTATTTATAGTTCGAGTGTGGAAATCTCCTCGAACTTGAAGTGAAGAAGCAAATGGCCTTTGTCCAATGACAAAGAGGGAGCTTAAAGACATAATGGCTTTGAAGAAACCCTTGAGCGAAATTCATAGTCCAAGGTAAACAATGGTCTTTGAAAAATATCTTGTTCTCGTCACAAAGGATATGCAGTTGAACCTGCTTCATTCCAAAGGCCTCCAATTTGAGACCAATGTTGAATGGGATGCAGAATCCAGGAAACATCATATGCTGTATGTTGCCTGCCACCGATGCATCTGCCTTTCAAGTTGATTTTCCTTCATCGGCGATAGCCTTCGAACACGCTTACTTGTAACCTTAAAGATTGACATTGATTCATTGATTCACAAAAGTAGCTAGTTCGTAATTTGTACTCCATACAATAACCGATGGCGTTTACACATAATTCATGAGATTTCCTCAGCGCGAGGCTTGGGCCGAATGGCCAACTTGCCCGCCTGGTTAATCATAGCTTCGTAACCAGCCCGCTCCAACACGCCACCATCCTTGTTAACAACCTCCCGGGCCTCGAGTTCTTCCACAAGACGCTGGTTCTCACGGTTACCCTCCAACAAGAACTTAAGACACATAACAGCATGCTCTTTGATGTAGGGGTTATGAGCATCGAAGGCAGTGCAGCAAAGAATAGCCTCGACACCACCGTAGCGACGGATCTGCTCTTGGACATCGGGGCACTTCCAGACCAGAGATGACAGGACGAGAACAACCAGCTTCTTGAGGTTGCGCCATTCGAATTCGGAGGGATCTTCGGTGATGGGGGGTGACTCGGGGCGGGAATCGACGCTGCCGGCGACGTTGTCGACGGGGTCCGGGTCGCTGGGGTCGTAGGGGCGCTCGACGGCAACAGGGGCAGGGGAGCTGGATGCGTCTGCTGTCTCGCTGCGTGGAGGTGGTGGTGGGGGTACGGAGCCGAAGGATAATTGGCTCAGTTGACCCTTGGGGATGCTTGCCTCTAACTCCTTGATCAGGGTGACTAGGTCGTAGACAATCTCCCATTTGACTAGGAGGTTCTTCCAGTCGTTGTTCTCAGTGAGTACAGCGAAGAACTCCAGGAACTGATAGACACCCTCGTAGACGCGCTCCATATCCCACAGGTTAAGTGGGAAGTCTTCTGACAGGGCTCGCTCGGCACGGATTTGGCCTTGGAGGTAGATCAAAGCACATGTCTCTGGGATGATGTTGCCACGGAAGATAGTGAAGATGTATCGGACAGTGAGAATATCAACCCGATTGAGTGAGTTGGGGCTGCGAGGAATGTTGGGTTGGGCGGACCCAGTCACCGAGGCAGGAGAATATTTGGCCCGGAAGATATGAGTGAGGATCTTGATGACCACAGCCTGAGCAGGAGAGATGATGTCCTTAGGTTGACCGAAGTCAGAGTAAGCGTGAGACATGAGTCCATTCTTGAGAACCGCCTCCATGATCTGGACCATCATTTTGAAGTAGAGTTCGTCATCGGGAAGATCCCATGCGGCAATGAAGATCAACAATTCCCGAAGCAGATTGCGCCCTGTCTCCTGTGTGAGAAGGATATGGCACCGGAGGGCTTGCATGTTTCTGGAGCCCTTCCGTTCGCCGCCCTTCGTGCCAAAGCTGTCAACGATTCCAGCCTGGACAATCATAGGCAAAGCTTCGATCTCAGCTGGCCCAAGGACCAAGGGAATGTCAGTCAGAAGACCCCGCTGCTGGTCACCGGGACGGCCACGATATTCATCGTCCTCCTCTTCTTCGTCGTCGTCTGGATCTCCTTCACCGTCATCGTCCACATCATCGTCTCCATCTCCGTCCACACTTCCATCGGCCATGGCCTCTAAGCTGCGGGAATCATCGTCGCCCACCGTGTGTGCATCTCCGTGGTCATAATCGTGTTCCTCATCCCCATCGATATGTGATGGCTCTTGCAGTCGTGCCATGAGCTCATCCTTGGCCTCTTGTAATGTTTCCGCGGCAGATTGGGACGACCGAGGCATGCTGGTATCCTCATCATTGACAGGTCCTTCCACAGCACCAAATTCGCTGATTTCCGGAAGATCCGCCCAACAGAGACGAGGGAAACCAGCCGTAAGACTGCGATCAATAGTCAAAATAGTCTTCTTCTTGGCCAGCTCATGCTCCTCCTCCTCTTCCTCCTCTTCCCGGTGTCCACTGTGATCGACATGGCCTTCCTCTTCCAGCTCCTCCGGCTCATCGTTATCATCCTCATGGAGCGAAGGTGGAAGCTCACGGGCACGCTCCTGGAGATCAGACCAGCCATCAACCTTGGCTCCTAGTATCGCGGTTAGAGCAGCTCGGATATCCTTGACTTGATCCGGATCTCGACCCATTTCTTGGATAGCACTAAGGTCCCGGCCTAGAATTCGCTCCATGTGGTCTTTGATATTTGCTAGGAGTAGCATCGCAGCTTCTTCTTTGATTGTGGCGGGCTCCCGCGGGAACTTGGCAATAGTCTCCAACAGAAGGTCTTCAGCAGTCTGATCATAGAGTGCACGAATGGGTGGATTGATTACACGCTCTCCTACCTGCACAATGGGTGCAACTCCTTCTCGGGAACTAGCGTCATCCAAAGGCTCCTTTGGTTTGATTATGTTTGTATCGGCGGTCGAGTGGTATCCAAAAAGATCCAGCCAGAGGACCATCTTGCGGTGTTCATTGTGCATGACGAAATTGTGGAGGAACTGCAGGCATGTAATCAACAGCCGCTTGTAGAGGTTGACCACTTTCTGCCATCGCTCTTCGTTCCGCGCATTGGTTTCCCCGTCGAATCCTCGAGCCGTGACTCGGACACATGTGTCAATGAGCGCGAGAATCCGTTGGTCAAAGCCTGTTTCTGCTGCGAGGTTTTGCGCTTTCTTCGTTGTCGCGAGGAGGTTGCGGGCAATCGTGCACAGATCGTTGAGTCGCTCAATGTCCTTGACTAGAGAGAAGTAATTGCAGGCAATGAGATTGGAGGAGGAATGTTCGTAGCTTGCTGCGGGGCTTTTCCATGCAAAGGACTGCGACTCGAGGACTGGGATCGCTCTCGTGAGGACTTCTGTGAGGCCTTTCCAAATAGCTGTTGACATGCCCAGATTGTGACTGGCGCGTAAAAGGTTAGTCTTGAAACAATTGACAGGATTGGGATACTCACCGAACTTCACTTTCTTGGTGTGTCTTGTACAAGATCTGCTTACCGCAGGCAAGCATATGCTCCAGGCGGACCTCGTCGATCATGCCCCGGGTTTCATAGTGGCTTAGGGTTCCTGCGATAATCACCTTGAGCATCAACTCCGCTGGAGTACATGCAGGCTGAGGTTCTGCCATGACGCGTAGCACAACAAAGATCAAAGGAAAAAAAAAGTGGCGCGGGGGAGTTCAAGATGAGGTGTGGAGAGACAAATTTTCCGCCCGCAGTATGAGGCCGCTCATTCGTCCGCTCTGATCTATGCAGTTTTACTTCACTGCACTTTGTTCTTTTTACTTGTGTGATTTTTATTTAGATATGTTTTGAAATTCAAACTCTCAATCAGATATAGGTCCACGAACAGAGAATCCCATCACATCCCGGAGATTGTTCCAAAATCCCATGTCATAGATGTTATCCACCTCCTTCATACTGTGCAGTCGCTTCCACCGAGGATCAGGTGGTAGATCAGATCCAGGACGATGGGCAATACAGTTAGAGCTAGACATCAGGAGACATCCCTCGGTCGGAGGATCCTCATCAGTGACAAGTATCTGATCTGTATGCACTGGCCATGCCCGGTCATGAGGGTCCATAGGAGTGGGATTCTCAAAGATGAGACTGCTTCTGGTCTTGAAGACCAGACCGTCTTCCACATCGTCTTTCCAATCGGTCCACTTGGCAGTCTCATTGGTTGTCGTGCCCGCCCAAATGAGGTATGTATGGTAAGCCAGAAAGGATACTGCCAGGGGAGCTGTCATAAGCATCAGCAGAAAGACCGCCCCAATCCTAGGATACGTCGCAACCAAAACACTCCATGTGTTGATCCAGGTGGTCCAGTCTTGCATAGCTATCTTGACGTCGGGCGGAACCAACTGCTCCAACGATTCAGACAGTAAGGATTTCCCCAGATAAGACCCGTAGATCAACATCACCGAGAGCGAGACCAAGAGCGAGACGAAGTACACGCAGTTATTGGCGCCGACACAGTTCATCAGCCAGACACAGTGGTGGTCATGTCGAGACACACATGCGTTGCAGAAGCTGCAATGTTTGCTGCGTGCGGGCTTCAGGAAGTGACAAGTGCTACACTCGTGTCCTGGGTGAAAAAGGACTCGGTCATAAGGGTAGCGTCTCATCTCTTCCTCATGATTGTCCTCTGTAATAAAGGATTTGGTCACCACGCATTTGTAAAGTAGTACATATGGTAGAGTGATCACGATCGGCACCCAGAATTGATGGATACTGGACAGTCGAGGCCACGCAGCGGGGACAAAGACAATTTCTCCAATGACCATCAGAGATGTGAAGAAGATCTAATTCTCATGAGCACTGAGACTCAAATTCAGAGGAGTTGCCACTGACCAACACCAAGGGGTGGTTTTCTTTCAAGACATAACTGCCGGATCGGGTCCAGCACCGCACCCCCCGTCCCCCAAACCACCCATTGTCAACTACCGCGAGTCCATTGGGCAGATACACCCAGAGCACGCGGTGTAGAAAAGCAACAGGTGTTTTTCTTGGTCGCTGTCAGCAGAGCAACACACATCAAGATCAGCGACACTTTACCTGAATGCCGGCAGCCTGCCAAATAACGCGATAAACGTGAAGACCGAGATCGCCAGGATCACCAACCCCACGGTGCGTAGAGCCCCCATTTCTGAAAAGTGTCTCTCGCCCTAGCTCAGTTCTTCATGGTGAAAGGACTTTTGAGGTGAACAGTTGAAGTCGCGTCCGAGGCACTTTCGTGGCCGCCACGTGACCGCGTCTTTTCGGCTCAGCAGAAGAGCGACGCTGATACATCCGTGAATGTTTTTAGGATCCAAAAAAAAGGACTGAGACGTGTATTTTGCACTCAGCATCTCGTGGAAACAAAAATCACGCGTTAACACGTGATATCGCGTCAAAGGCCGGGCACAGCTTCTGTCGTGGGATTGAAACCCTCGGCACTTAGATCAACAGGCTATGGCGTCTCGGGGAGAGGGGGCGCCGACCCTGTTTGGAGGGGCGCGTTTCTGGTTAGCTCAAACCGTTCCCCAGAGGACGAGGTTCAGGGAAGACATACAGGTAATCACCAGATCCGCTGTCTAAATCGCATGTTCTAACTTCTTCATAGAAACATGGAGGCTTCGTGGTTCTGATGGAAAAAGACGCGGATGTCAAGCTTGTGGACCATAAGAGAAAGAATCTCCCACAAAACACGTACGGCTGGATGCTGCAATCTCGGAACGGCGTGCTAACATCGGTAAATCAGATTCTCATATCAATATGTGGAACGTTCCATCGCGAATGGCCAACTTGAAGATCTAGAGGCGCATCGGTCAGGTCCCTCTGCAACACGGCCTATGGGGGCAACAAATATCCCTACAAAAGGCAAAAGATCAGTCTTCACACTGAAAGACGATCAAATTGTATACGACTGGATTCATCACTTTGCAAAGAGTCCAGGGGCACCAGTCCAAGGGAACAAATTCTATCAAGATTTGAGCGAATTGGTAAAGTACATTCTCCCTTTGTCCTGGTCATGCTAACGTGGACTAGTTTCCCAGTCACCCATGGCAGTCATGGCGCAGTCGGTACACCAAGGTTTTACATGGGAAACCTCGTCCAGGTGGCGGAGTGCCTCTAACATTCGACGAGATCCTAGAATGTGCACCATCGCAAGGACAGCGCGCAAGGATCTTGCCCACTCGCACAACTGAACCTACGCCCGCAGCAGCAATGAGACCAGCAATGAGACCAATTGCCCCAAAACCTGCTCCGGCTCAGGCTGAAACGAGCAATTCAAACGCAAACATGAAGCGTAAACGTGCCTCGATTCCTGAGACACCCAACCAACCTCGGCCTGACCTCCCTCCGAAGAGGCGAGCAGTCGAAGTACAAATCCCTGTATTCAAGGGCTCTCCTTCACGTCGACCCCCTCAACCACAGCCCTCGCCAACAATTACAGCAGCACCATCCCGCAGAAATGACTCAGAAAACAACTCATCTACCGATTTTTCAAGCTCAAGCCCTCAAACAGGTCTTGGGATCACGGAAATCCCTCCTCAAACTGCTCGGACACCAATTTCTCACCCCTTGAATCGACCAACAATTGAACGCCCAGAAACTACAAAAGAGTTACCAAAACTACCCCGCCCACCAGGCGATAATGCATTTGCCCAATTAGCCCGATTCAACCAACAACCAACAAAGCCCAGACAACCAGTGAGGGATCCTCTCAAGGATCCTATCGATTCTATCGACCCAGGTTTCCTGGAACTGCCTTTCCCCCCGCCTAGTCCGGAACCAGAAGCAACTGACGACGATATTTCCGAGATTCCCGATATCGATACTTGGATGGACGAACGACTGGCTCGAGGCGTGAACGAGACCCATATCTTCAATGCTTTGGCATGCACAAGTATGGACCCAATGATGGCCGACAAAATACTCAAACACCTCGGTGCTGGCAAAGGTATCCCACGGAACGTGCGCGGAGTCTGGACAGCAGAGGACGATGAATGTTTCCAATCAGAGGAGTATGCAAAAGTACAGCGTGCACTCTCCAAACATGGCGCCGATGCCTACAAAGCCAGATGGGAATACTTCCGCGGGGCTCGAGAATCAGGGTTTATTGAATGAGCATGATATCCATATCCGTATTTAGTGTTACCCGTGCATTAAACTGAATATTCCAGAGACAAATGTGATTGCGATTGTAAGATACACGAAAGATAGCTTATTGCTAGGAATGGAATACTCCCCGAAAACTCCGGAATTGAAACTCCCAGAACGCAGAAATGAAGTGACACGCATATTGATAGCACGCCTGTGGGAGACTGGTTAGGTGAAGGTATTGAAAAAATGACCGTTCACTGTGCCAGTCTCAGGGTATAATGACGAATCTCGGGAAGAATGGCCGGAGATATCCCAATTATGTGCCATTCCGAAGTGAGCTGTAGATGGGACTCCTCCAAATGCTGTAATGTGGCGCAAATGATTTCGATTTAGTCGTCATTCTCCGTCTTAAAGACACTGTGAAGGTTAGAAGATAGTTCAACTTGACTAGGATGTATCGTCTTACAGGTGTTTTTCGTAGAATTCGAGCATCTTATCAGAACGTTAGCGCGTGTTAAAGCTCCATACTGCCGGGATAGACATACCTTTCGAGGACACTTGTCATAGCATGCTTGAACGCTCACACGGGCAGTTTTGCCATTGTTGAACAGTAGATATGCGAACAGACCCTCACCGTGTCTTCCTTGTTGAATGGTAGAGACTTCCTTAAGGTCCTTATCCCACTTGCCCTTTGGCAGCCAGCCTTGGTCATCCTCGGGTGCGACGGAGCTATCCGGAGTCTCAGCCTCCGCCAGTTTCGCCGCTGCCGACTTTCGGCCTCTCTTGGCTGGAGGTGCTGCGGCCTTAGACGGGGTCGCACTCTTGGAGCTTGCGTCGCCCATCGACTTGCGCTTGCGGCCTGGCTTCGGCTTCTCCGAGGCCCTCTCTGGGCGACCACCAATCGATTTGTAGTATGCATTCAGGATCTCGGAAGCTCCCTCCCTGTCTGGCTAAATATATGCGCACAGTATCATTGGGGAATTGCAACCTACATCAGGTTCTCTTCTTCCTCCCATGTGTGGTCTTTGATGGCGGAGTATCCTTGCCATTTCACGAAGAACTTTAGTGTACCCTGCGATTCGGTTAGCTCGCTGGTCTCTGGGAACGCGCAATCGCATCGGGCATAGGACTTACATCGTCAAGCCAATCGTGTCGAACAATCTTCTCCACAACATAGCTATTGTCAGTTAGAAACAGTGATGATTGGCGTGGATGCGTGACTCACTTTTCATCGTCCTCGTCATCATCGGCGTCGCTTTCTTGCTTATCACTATCCTCTTGCTTATCGTCGGCCTTTGCTGCATTGTTGAAAGGAATATCGCCAGTCTCCTCGTCAGACACATCCTCAACTGGGGCTGAAGAAGACCGGTTAGCTTGCGCGCGCGAGATACATCTAAGTGCTCAGTACTTACGAGGCATCGTTCTGTTCGAAGGGGTGATATAGGAAGTGAGTTTGGAAAACAGCTTGGCGGTAGAGCAATTGCAATGAGTAGATGAGGCCAGTCGCATCGAGCAGAAACGCGTGAAGGCGGACAGAATGGCGCTATACCGGATTGGGTAGTCAGAATTTCATTTGTCAAAAGTGCATTTCGGGAAGCTTTCAACCCCTCATACAAACTGGCTGTGGTGCTTTTTGTTGTCACTTTATTCTCGATCTCCTTAGGCTTTCTCTCAGGAGCTTCTTTTTAATCTTACTATACTCTCTGCCAGGTGGCAGTCCACCGTCAACATGGCAATGCGTGAGTCCAATACCCCTCATTCTTGCAAACTGTGGCTAACTACGGGGTGATCTATTATAGAGCTTGATATGTCTCAAGGTGATTAGCTCTGGAATGATGGGTTTTGGTCGATGGGATATAGGTTGCTGACACTCAGGGGTAGCTTCGGTCCTGAAGGACGAGCAGGGACGGCCGTTCATCGTCGTTCGCGAGTACGTTCACCGCTATCTCTATGACACTTGACCATTGTGGTTCGAACATCTGAAAGAATGAGGCTGACGAGGCTGTGATAAAATAGTCAAGGAAAGAAGAAGAGACAGCACGGTACCGAGGCCGTCAAATCACACATTGTGGCTGCCAAGACAGTCGCCAACATTGTCAAGTCTTCTCTGGTATGCATTGCGACGATCACCTATTGAAGGATTTTCTGACAAGGATTTTTAGGGTCCCCGTGGTCTCGACAAGATTCTGATCTCCGCCGACGGCGATATCACCGTTACCAACGATGGCGCAACCATTCTCGGACAGGTCCGAACCCCTCTACTTTCCCTTCCAGGGCCCCAATTGCGCTTCCAGAAACTGATACGATGGGTTATAATAGATGGATATCACAAACAACGTCGCCAAGCTACTGGTCGAACTTTCCAGGTCTCAAGATGAGGAGATTGGTGATGGTACAACCGGTGTTGTGGTGCTGGCAGCTGCCATGTTGGAGCAAGCCTCCGACCTTATCGACAAGGGTATTCACCCCATTCGGATAGCCGACGGATACGACCAGGCCTGCGAAATTGCCGTTGCGGAGCTCGACAAGATCAGCGACGAGATCAAGTTCAGCCGCGAAGATACCACCAACCTCCTCAAGGTCGCCAAAACCAGCTTGGGCAGTAAGATGTATGTGGTCCTGGCTCAGTTGATTATTACGGTTCTGACAGTGTATGTGCAGTGTTTCCAAGTCCCACGACCAATTCGCCCAGATTGCCATCGATGCTGTGCTTTCGGTTGCCGACTTTGAGCGCAAGGATGTCGATTTCGAGTTGATCAAGGTTGATGGAAAGGTCGGTGGATCCCTCGAGGATTCTCTGCTCGTTAAGGGTGTTATTGTGGACAAGGATTTCTCTCACCCCCAGATGCCCGACGAGGTGCGGGATGCCAAGTTGGCTATCCTGACCTGTCCCTTTGAGCCCCCCAAGCCCAAGACCAAGCACAAGCTTGACATCACATCAGTTGAAGAGTTCAAGAAGCTGCAGGACTACGAGAAGAAGACCTTCACAGAGATGATCCAGAAGCTGAAGGATTCAGGTGCCAACCTGGTCATCTGCCAGTGGGGTTTCGATGACGAGGCCAACCACCTTCTCCTCCAGAATGAGCTGCCTGCCGTTCGATGGGTTGGTGGTCCCGAGATTGAGCTGATTGCCATTGCCACAAACGGTCGTATTGTGCCACGATTCGAGGATCTGTCTGCCGATAAGCTCGGCACAGCTGGCAAGGTCCGCGAGATGAGCTTCGGAACCACAAGAGAGAAGATGCTTGTCATCGAGGAGTGCGCCAACAGCCGGGCGGTGACAGTCTTCGTTCGTGGAAGTAACAAGATGGTAAGCGAATATCCGCAGGTCCCAGGTCCAATGCTAACTCGCTCTAGATCATCGATGAGGCCAAGCGCTCACTACACGATGCTCTCTGTGTCGTCCGTAACCTTGTCCGTGACAACCGCGTTGTCTACGGTGGTGGTGCTGCCGAGATTGCTTGCTCCATCGCTGTCGAGGACGCCGCCGCCAAGAGCCCCGGTATCGAGCAGTACGCCATGCGCGCCTTCGCCGACGCGCTGGACGCTGTTCCCCTTGCCCTTTCCGAGAACTCTGGTCTCAGCCCTATCGAGACTCTTGCCTCCATCAAGTCTCGCCAGGTCAAGGAGAAGAACACCCGTCTCGGTGTTGACTGCATGATGACCGGTACCAATGGTAGGCTTTTGAGCCCTGGTCCCCTACTCTATTCACTATTCACTTGCTAATTCTGCTTTAGATATGCGTGAGCACTTCGCCATCGACCCCTTGATTGGCAAGCGCCAGCAGCTTCTGCTTGCCACCCAGCTTTGCCGTATGGTTCTTAAGGTACGTGTCTCCAGTCCATTTTTTGTTTTTTTCCTGATCCATGCTAATTCAATCTAGATCAACAACGTCATCATCTCCGGTGATGATGAGTCTGAGTTCTAAAGTACTCGGCTGAAGTCACGATGGTAAAAAGAAAAAAATGATGATTCTGGTTTGCTGTGTAAAAACATGGTCCCTTACATAGAACCTTTTAGTTCCAATGAAACGAAAGGATTGATAATATCTCACGATGTATTTTGATATATCCAGATTGATCACTTGGAATGGTCTATGGAGCTACTCGGATAGCAATGCAGGGGGTTGCTGCCTGTTGCCTGAATATGCAGGCACTCAAACCACGAGCTCTGTGGGTCCCGAAGTCCCGGCCATTGACACTAGCGCCCCCTAAAAAAGGCCCTCTACGAGTAAAATTGGCATAAATGCCTCAGCTTTACGATGATGTACTTAAGTATACGCATCTATACGGAGAGATCTTGGAATATCTGAATCACAAGCTCAAGTGTTACTCGTATATCCCTTATTTCAGTACAAGTGACAGAGACGGAAGAACTATTCTCCAAGATTTGACTGACCATTAGCCTTTTAGACTGCGGGACAACCAGGGAACCAAACATGGGAACCTTGGGAAATAACCGATCGAGCTAACAGCCCCACTGGGAAATATCAACTCGTCAACCCCCTGAATCTTGGGCTTTACTAATTCGCTTTTACTCGTACTACGTATACGTGTAAGAACTTCAATGCTTTGGATATATCTAAAGGGAATTGTAAAGAGCTTGCTTATGAAGTATATGCACGTCTAAGGAGTACGGAGTAAACAGTAACGTCACTTGGCGTCTTATACTCATGACAGCCCCACACTCCAGGGCTACTCGTATATGTATGTACATACTATAGAGTGCAAGATTACTCCTGGCCAGATGCAAGTGCCGAGATCCGGGTATGAACTTGAACTAAAAGGTCCAACACTGATCAATTACGATTTCACCAGTCATCACATTGAACCCATCGCACGTCCCCACCCAGCATAAAAGCGGGAACACAATGGGGCCAACCTCCAGCTAATCTTGGAAGAGACTAGATCTGAACACATGCCCACTGATCGTCCTTTGCTCGGCCAGGCTGAGGCCGAGATTTTTTTGGTTTATGAGATTGACATTCGGGGGGGTTTTCCTCCCCAATCACTCTGCTTCAGGAGCAGTCGATCAGCTTTGCCAAGATGATTCTATCAACTCTGAAGCTCTGGACATGTCTGCTTTCTCTTACAACGAGCGCATTCGCATCCCATGGCCATGGCCACGGCCACAGCCACGGCCACGCTTCACACATCTCGCGCCGGGGTAAGCCAAATCCCATACATGCTAGAAACCATGCGCTAACTGCTCATTTCCAACAGAAATCTCATCTGAGCTCTTCGAAAAGTTCAAGCTGTTCGCCCAACTCGCCACTATCACCAATTGCGATCAAAATATCAATCGCACTGGATACCCACTCACCTGCGATCAGGGACCATGCGATCTTGTCCAGGCTGACGATACTGAAATCGTCAACACATACCACCATAAGACAGGAGGAACAGGCTACATTGCCCTGGATCACACTCGCAAATTGATCATCGTCACCTTCCGTGGAACCATCACCTTCCCAGACTTATACCAAGACTTCCGAATCCCCATCCTCACACCTGTGCCAGAACTGTGCGATGGATGTTCCGCGCATCCTGGATTCTGGGAATATTGGCTCAGCGCAAAGGACCAGATCATCGAGGAGCTACGCGCATACACAAAACAGAACCCTGACTACCGTGTCTCGGTGACTGGGTACAGTCTTGGTGCTGGAGTTGCTACTGTTGCGGGTGTTGCGCTTCGCGTGGAGGGAATCCCCTGTGACATTGTGAGTGATGAGCGATTCTCTGACTGATTTTCTTTTTTCTAATTGTTTCTAGTGGACTTTTGGAGCAGCAAAGCCTGGAAATAAGAAGCTGGCTGAGTTCATTACTGACCAGCAAAAGCCTGTCAGTATCTACCGTGCTACCCATGCCAAAGACCTCATTCCTGCAATTCCATTCACTACCATTGGGTTCGATTATACTCAGCCTTCTCCTGAGTTCTGGATTGATCAGCCAAGTGGTGAGGTCGTTACCCCTGATGTTGTGAAGTATATCGAGGGTATCAACAACCAGACAGGCAATCTTGGTCAGCATGGTAGGTCAATTGGCGCAGAGCACGAGTGGTACTTTGGAAACATGACCGTCTGCGGTCCATCCGCTGATCTCTACGCACTGTTCTGAGTGTGTTGAGGATCGTGGCGCCTTGAGGCGGTCTGTATATTTTTTTGATATAGAATACCTTGTAGATAGATACATCATAATAGCAAACCCCACAACTTAGACATGTACATAACGTCGTTGAATTGCAGCTCTGGAGATACTCAAGTATGACTTTAGAAATTTCCCTTTTCTCCCGGGTTTGAAGACCGCTGTGGAGCAGCGGGTCCCCGGGACATACATATTGGACAGGATGCGAATATCCACTCTTTCTAAAGTTGCCAGGAAATCCTACCTCGGAATCCTTCATGGGAACCTCCAATCCCGATACTGTACTCAAAAGACGTATTGAAAGCCAGAATCTGCACCATCGAAGACGGAATGACATTCTGAATTGAGCATGACTTGAGTTTGTACTGCGCCTGGCCATGGGTCGCTGTCCATGTCCCACATTCTGACTCTTTAGCTGAAGCCGATGCTTTTTAGTATCGAGATTGCCTGCCCAGTCCAAGTATATCCCACCTCGATGCTCCCTCTTTCGTTATCTCTACGCCAAATGAGAGATTCTCAATCAGGTAGCCCCCGAGGATGTACAAGGGGCCTGGAGCAAGCAAGAGACAGAGAGTCAAAGCAGCAGAGACGTTTTGGTAGGTATGTCAATCTCTGGGAAATTCGGCATTCGAGATGAGGCGACCGCAGGAAAACCGATGGTTCTCTTAGTGCGCTTCGTTCTATGTTTGAATCTGAATTGAACTCGACCGTGCGATATCGATCTCAGCATACGAGGCCGACAGAGAAAGGAGAGATCGAAGCGATATCTGGAGCTATCAACACTATGGACTCGAGTCCTTAGGAGCAGCGCTCCTGGCATAACTTGATGTGGACTCCTAGATGGCATCTCACCGGGACTTTCGAAAAAGTTCATTCGTCGAGACCACTAACACAAAAAGCTATGTTCATCATGACCAAGTCAGATCAACCGCCTCCAACCATGACCTCATCTCTCCAATCCCGATTGAACTATGGATCCAATGTCATATTCCAAACTGAAGTCTGTATGAGAGGTCATCTCGGATCCAGCACGCAAGGGTTTGTTCTTCCAGATCTGGTGCGACTATCACCCAGAGCCACAAGATAGCAACCAACACCTGCAAAGTCCCGATCAAGCCAAACGCAAATACCAAGCAGTACAGCGCGAAAGATCGATCCGATCGGAACAGCCCACATCACCAGGCAGGTCAATTTTCGCAGCGATCCGTGCCTCCATTCGGGACTGTCTGGGTTCGTCTGTGTTCACGAGGGTCACCCGATATGCCGAGGAACAATAACAATGCCCCAAGGCATTCTCTATCGGATTGCATGAAACATATCTGAATTTCGACCTCGGTGCGCGCTTGTGGATAACATGCTATTATGTCTGACTTGTTGCACTTCCCCGCTGGGCGAACGGAGCCGGTGACCTGGTTTTATGGGGATCTGCACTGCCATGTTAGCCAGATGCGAGATTGGGCGTTTGGATGGCAGCGTTGGTACTATTGGGCGCTTACTTTTGTGAACACTTGACTGTGTTTTGCTTGTCATGATGATGGATCAAATGGTTGGTGTGTTGGCAGGTTTCTGATCATGGTACTTGATCTGTCAATGTCATACTTTTCAAATGCTAGATTTGCCATGATCGTCACAAATAAAATGTGATATTCATTTCACGTGTCTACTTAAGTAGAAGAATGTTATGTGCTGTACTCACGATCGAGGAATCTATACGTAGTTCTCTGTCTGTGCAAAGTAACCGGTCAGATATGACTTTCACAAATAATGTTTCTGCAAAAGCGTTTACAGGTCATACAAGTACAAAGAGAGTCTTGGAAGCGCAAAGGCGATTCTAAAATAGTGAGAACTGAGTCGGTGGCTCCAAGGTCGACATTTTGCGTTCCGAGGTGACCTCGGGAAGTGTCGACCTATGGGACACACTGGAGATGCGGTGTATGAGCACCGCTAACACACGTTGAAAAAAACAGAAAGCAGAAAAGATCATAGCTTCGAGGTTATTTTCGTCAAGGACCTAATCGAAATTATGCGGTGGATGGTAGCCGCGTAATCAGTCTCAACTGAAAACTTTAGACTTCATTCCCAGACTCAATGAAGGCATCGAATAAATACTTAAGTACTTCAGTATTTTCGTGTCTATTTAGAATTATTTCTTGTGTTGACTTTCACTATGAATGACTGCGAGCTCTTTTCTCTGGGATTAAGGGTTTGGGTTTCACTATGCATGGAAGTACGACCCTGGTTCCCCGCGACTCGTGGGTCACGAAAGAAAATTTCTATATCTGGGGCTCGACTGGGGGCCGAGACAGGCCTAGGCTGGCTGTCATATTCATAGGCTGCATATTCAGAGAAATCATAAGGTTGAATAAAAATCAAAGTTATTTTTTTCTTCACGTGAAAATGCCTGAGTGTTGGAGGCGTTTAATCTCGGGCAAATACTCATTATTCACGGGTAGATTGTTCTGGATAGGTCTATACCATTTATCTTGGGCTTTCGATGCGAAGCTGGCCAGACCTAGCATGTTCAAGGATATGCCACCGCTTGTGCATCGTGGCTTGAGACACTAGCTGCAACTATGAAATTATCGTGTTCGCATTTCGCAATCACCCAATATTCCCCATCCATGGATTGCACCTGGAAGTCGTATTGAGGCGGTGATGCTATCTCGTGGGCATATTGATTTCTCGCCTGCATTGCCATTTCTTCGTATAGACATTACATTATGTCAAGGTGCATTGCGCCCGCAGATCGATTTGAAGTACTCCATGGGCTGTGGGCGGAGAGCAACTTTAGAAAGACTGCTGTTTATTGGAATATTTCAAAATGGTCGACATGACGGACATCATTGTGGAAAACAAACGTCAGCTTGAACTTCCTCGGCGAATACGTCAACAGTCATCCCAAGGGCAGGGGTCATGTACCCTGCTTATAAACATACCTAGAAAGGTACTTGTGTACAAACGTAAGTACCGATCTTAGTAGGCTTGTTTGAACTCTTGCATCGGGCCGAATGCAAACCCATTGATGTGGTGTGACCCGGCTGACAGGTACCATACAGCTTCAATCTGGCATTTTCGTCGACGAGATTTGAATCCGTGAGACCTATCGCTCAGGTTGATTAGCTTACAGTTTTGCTCTATCTTGTTTCTCTTTCTCTTTTGGGTAAGATTTAAGATATGGAGATTGGGATATTGCTATTCAACTTTGGACAGACCTTGTCCAGTGCCTTATCGAGGATGAGTATTTTGAATGAGACGAGAGTAGCTTGCATAGTACTGATACTTGGGTTCCAAGTTAGGAAGTACCTCAGTGTCACCTCTCACATCCTAACTATGCGATAGCTAAATTAGCCGCGCTATCCTGAGAGTCTCTGTACTATGCCTACTCCAGGACGCCTCCATGTGGGACGGAAGCATCGAATGCAGGAAGGGGCGTAGTCCGGATAGAATGGGCATCGATTTAATTGCAATCGTTTGGGTAGTACGCTTGCTCCAGTACGGGTTCCATCTAGGAAATATCCCGATCTTCAAACCTTGGGTAAGTGGCTATTCTCACAAGGGCATATTGACCTCGGGACATGGCTTGGGTTACTTCAACCCAACGGGACCTGTTTTAGCCTGAAGCCTCATCCCTCTTCTCGTGACAGCTTGTTTGTACACATAACAAGACATAAGATAAACAACCTCCATCTCGGCAAAACATAAAAAGATCACCCACACACCCGTGAACGCCACCTTTGAGGCTTTCGACGCATCGTGGTTTAATCACACGACTGCGCACCTATTAACCATCGACACATCAGGAAGCTGAAAGATCAAGCCGTGTCAGTTGGAAGATATTTGCCTTGCCGTTCATGCCTTGGGTATCACTGGCTCCCCCGAACACCTTCCAAGCCCCTGAGGTTGTATAAGATGCTTTCGGGAGACATCAAAGTATTATGTACGCATTATGCATTCTCTCAAAACAGATCTTAATTTTTCGAATATTCCATGTGAGTTTTGTATTGTAATCTATTTGCGTCGAATCGGAAAAGGTCAAGGTTTAGCCTCGAAATTGTGTTGTATCCTTGGCCGGATGCGGCCGCACATACCTCAGTATCCGGGGTGCTCCATGAATATTGCTTCCCCGGACTCTGATCTTGGGGTAACTTGGAGAAAATATCTTATGTCGTATTCTTTATTCTCGGTTGAGGGTTACAGATTTCGAAATGGAAATCTCTGATCCTTTTATGTGAAAAAAAAAAAAAGAAAACATTTGAGCAGTTGGTGCATTTATATATCGCTAGATCTATAGCAATGTCGAACACTCCGGAGCGACCGGCATTTTATCTTGAAATAGCTTCAAGTTCTGGTTAATTCTTCGACGTAGCAAACAAAATAATGCGAGGCACCCATATGTCACTTTTAAGCCCGTAGAGTGGTTGCTCAAGTCTACAGGTGCTTCTCTCCCTCCAGGGCTTTCCGCTCGCTCAGTAAGGTCACGTCAAATTTCTTCTTTTTTCTCTACACATTTCTGTTTAGATCCAACACACCTATCTTCAGACCAGCCACAATACATGGGGAACCAGATGACGAAGCCGACAGAATAGCCCTGGAGGCTTGCAGGAGCCATCAAACAGTCCAAAAGGGCAGCCCTAGGCGCCCCGCAGCCCACAGTGAGGCTTCAGGCACACACCCGGTTGGCGCCTAGTCGACAGCGTACAGCCAAAGACCCCATCAACACGAGACAGCCACGAAGTCGTCGCGTGACACACGACCTCAGAGCTGAAGTGACCACAAACCAGAAAAGGATTCAATATGTCCAGGGATTCGACCCCTGATGGTGAAGTTGAAACTGGTGTTCGGCCAGCAATCAAAGACAGATCTCAAACTATCGCGCGCCACAATCACACCGAGAAACACCGAGCTTTGCGATGGTTAGATATTGCTTTGTTCACAGCCGCCACAGCCGTTCTTGGCTGGGGATTGAAAAAGCA